CTGTGGCACCTGGTGTTCTCAGAGGTCTCCCATCACAGTACTATCCAGTCCCAGCCCTTCTTAGTTCTTAGTTTTAGAGGTGCTTTTGAAAAAAATTTCCCCTCACAATTAAATAAAGCTCACCTGTGTGTAATCACAAGTCATGAACATAAACGTAGATTGTAAAAAGTGAGAAGATGGTTGGAGCCAGATGCAGGAGAATTATGGAAGAAAAGACTTGAGGCAGAGATTTACCTTCCTGTAGGACAATGGCCCTAAACATAAAGCCTCAACTCTCCATCTAATCACAGTTGTTTTGTGAAGACAAATGAGCAGAACATCAGTTTTCTGGAGCTGCAAAACGTCATAATCAAGACTGTTAAAAAAATAAAATCTCACTTCACAGTTGAAACTTTGCTGTGGTCTTTCAAAGAAAATTTACAAGATAAAATCTTTGTTTGTGGTTGTAATCTGGCAAAATGTTTATGTTGTATTAAGTGTCATAAACGTATGTTTATCCACATTTTAAGGTTGTGCTTAAGAGTCAAAATGAACAGACGAATGTCTGGGGCGCCGGTGTTGAAGGAAGTGGTGTTGATGGTCTCCAGTGTACGTAGTGTTCTGCTGGTTTTGCCTGTGACCAGAGTCTCTGGAGTCCAGACATGTGGAAGGATTCCATTTGGCTCCAGTGTAAACATCGTTCTTAGAGCACCATTAGGCAACAGAGTATTTATAGCACATGTGCTAAATGTTGAACAGAACTGCTTACATTTGTGACACAGGTTTGAATTTGTACTGTGTGAGCTCGAAACCAAACAATATTTCTAGATGATTCTGTTTACAAGACTATTACGTACAGCTTTTTATAAACTGCTTCAGATAAAGTACATGTTCTCCGCACTTCTGAGTTCTCATTCCCCTGACTGTAAACAACTGCTGCTCAGGTGTTTGCTGATGCGGAAGTACTGGTTAATATAATAATACATCCATGGTGCAGATACTTCTGTAATATGACTTCTCTGGAAGGTCCTGGGACACTGACGTTGCAGAGCTGCACAGCACAACCTTTGTATGAAGTTGTGGAGGATTAGTCCTTTAATGGCTTCCACAATCATAGTCTACCCGATCACCCTTTGAGGTGATATACATCTTTGGGGCATTTCACCTGGTTTTAAACACAATCAAACTGCATCTCAACCTTTGGTGAAGACCTATAATAAAAAAATCTAGGGGTATAAAAAAAAAATAAACAAGGATTGAACAGGGTTAAAGGGTTAAACTCGTTAGCGTCCAAGCCGGGCCACCATTTCTGCCTTGTATTTTGTGGCATTGCAGGGCTGTATGGCAGATTTTCTAAACTCATGCTGCTGAAATTCCGTGGACGCGCTTCCATGCGAAAGTCTCATGATCACCATAAATTACTATTTCTATGTCATAACAAGTTTCAAAATGTAGAGATAATAAAGGATTGATTGATTGATTAAGATAGAAGGGGCAGGTTTTGAGTGCTTTTTTGTTGATTCGTGCCAGAAGTTCTTAATAGTGAATTGCATGCAGCTAAAACTCTTCCAGTTTTGGATGAGGGAACAGTCTTGGAGCGTGGCTAAAGGCTCTGAGCTCACTCTAGAGATTTCCTGTGCATATATTTGTAGCGACCGCGTGTCCTTCTCTGACCCACGCTGCCGAGTATTAGAGCTGACCTTCAGTGTTCCTCCTGGGGCTGAAACTGCACCAATGGATGGCTCTTCCTCCGCCTGACCTTGCCTGCTCCGTGGCCGCTGCAGACACCACAGTGGAACATGTTTGCTGGCCCATTGGTGGATGGCTTCAGCACTGACTCATAAAGAGAGGGGCGAGCCCAGAGTCGGGACTATTCCAGGAGCCGTATAAATATGGCAAAGGTTCTGGAGCAAAGTCGCAAGAATGTGGAGTGAGAATGTGTGAACGCAGAATTTCGTGGTTGACCGTGTGTTAGAAGTGTTGCGGGTGGCTTCTGGCTGCGTAAAGCACCTCATGTTGAGAAGCGACGTTCAAACGACAATGGAGCCTCACTATAACGCGATAGAGCACAAATACTTTGTGAAAGGAGCAATATGTAAGAATCTGGCAAAAAGTGGTACTGCAATCCCGGGCAATATTCTGCAGTAATCTCCCACTCTCCCTGACTCAGGTTGCCAAATATGCAGACAAATCCAACTGGGACCATAATAGCTGAATAGACAGGAGACAACAATAAATCTATAACCAACACCTTTTTCACAAAGATAGAAATCCTCATTTTATTCCTTGTTTTGTTGTTAATTATTTGAGAATTATTTAGATAATAAATATTAACAATACATTAAAAAGAAAGATTTCATAAAAGATTATATATATAAAAAAAACTGCACCATGAGTACTTCACTCTGCTCTAAACCCAAATTGATAGTATTTCTGCAGAAGTAAAGTTGAGTACGTTGATTTGCAAAGAGCCATGGATGTGGGGTGTTCAGCTTTTGTTTGTGACGTGGACTTTTTTACAATGCGAGCTCCGTATGCTCCTACACTCCACAATAGTGCACAGATAGAGTTCCCGGGTCTGTTTTGTGTTGTGTTGTTTCCCACCTGTCGCGCCATCAGCAGACCCGTCTCCCAGATGTACTCACCGAAACAAGGATCTGGGTTGAACAACAAGTGTCAGGCCTTGTTTGTGTGTGTCTTAGCTCTTGAACCTGAGCTTGAGGATATTTACTCCAGAGATTTATGTTTAGAGCTGGGCTACCTAACTTGTAAACACTCTATTCTATCAAATTCATTTTTGTATATCCCTAATTCCCAACAGCAGGGAGCGGGATGATCACTGTCGTTAGACTCTCCAGGATTCAACAACTCAAAAACTAGTGGGAAAAAGTAAGAAACTTCAGGGAAGCCCATATTCAGAGAGGGATGCACTCTGTGTTTCTCCTCTCTACACTCATACTCTGTGTCTCTGTGGTTCCCCTCTCTACACTCATACTCTGTGTTTCTCTGTGTTTTTCTGTGTTTCTCTGTGTTTCTCCTCTCTACACTCATGGATGGATGGAAATAAAGCTTGTACGGAAAGAGTCTTGTAGAAGTAAAATGTTGAGAACAAATCCAGCCACATGTCTTGATTTTGATAGAAAGCATTTAGTTTTCATACTTGTAAGAAAGAGCCTTCATAGATAGATAGTTAGTTAGTCAGCAACATCCCTTCAGGTCACAGCAGCAGAGGTGGTCTTACTTCCTATTTGATTATTTGGGCTGTGAACTGATTGGCTGGGTAAGCATGGTCCTCTCTGTTTCACGTTTCTGTTGGAAAAAGCTGATCTAAATATGTGGCCGAGGCTGAAAAACACATGTGAAAACTAGCAACAGAACTGTGACGAGTGAGGAATGAGTTAGAGAAACAGTTTTACCTGTCCATGTAGGAAATTGTACAACTGTAGAAGAATTTGTCTTTCCCATTTGCCCCATCCTTCCATTGCCACTACGCGAGGGTTAGTGCAGCTCTAATTGACACCGCCCGACCCAGAAATGGATTAAGGGGAAGAAAATGGATGGATAGGCATGTTTTTAGTCCTTGTAGAAACCAAAGCTCCCTTTAAATGGAAAACACTGATATTTTACCACTTTGGCTCATCTTACTGCTGCTGATTCAGATAAAAGTCTTTGCACAGGTGACTTCCAATGATGTACTGCTTTGATGACATTTGCCACCGTTTACAGCCAGGTTTTTTATTTCTCACCACAGTGGCAAAAAAGTGTTGAGAAAGTTGGATCTTGAAGGCCTCTGTTGTAGCCTCCGCTGACAGGACAGATGTAACGCAGTGCGACAGCTACACTGAGCGCTTGTTTACTTGTGGTGAAACTACAAATCGGACATATTCTCTTTCAATGGGATGTCAGCTTTTCAGATGGAGCACGGGGGCACACGACTTTATGGAAGAGGCTTTGTGTCGAATTGGATTGTATAGGATCGAGAAACCGCAAACTAAACACACATGGTTGACATTGAGTTGGGTGCCAGTTGGCTCATACTGTATGTCCTCATTTGAAACCAGAAACCGATTATTTTGGACAGTTGGCTTCGGTCTCCCATCCAATCAGCTCCTAATGGCTTTTAAAAACCTGTCCTAAGTTGGCCAATAGCGACTTAACCTCCCATTTTAAGGCAGCTGCACAAAACAAACACAATAGAGAATGGCGTTTTTAGAGCGTCCGTTGCAGATGTTGGAGCTGCCACATGGAAGACATTACTCAGAGAAAAGCCACAACTCCCCCAGACTCGTTTTGGCAATTTGTCCGACTGCAATCCAACCCCAAAATGTGTTATTAATGTCTATCTGCTCAAACGCATTCAAGAGGAAAGAGCAAGGCAGCGGACAGGGTTACCCAATGCATGAAAAGGGATCTCTGTAAACCAAGGCTCCTTAATGCTGAATGTGATTTTGAAAATGACTTATGGGGGGAATTGTGGATGAGTTTTGCCGACGTCCATCGATGCGGCTTGGAATAATGGGCTGTTGGCTCCAGGCTCGAGTAGTCTGCTCGGTTTGAGTTACCATCGGGTCAAAGTGTGTTGGTTAGCATGTCTTCATGTTGGCGCGACGGTCTGTGATAGTTTTGGAAAGTCATTATGAACAAATATGTGAGAAAGGTCTGAGAAAGTAAGGATTACCTTTGGACTCCTGCCTTTTGTTAAAAATGTAATACCATCTGTTTTGTAAACTTCTAAGTAAAAGTTAGGTCTTACAGTATAACAGTTTAGGCGCCAAAGGTGATTTCTCTTTGGAAATAGTCTTACTGAGTTTTTTGAATGTCTCCAGCCTTTACATCGCATCTTGTTGGATTCAGATCTTAAGTCTACTGCTGGATGATGGAGTGTTGTACATTGTCGTCCTCTCGTGAGCCACGTGTCATGCCATTTGTTAACCTGGATGTCAAGTATAACCAAGTTTTGACTATGATGTGATTTTTAGTTCTGGCCCAGAGTCTGACCCTCTTTTTGTTTGTCTCCACAGGCTTTTGGAAACGCCAAGACGGCACACAATAACAACTCCAGTCGCTTTGGAAAGTTCATCCAAGTCAACTACCAAGAGAGCGGCACCGTGAGAGGGTAAGGCTTGTGTGTGTGTGTGTGTGTGTGTGTGTGTGTGTTTCTTTCTCTGTGTGTGTGTATGTGTGTGTGTGTATATGTATGTGTGTCTCTTTTTGTGCAAGTGTGTGTGTTTGCGTCTCTGTCTGTGTGTTTGTGGGTGTGTGTTTCTTTCTGTGTGTGTGTGTTCGTCTCTTTCAGTTTGTGTGTGGGTGTCTATTTCTGTGTGTGTGTGTGTCTCTTTCTGTGTTTGTGTGTGTGTGTGTGTGTGTGTTTATGTGGCTCTTTCTTTGTCTGTGTGTGTGTCTATGTATGTGGTTCTTTCGGTGTGTGTGTGTGTGTGTTTGTCTCTTTCTGTATGTTTGAGTGTGTGTGTGTGTGTGTGTGTGTGTGTGTGTGTGTGTGTCTCTTTCTGTATGTTTTTATGTGTGTGTGTGTGTGTGTGTGTGTGTGTGTGTGTCATGTTTCTGAAGGCCTTTTTGTTTTTTCAGAGCTTATGTGGAGAAGTATCTCCTGGAGAAGTCCAGACTGGTGTACCAGGAGCATAACGAGCGGTAGGAAACACACACAAGCGAACACTGTTGAACGTGACGAGGAGATAATGAAGCTGTGGTGAAATACATGCAGCTGCTCTGACTGGGATGGACACACACTGCGGAACACAAGCCTTTTATTGGCTTTAATCTGAAGTATTTACAGGTGGAACTCTGAGAATTACAATATTCTGAAAAACAAACAAAGGCTTGACTTATATAATTTTACCAACATTCATGCATTAGTTTCATAACAGAAAATAAGGTACATGTTTAACATTAATCTAACTCATTCATATTTTTACCATCAACTTGCATTTACATAATAGCATAATGGTAATAGCTGTTTTTGTATCTGCCAGTAAGGGCTTAAAAACAGTCTTGGATCCATCCAAACTCGTCATTAATAGTTCCTTGTCCCAGGTCCAAAAATCCACCCTCAGACTCTGTTATCCCCAGACTGTGGTGATGACATAACCCCTGGCAGAGGTGATGGTGAATGACAGTGTGTCCTGTTAGTTTGAATGAATTTGAGTCTCTAAAATCTGCACTTGTGTCTTTGGTACAGGCTTGGAACTTTATTATTTTATCATTTTTAAATTCTGGATCTATTGAATGTGTAGCTGTGATGCCTCTTGGCCTGGACTCCGTAGAAAACAAATACTTTTAATCTCAATGGTATTTTCATGGTTAAATAAAGGTGAATATATATATATATATATATATATATATATATATATATATATATATATATATATATATATATATATATATATATATATATATATATATATATATATATATATATATATATATATATATATATATATATATATATATATATATATATATATATATATAATAGTCGTGTGTGTGTGTGTGTGCGTGTCGTCTCACATAGAGGTGCATTGCTGAGCGCAGAGGCAGACACAGCCTGTGTGTGTTTACTCCAGCAGCCTCCGGTCACACAGCTGTTGCTCACTCCTGACCCCAACAGGACAGGAAGCACGCATTCACAACTCATGGCCCGCTGCCACACACATACACACACATAATGTACTAAACATCACTGAAGATGACGTATTTGTATAACACATTTCATACATGTGTCTCTCTGTGCTCAGCAGGCGAGACACTGCACCAGGGGTTTCTCTCTTTTTTGTTTTCAATCCAAACAATGAAAATCCGGTCAAAAAGCGAGAGTTTTTGGGTCTTTTTAGAGAGCCGTGTTCTGTTTAAACACAGCATAAAGTATATATCATCTCATTTCATCAAAATATAGCACTAATTTAGACACAAACTGTTTTATCATTTGGACCGCTGCACGTTTGAAATGACTGGTCATTTGACTGCCGCAAATATCAATACTTGACATTAATTCCATGAATTTTTAAATACATACTAGGGATGCATCGATACAGAATTAAGGTATGAGTACCTTAATTTGAGTACTTGTTGTACGAGTTGAAGCCTATGTATCAGTATCAGTGCATCCCTAATGCAACTCGTGGATGATCATTTTCTACCCCACAGAAAAACTAATACATGAAAATACAAGAGCTGCTTGTTTGTCATGTTTTTAATAATGATAATAATACATTTTATTTATAGTGCACCTTACATTTCCAGGAAACCTCAAAGTGCTACAGATTAAAATACAAAACCACAAACAACAACAAAAAGCAAAATAATCAGGAGTACATAAATACAACAAAAAGATACATGACTGGTTAAAAGCTAATACAATCCCAAAAAGTGCGTTAAAAAGGAAGCAGCCGCCAACCAGTTTCAATTTAGCTGCAAAGAACTGGAAGAAAAAGGCAAGAGATGAATTATTAATATTTGAACAGAACACAGCAGAGAGAGCATTTGGCTGTGATCAGATCTTTGAATGATCTCCTTACATTTGTCTACATCATGCCTTTGGTGAGGGTTATGGAAGCATTCAAGCTAAACAAACTTCCGAATCTCAAAGTAAGTCGTCTTAAATAACCCAGAGTGAATCACATTATCATTGTAATGTCTGCACGTGTTCAGAAATGGATATATCACATGTGTTTATTTGGCCGTGTTTGTCTCGTGTGTTGTTATTTCCAGGCTGTAATTGCTGGAACTGGATTTAGCTCTGAGTCAGAACTAAAACTCAAATTGGCTCCAAAGTAATAAACAAAAAGGGGCCATAGACAATACAATGACAGAGAGAAGTGTAAACCAAGCCTGCACCAGCGGCAACCAGCGCTCTGGACCGAGTCTGCGGGCCTGAGTCTGCGGGCCTGAGTCTGCGGGCCTGAGTCTGCGGGCCTGAGTCTGCGGGCCTGAGTCTGCGGGCCTGAGTCTGCGGGCCTGAGTCTGCGGGCCTGAGTCTGCGGGCCTGAGTCTGCGGGCCTGAGTCTGCGGGCCTGAGTCTTGGAGTTTTTGGGACAGAGTCTGAGCCTTTGTGTACTGTAGCGTGGTTCTACACACAAACACTCATGCACATGTAAACAACCACAGATATATACCAGTGGGGGCGGGTCCCAGCTCAAAAGTGGGCAAATGATGTGCGCTGACATGCTGCAATACCACCCCGGGCCGATGGGGGTGGACCCAGAAAAAGAATTAGCCAATGCTAGCATATAGCGTTGGCAGACCTCTCAAAAACGTCTTTACAGGATGGACCTAAAGTTGTCTCTTGGCCCAAAGCTCCGTTCCACATGTGTGTCAATGCTGAGGGAGTGAATTTTTTTGGTCCACTCTAGTTTACTTGCTGAGAATTTTTGAAGTCTCTCGTTCCAATGAATGGAGCTGCGCCGGCTGACGCATGCACAGATGCGTTTTTTCACAACTTTCTCGTGGGCGGGACCACTCGCAGCCATTTTGGATTGCTCCAGTAGAGCTAATTTTGGCCCATTAGTTAGAACGGCGGAGATAGGCGTGAAGATAGGCGTGACTCTGTCCGTTAATATATACAGCCTATGATAGATACATAAGGACAATAGTAATACAATCACAAAGAAGATCGACGTGAAATCGACTAAAATAAGTGTTTCGAAACGAATTGAAGATGGCCAGAGAACACGGAGGCGAAACAGAACGTTTTTGAGTGGGGTTTGTTTGTTCTCCACATGTATGCGTAGGTTTCCTCTGGGGGCTCCGGTTTCCCCTACCACTAAAAACAGGCACAATAGGTCTGGCTTGCTTCTCCTGTTCCGGCGACCTTACTTTCATCTCTGTGGAGTGAGAGACAAATGCCCTCAACAATTGCAAAGTGCTTTAAGACTCTGGTCTGTGAAAGGCGCTAAATAAATAAACATTAGTTTTTTACTTACAGAACATGTGCAGGAGGTTCATTGTGCTGTTTGTGCTTACAGGAACTACCATGTGTTTTACTACCTGCTGGCCGGGACCAGTGAAGACGAGCGCAGTGCATTTCACCTCATGAAGCCCGAAGAGTACCATTACCTGAGCCAGGTATGTGTCATGTGTCAGCGGGGCCCTCTGTCCAGGGGCCCTCTGCTCACCCTCTGCTCAGGGGCAGCAGGGACACAGCAGGACTCTAGCATTACTACAGTCTGGAAACTTCCTCTCTTAAAAGTCCATTCGCTCTGTTGAGTCTGTCCATCGCTGCCGCAGAATTGAGACATGATGAAGACTGAATTAAAGGGTTTTTTATCCAGTTGCGAAGTGGATTTCTGTTTATGCATTGTTTTGGTCTTTGCCTCTGATTCTCTTATGTCCTCATAGATTGTCTACGGTTTTTGACCACAGTAAAGTCCAAAACTTGGCAGAAGTTGTAGCTGAGTTTCCCCATTTTTAAACCACCAAAATATGAACTCTTTCACTCTTTCACTTTCTTGGTTTCAAAACAGTTACTCATCACTAGTTTTCACACGCACCACCCTGACTTTGCCAATCAGCTCACAACCCGTTGAATCAAAGAGTGACTCACAGGGCTCTTTCTTACAAGTAGATAGATACTAGATAGAAATTCAGGTATCCAGTTGCAGCAAAAATAAGTAAAGTAAAAAGTACTAAGACTAACTTTCTAAAATAAACTCTGTTGGAATAAACATTAATTATTTAAGATAAAAATAAAATTAAATACCCCAGCTTTAACATTGAAACAAACTGTGTCAAGTCTAACATCCAGCTTATATAGACATTTTTACCGTCATTTTTATGTATCACCCTAAATCACAACAGTAGCTATCTCGAAGCACTTTACAAAGTTGTTGTTTTGCTGACACAGATCAGAGAATCAAAGTTGAAACTCAGAAAACGGATTAAAAAATGAAGATAAAAAACACATCGAGCCATTGGTTCACAAGGGGCAGAGACCAATGCCCTTAGATCTTAGATTTATTTGCCAAAAATATTTCACTTGTTAGAAGACCTTTATGATGAGTTAAAAATACACTTTTAGATTTAAAGCTGGGGTACGTAACTTTTATTTTCTGAAATGTCAAGTAGATTTTCCATAACAGTAAGGGAAACATACTGTCTTTTACATACTTGCAAGAAAGATTCCTGAGAGTCACTATTTGATGCTGATATTACCTGAAAGATGTGACAGAGGGCGAAAATACATGCCTGTGAAACCTGTTTTGAGAGTGAGGAACTAACGACATAGACTCGTTTTTGTGGTTTTGAAAGTCGAATACCCCAGCTTTACAGCGGTGTCACGGCTCCCCCACACTTCCGTTGTCCATGTGTGCAAACTCTCACATCTGACAGAGCTGTGCAACTCACGCCCACGCTGATCCGACCAGGGAATTCCACCCATTGCACACACAGAAATGCATACACACACACACACTGACATACGCACACAAATACATACAAAAACACTAAAATCACCCTCAATAACACACACACACACACACACACACACACACACACACGCATACCCAGTGTGAGGCCCTGGGCTGACTGTCCTTCCCTTTGTTCCTCTGTCCCCTGTGCAATGTGCATGTGTTTTCCCCTACGAGTCCAGAACCTGATTACCGGCCTATGGAGCCTATGGAGCCTATGGAGCCTGTGTCTATGATAGTCCTCCATCCATAATGCTTTTCTACGCTGGCTGATGCTTTATCTACTCAACCAATTTTTTTGTTTGGTTTGAATTAACCCTTCTGCTATCCTCATGTCAAATTCACCTGCCACTGTGATTTGAAAATATGCAAAAAATAATCATTTCGAGCTGAATTCTGATGATTTTTCCTAACTTGGCCAGCCCTGGGTCTTCAATATCCTTTTAGACCTGCTTTCAAATCTCTTTGGCGGGTTATTTTGACCTGAGGGGGCGCTCTAGCCAAATGCAAAGATATACATTGGCCACATTGCTAAATTGTCACATAACTAAAGAAAATTAAAGAAGCAGCTTTTGGTCCGGCAAATACTGTACTTTTTATGTGGCTGTGATGCAATATCAAAACTCGGCTGACCAGTCAAACTCAGAATGGACTCTCTTCTAACTTGTATAACTGCACCCACTTCTGCCAGTGAGAGAAAAGTAACAAGTGGAATGTTTCAGTGGGTTGAAGCATGCGAATGTGTTTTCTCATTCATGTAACAGTTTTCCCATCATGCATTGTACCTGCTCATGTAATCCATCCTATGTGACATGTGAGAGATTCCTCTTGTAGTAACGGCATGTACAGTTTCACTACTTACTGTTGTGTTCATGGTTTATGATACGCCAGATGGAGGTTAATAACTCTGCACCAGTCTTATATGTTCAAAAGTGATCCATTTTTGACAAGTGAGAATGCTGGTTTGCATTCATGCTAGTTCAGCCCACCTTAACGTTGTCGCAATCTGGCAAAAAATGTGTCTCCCGCAGTGAATCCATCTCCGTAATGGATAAACAGGTGTATAGCTATTTGGAATATTCTATACTGGTTTAAAGCTGGGGTACTATATAGCCCTAAATTTCCAAAGTAGTGCCCTGGAATGATTTTACAAAGCTGTCGATTCCTCAATACATTCAAAACAAACACATAGAGGGAGCAGGATTACCTCTGTCTATAAAAATGTGTGAAAATGGTGAGAAAACTCGGACAGGCTATATTGAATTGAATATCCCGACAAATTAGCCCATGCTTACTGTATTAGAAAACAACGTATATTTGTGCATACTATTAAGAACAATCTGAGTTATATGGATATTTTCAATTTAAATGTTTAGTGTTTTTGATGTTGGGTACCCAAGTTTACCTCGAGTTCAATGTCCACTAAAGTAAATCAAGCCAAATCTCATATTTATGGACTAAAATGACCACCTATAAAGCAGCATAGTTGTTCTTTAAGTTTAAGCCGGTCTCGTTTTGACCGTGGAACCATGTGTCTGTCCTCTTCTTCTGAATATTTTAACATGAACACAACCTCTTCTGCTGCATCCATCCTGACCATGACTGAAGTGTTTGAGTTTAGTCTCTCTCCATTGGAATGCTCTGTCTTACACTAACCTGCTCTCCCTCTCAACTTCTCCATCAACATTTCCAGATGACAAAGAAACCACACCGATCGCACTGGGACAGCTACGGTGACTCAGAACCGGTCAGTATCCGTGGGTGTGCATGTGTGTGTGTTCTGTGTTTGTGTGTGTGTCTGCGTTCTGTGCGGTTGTGGTGTTTGTGTGCGTGTGTGTGTGTTTGTGTGTCATAAAACTAAAACCATCTACAAAACCATTTGAATGTTGTCATAGTAATGATAATAATAATGCATCGGTTTTGTCATTATTCCTTCATTTCATACACAGTGGTGATAAACTACTACTACTACTACTAGCTTCCCTGGGGCACACTGACAGATGCGGGGCAACCAGTATGTCCCACCCACACCATGAGCCATTCACACACAAACACACCAGACTCATTCTAATGTGGGGGAAGTTTGGCACTTTATAGACAGATATTGGTATAGGTCTCCCATCACAGTACTAACCAGGCCCTGCCCTGCTTAGCTTCAGAGGTCTGACAGCCTGTCCCCTCTGCTTTGCACACATTGTTTTTTAACTTGTTCCGTCTTGCGGCTGTTTGTTATTGGTGCCGTCGGTCAGTCTCGTCGCAGCCTCACCACCGCAGCGGCTCTAAGCAAAGCTCCAGTTTCACTTCCCTTAACGAAGACACAAACATCGTATCAAAGCAAAGGGGGATGAGAAGACGCAGCCAAAACAATCTGGGTTTGTGCGTGCTCCTGGAATAATCGGCTCACAAATAAACACGGGGAAGTCGCCCAAAACAACATGGCTAAATTAGTTTGTTTTTCTCTTTGAAATGACATGAAATAAGCAGAGTTCCAAAAACCGACAGATGGGAGATGAGCAGCGATGCAATATATTTTAATCAAAGTCAATTTATGTTTGTTCTCCCAATATGAGATTAGAAAAAAAAAAAAAAAATGGGTGTGTCTTTGTTGTATATTTTTGTGTCTTGGTCTAAAGGATAATGGATAAATGTTGTAGACCCTGTCCTTAGACCTTCTCGCAACAAACGGAAAGACTCCAAACCCAGTAGATCCACTCCCACGGACAAGCTGTAGAACCAGGACTGAGGCTGTAGATCCTGAAGCAAAGCTGTAGATCCAGGACTGAGGCTGTAGATCCTGAAGCAAAGCTGTAGATCCAGGACTGAGGCTGTAGATCCAAGACTGAGGCTATAGAGCCAAGATTGAGGCTGTAGATCCAGGACTACGCCTGGATATCTAGGACTGAGACTGTAGATCCAGGACTGAGGCTGTAGACCCAGAACTGGGCATGTTTCGGGGTGCGGCTCCCAGACATCATGCATTCACATATGAATAGAGCTGATGTGGCGGCTGTCTGTAGCAGCTGTGTTATTTTCAACTAACTATAATCAGTAATTCCACAAAACAGTGCTCATCTGTAACTGTTCAAACACCACAACTTTCAAGCAAACATGTGAACACACACACAACATGTGAACGCACACACAACTTGTGAACACACACACAACATGTGAACACACACACAACATGTGAACACACACACAACATGTGAACACACACACATGTGAACGCACACACAACATGTGAACACGCACCCAGGACCTCTGTGTCTTCTGCACTAGGAGCTGAATCCAAATCAATCAAGTCCAGTGAAGCCAGCTCAGATTTCTGATCGCGGCAATAAATCCTGGTCCTGGGTCCAAGATTGAATCCTGTAATGTTTCTGTCTGTGTCTTACGTCCATCTTCTCTTTCCCCACTGAATGTTCAGAAATGTACTGTACACTGACAGTGTCTGATTGTTTTATTGTAAATGGACTTACTGTAATTACACCATCCACGGACTACAAGTGAAAACTTATTTTTCTATTTTTGCTAAACTTTTCTTTTTATAAGACTTATATTCATTGCACAAATAAATACATTCTAAAACATAATATAGTAAAACTTAAGAGCATGTAAGCAGAAAAATGTTAATTTTTCTTTGTGCCATCCGCATTGGTCATGTGACTCTCCATGACCAATATCTGTGTGAGAAACAGTCTACAGGTAAGCCCTGTCTGTCCGTAGACCGAGCCCAGGTCCAGCAGCCCGAGCCCAGGTCTAGCAGCCCGAGCCCAGGTCTAGTAGCCCGAGCCCAGGTCTAGCAGCCCGAGCCCAGGTCTAGCAGCTTGAGCCCAGGTCTAGCAGCTCGAGCCAAGGTCTAGTAGCCCGAGCTCAGGTCTAGTAGCCCCAGCCCAGGTCCAGCAGCTTGAGCCCAGGTCTAGCAGCTCCAGCCCAGGTCTCGCAGCTCCAGCCCAGGTCTCGCAGCTCCAGCCCAGGTCTCGCAGCTCCAGCCCAGGTCTCGCAGCTCCAGCCCAGGTCTCGCAGCTCCAGCCCAGGTCTCGCAGCTCCAGCCCAGGTCTCGCAGCTCCAGCCCAGGTCTCGCAGCTCCAGCCCAGGTCTCGCAGCTCCAGCCCAGGTCTCGCAGCTCCAGCCCAGGTCTCGCAGCTCCAGCCCAGGTCTCGCAGCTCCAGCCCAGGTCTCGCAGCTCCAGCGCAGGTCTCGCAGCTCCAGCCCAGGTCTTGCAGCTCCAGCCCAGGTCTTGCAGCTCCAACCCAGGTCTAGCAGCTCCAGCCCAGGTCTAGCAGCTCCAGCCCAGGTCTAGCAGCTCCAGCCCAGGTCTAGCAGCTCCAGCCCAGGTCTAGCAGCTCCAGCCCAGGTCTTGCAGCTCCAGCCCAGGTCTAGCAGCTCCAGCCCAGGTCTAGCAGCTCCAGCCCAGGTCTAGCAGCTCCAGCCCAGGTCTAGCAGCTCCAGCCCAGGTCTAGCAGCTCCAGCCCAGGTCTAGCAGCTCCAGCCCAGGTCTAGCAGCTCCAGCCCAGCTCCAGCCCAGGTCTAGCAGCTCCAGCCCAGGTCTCGCAGCTCCAGCCCAGGTCTAGCAGCTCCAACCCAGGTCTAGCAGCTCCAGCCCAGGTCTAGCAGCTCCAGCCCAGGTCTTGCAGCTCCAGCCCAGGTCTTGCAGCTGCAGCCCAGGTCTAGCAGCAGCTCCAGCCCAGGTGTGAAAACCATATTCTCATTACGTCACAGAAGCGCTTTGGTCTCTGCGCACGCACAGCCCGGCCATGCTCCTTTACGCAGTTTGTGGAAGTGTGAGTTTCATGTTTGTGTTTCTGCAGCCCTGGTATGTGGTAATTATGGCCGCCGTAGTGGAATGGGCCCATAAAGCACAGAGCAGCTCCTATTACACAGCCTCCACTCACTGAGCTGCTGCATCAAAGCACGGCCGTGTGGGAAAGCCTTCCTTCTGTCAACAAGGCGCTGGGGCAGACCTCCGCGCACGGTTCTTCCACTCCTGTATGCCCGGCTTGGAAAACATTGATTTTGTATACAGCGCTAGAGAAAATATAGTACGCGCAGTATTTCCGGTCACTTCAAGGTCAACAAGCTTATTTAGTATACTGAACTCAAATTATGTTTCACTGATATCGTCATCATCATATTTTTTTATTTTTTTATTTTGTTTTACAGTTTTTACATTTCAGTTCAGAAGGTATTGTTGAGCCTCAGAGCTATACATACAATTTATACAACAAAAGGCAGAGATCAGTGTTTGTTAAAGTGCTATATAGTGGGACAAGAAGTATTAAGTGAGCCACAAAATGGGGCCTCAAAACATCACTCCTTGAGATGAGATCTGCATGGAAGAATGGGCCAAAATTCCAGCAACAGTCAATACTTTGTGACAGAAGAATACAAAGTTTATAGGCAAACATAATCAGATTTTATTGAAGTTTTTTTCTCATTTTGTCTCTGGGATCTCTCATAGTTTTAAGTGGGCTGACTTACTATGTTTGGCCCCTGTATATTTGGAGCTCAACAGGAAGAGGCAGAAGAGAAGTAACAAACATTGTTCCCTCTTCATCAAACAGAACTGGAGCCGTCTGTTTTGCTCCGTCCATGCTCATATGAGGAACTTCTGGCATAAATTATTATATAAATTGTACACAGTGAATCATTATGCAAGATTTCAGGCAAAGCTAGTTTATTTGTATACCATAGTTCCTACTCAAGGCAACTAACAAGGCATTCAAATCATCAATAATCACGGTACATTAAAAAGATTATATGCACCGATAAACAGACCTGTTTTAACCTGGATTGGATCATTGTCAGGGTAGAAGCCTGTCTCACATTTTCAGGAAGACTGTTCCAGATTTTAGCTGCATAAATCTAAAATCTATTCTTTGACATAAAGGGGGCCAGTGCAAAGACCTGAGAACTGGACTAATGTGATCGTTTAGGCTACAGAAGTCTAACCTACTACCTACCTTAACCTAATACAGGATCAGAATCTTTAACTTTAATTGTGAAAACTGTATGTGCTAATTCTGAATGAAACGGCCAGAATTGGTTATGCATTACCTCCACTTTCCCCACATGCCGGTGGTGGTAAAAACTTGTGCTAAAATATGTTTGTAAATGTGAAGCTGAGTTTTCTGTGACGCATAGAGCATAAACCTAACTGTTTCGTCTGTCCCGCTGCAGGACTGCTTCACGGTGGAGGGCGAGGACCTGAAGCATGACTTTGAGCGTCTGCAGCTGGCCATGGAGATGGTGGGCTTCCTCCCCACCACACGCAAACAGTGAGTCTCTTATACTCTCTCTACCAGGCATGGGCAAACTTTGTCTTCTGAAGGCTGCATTGGAGTAATTCAGAATTGGTTTCTCAGACTTTATTTTTGGCACGTAAATACAAATATATCAAATATAAATGATGGCAGAGCGATGAGCGCGACTCCAGAGTTCTGCGAGCTGTATTTACAGTATTATTATTATTGTATTTTATTGAAGAAAAACAAATCCTAGAAGGAGAAAGAAACGGCTTTTGAAATTGTGTACGATTCAGATAGGAAATATTCTTGTCACGTATGAGCATTTATAGGTGCGCAATTGTTCAAATAGCAAAAACGAATTCTTTATACGAGTCTTTATACTATCTCTATATACACAGAGGAGGGCTCAGAGGCCCGACAGAAACGTCCAAAGGGCCGTCCAGGGCCCTCAATCTATGGCCCCCATCCCACTTTTATCAAATAAAAAAAGTATGTTTGTATATGGACTTCAGCCTGGTTTGGATGCAGCTATTTTCCACTCACTCCATTCTTGCATTTATGTTTAGTTATATTCACAGTGTCTCACTCTAGTATGTGTTATTTTAGTCCTAGTTTAAGCCATATTGAGTTTCTATTCAGTGGATGCTCAGATACCCCAGGTGTGTGTGTGCTGACCCTGGCCTCTGTGATGCAGGATTTTCTCCCTGCTGTCGGCCATCCTCCATCTGGGAAACATCCGCTACAAGAGGAAAACCTACAGAGACGACTCCATAGACATCTACAACCCTGAGGTGCTGCCCATCGTGTCGGAGCTGCTCGAGGTGAGGCCTTTGTGCTCATATGTCACGTAGAACTTTCAAATGTATAGCCTTGTTTCCACCAGCTCTACTTGGCCCGACTCTACTCTACTCTATCTGGTTGCGTTTCCATTACACTTACATCCTTTGGTAACCATGGCTTTCTACAGCACTCTGACCAATCACTCGGCCTGGATAGAGCCAGGGCCAAGAGGGACTAAAAAGTACTAAATCTCTTATCTGTGTTGCAGATTCAGCGGTTGTGTTAAGTCAAGTAGAGTCGGGCCAACTAGGGCTGGTGGAAACATGGCTTATGTTTATATAATATTAACTATCGGCCTTAATGCCTCTCCATCTGGCCTGTATGCTATTCTCAGAAAAACTACCACATAATTTATTTTATTTCAAACAATGAGCCCAAAACACAGTTGGTCAAAAACAAAATCTGTAAATCAGTCCATAGTACTATTGGGTTAATTCAGAGCAAGACTGTGGAAAAACATAATATCCAAACCCGTATTATATATTTTTTTAAGCCAGCAGATGCCAAATAGGTTGTAGAGGGCAAAGGAGTGTCACCAGGGTTAAAATATCCCTCTAATGTGTGTCTGTGTGTGTGTGTGTGTGTGTGCATGTGTGTCTGTGTCTGTGTGTGTGCGTGTGTGTGTGCGTGTGTGTGTGCGCGTGTGTAGGTGAAGGAGGAGATGCTGTTTGAAGCCTTGACCACCAGAAAGACGGTCACAGTGGGAGAGAAGCTGATCGTTCCTTACAAACTCTCTGAGGTACGTCTGAGAGCTTCAGCAGGTGTCCAGCTACAGGTTTATTACGTGTTGCTAATAAATAGTCAGATTTTCTTTGGAAAAAAAATGTTGTTGTTGCTTTTAATCAATGTAAAGTTTCAGGGCTCTATCTTTAGTTGGTTTCACATCAAACTTCTGTAAAAAGTAAAGGGTTAAAATCAAAAAGTTGTAAATGTTGCAATATTACTGTGATAAAATGGTCAGAAAAGACTTGAAGTGAGTACAATTCCTAGAGAGAACCTGGAGATGACAAAACAGTGAAATCATCTGTGTCCTTGTCTTACGCTTTACCCGGGGCCGCGTCGAGGGGCCGCAGGCTGAGCAGACATTCCCAGAGATTTGAACTCATCTGCACATATTTGTTTAGGCTTTTGGTGCCTCTTCATTTATTTACCATTCAACGCAGCCAAATGTAGCGGGTGACGAGAATGTCGCGCTGCTCCCAGGTCAGTTTGTTCCAGCGGAAGAAGGATGTCGAGGTTTTCTTTAATAATTCCAAAGCTTATGTGCAAATAAAGACATGAGTGAAACTGTATCCGTGTCAGAACGCTCCAACACAAGCATCTCTCACACATCTCCACAGTCTGCAGTCTGCACACGGGGCCGCTGACATCACTTGTATTTCACTCATCACTACTTCTCATTACTATCTGTTGACAGAATCTTTAGCAATAAATAACTCCAGATATATTTAAACACAGCTCTGTCGGAGCAGTTTACAGCACAGTTCATACACAAGGAAACTCAAAGTACTTGACAATAATAAATAATCCCAGTACATTAAATAGAGTAAAGATACAATGCTTCAGTAGTTGCAGCTAAACAGAACTGTTTGAACCTGGATTCTCAGAGTAGAAGCCTGTCTCACATTTTCAGGAAGATTGTATCTACATAAATCTGAAAGGCTGCCTCCCTGTGTTTATACCTGACTGGGACGAGCAGGAGGCCAGTCCATGTGCTCCTCAGACCCAACTCTGACCCTAACATGTCACAGATGTACTTTGGTGCGAGGTCTGGGAGCAGAGCAGCTTTAAAAACTATTCTCTGAGCCACAGTCCGCAGAGACCTGAGGACTGGACTAATGTGATTGTACTGGTTCTAGTCAGGACTCGCACTGCAGCTCTAGAATACACTGCTGCTGTTTTACAGCTCGTTTGAAGAGCCCTGTGAGCAGCCGTTCCAGTAGCCCAACCTACTAAGGACAAATGCATGGACTAAACCTGCCGGTGTTCTTGGTCTGGCACGCCTTTGGAATTTGTTCATTGCGACCATTCAAATTGTTGTATTAATGAATTGTCAAGTTCCTCTCTAATTTGTGTGTGTGTGTGTTTGTGTCTGTACGCAGGCTGGCACTGTGCGGGACTCCATGGCAAAGTCTCTGTACTCCGCTCTGTTTGACTGGATCGTCTTCAGGATCAACCACGCTCTGCTCAACATCAAAGACCTGGAGGAGACCACCAAGGTGCTGCCTTTCTCACTCACCACATATCGACCTATCACACATCGACCTATCACACATCGACCTATCACACATCGACCTATCACATATCGCTCTGTCCCTTCCCAATAACACAGCACCGTTCATGCCACTAGAGCTCCACACGGTACTTCTTTGCGACCAACAGTGGCGACACCAGTAAATATGCAATGTGGGGGCAATGTATATATAATACTAGATTCATATTCAAAGATCTTTTAAGAAGAAATGTTAGTGTTGCATCACAAGTTATAGAACAGTAAGAATGAGGAGCACGCGACACAAGATAAAAGAACAATAACTACTAATTAAAATAGAGCGAGATATTTTATTGAATTCTATCATCAAAGAGACAAGTATAAAATCTCTATCTTTAACATTATAAAGAAGTACAAAATCTTTGCCTTTGGCAAAATAGTTTGTTTGCATCTGTACATGTTAGCAGCAGTATGTTTACATCTGTACATGTTAGCAGCAGTATGTTTACATCTGTACATGTTAGCAGCAGTATGTTTACATCTGTACATCTGATTGGGAATCATAAAGCTATCATGCTAAAAAGTTATTTGCTTGAAGTTATGAGTTACTTTCGAAATGTTTCCTCTGCCACATCTGCCTCAAGGTCTGAAGGACTGAAATCTATCTCTCTGCGTCACTGAGAGACAAGATAATAAACTTGTCACTACTGATAGAGAAATTACAGCTTGAGAATTCTAGTAAACTGTAAAAACATAGATCCTTATCATTTCTTTATCCAGATTCTAGATCCACAGTACAAAAGCACGAAAAGCACACACACCAATAGATGAGACTCGCATAAAACAAAAATACAGACGAGCCTATAAACAGCTATAACCGTGTGTAAACCATGAGCAATAGACGTTTTTTAAAGCTGGGGAACCTAACTTTTTTGTTTGCTAAATGCACGGTTATCCTCACAAAAATACTGTAATTTCCGGACTATAAGCCACCATTTCTTTCTAGTTCTTTGGACCCTGCGGCTTATATAGTGATGCGGCTAATATGAGGGTTTATTATTTTGATATCAAGTTTTAGTAGCTATAGGACATTTGTTTATTGTCAAAAAATACAATAACCAAATCTTGTGTTTTAAACTGTTGTGACCAGTTTTCATATTGTAAAGTAGCACATTGATTACTGTAATCTATCTGCTGCATTAAAATATGAAAACCTTATATCCAGGTGCGGCCTTCAAAGAGAAAATACATGTCCTGAACACTAAATTAATAATCCAATATTGTCTTATGGTTCTGTGCGGCCGGTTCTAATACTAATCAAATATCATCTCGGGGGCCAAGATAATTAATTCGCAGGCCGGATCTGGCACCCGGGCCTTGACCTTGACACCCATGGTTTAATGGAAGGAAGACTGATGTCCTGCTTGTATGTGACGCTGCTCCTGTCCCCCAGATCCTGTCCATCGGAGTGTTGGACATCTTTGGTTTCGAGGACTACGAGAACAACAGCTTCGAACAGTTCTGCATCAACTTCGCCAACGAGCGCCTGCAGCATTACTTCAATCAGCACATCTTCAAACTGGAGCAGGTACGAGTGAGACACGCGTCACCCACATCTCTTCACAAAACATGAATCATTCAAGAAATTCCAATTCAATACATTTTTGTACTAAGGTCTGGATTTGCTCCATTGAGGTGGGAGGGGTTAATACCTTTTGCAGATTGAAACGATTGTATCTGAGTTTACCGTGACCTATCTAATGTGGCCGTGGGAGAGAGGCATTTTGCATTTAACCTAGCTTTAGCCATCTCCTTTGCCACTAATGGAGCCCGTGGGGAGTAGTGCCACAACATCAACGAAAATAACATTTGCTAATCATTCCTCTTGCTCTGACTTAAATTTCTAGATATTTGGAGCAGAACCAGAACAGATTACTTTAATATCGCATTCTCCGCCATTGCCAAACTACGACCAGAAAATTCAGCGCAAACTCTTGACGTCACCGACAACTACCTACAGTACAACACCCGCCTCCCCTGCTCGCTGATTGGTTGGGGAGGATTGAACCGAGGAAACTGCAGCCACTAGAATCAGACCCAAACGTACATGTAGGTAATGATAATGGACCAGAGTTTACAGATGGATAAAACCAGGCTAGACACATCCCTCTGACTGTTAGTTTTCCTTCTCGACCCTAAGTTAATTTGCCGTGTGTTAAAAGCCTTACTTTTAATAAAATTAGTAACGCTGCGAATGTGAAGAAGCCGCATATTGTAGTGGTTCGGTTAACCAGGAGAAGGGCAGTCGCTGAATATTTAGAGCACACACAGCAGCATGGGGATTCCCAGTCTCAATGAAACATGAAATGGTGCAGTGAATATTCTTAAGATCACATTTTTTGGGTCAAAATAAATTCTGATCTTGCGGAATATGTGTTATCCCTTTGGCTTGTTCAGTCTTGACCTCATTATCTCCTTGTTGTGATGCGTCCATCTCAGGGTTAAAAGTGGGTTAATAGTTGACCTCCTGTGACTTATTGGCAAAGAGAATTGTGCATGATGGCTGCACAGGGGTGAGTCATGGCGCCCGCAGCCCTCAGCGAGTGGACGGACTTGAAAAGAGCCGTAAAACTGATTTGTTTCTGTGTAAATGTGACAAGCGACTGAAGCTGAGGAAAGGCACTTGAAAGCTCCTGTTTTAAATGAAGACGGAAACGGAACTTCCCCCTTTGGCAGTCGCGCTGATAGTAGTTTAAAAGAGCTGTAAACACTGCTTTGAACTTCCAAAAGTCATTCTATAAAGCCTGATTTTAGCGTGGATGCAGCTAAAACCCACTCCAGGTCTGTTTTTGATGGGAGAACGATGTTGGAACTTGGAGGAAAGATGTGACAGATGAAGCTAGTCTGTTTTTCTAATGTTGACATCGAACGCTTATTTCAAAGGAGAAATTGGCGGCCATGCTTCTTTCAATCATTGTCAATACATGAAAATTGAAAATGACCTCATACCAGGTGTTTTGGCAAATGATTTTGAACTGTAGAATTTTAGGTGCAGTTATTCTCGTTCATTTATTATGTGAAACTGAAGTTCAGGCGTTTGAGTACAGTGTGTATTCTGGTGTTTGGGATCTAAACATCTTCTAGGATTGGATTTATTTTAGAATTTGATTTATTTTGGTTGACTGTGGATTTGATTAATGACAGACACTGGGGTTGGAAGCTTCATTTTCTCAGGAAACCTTCGTGTTGTAAAAGATTTATTGAAAACATATGTCCGAGACTTAAAAAAAGAAATTCATCTCCACATTGATCAAAGACATGTCAATATTATTACAATCAGTCGATCTCAGTGCTGGTTTGTTTGATAAGTTTGGACCTACATTGACAAAGAATGTATTGACTTAATCCTGTCCTTCCTGAAGAACACTCCAAGTCGCTTTAATGTCTGATTTGTACTTTTGCAACAGTTTGACGTGCAATCTCTGCTACTCTTGTAATGCTTATCAATCTATTTATATCAAAGTTTTTCATTTCTCCCGATTGGCTGTTTTATAATTTTTTTTCTATGATTTTGTTTGAATCTGAGTTGGACATATATCTGTATATGTCCAAGAACTCACTAAACTAAACTAAATTCCCAGCGGCTACACCATCTCTGCTGCTCTGAAATGCTGTTGCTTATTATTACTATTGTTAGTTTTTTAGAATGCTGCTAGATTACTGCTACTGGACACCTGAAATTATCTTACGGTGCATCAATAGAGTATCTATCTATCCAAACTAAGAATTTTTCTGATTATCATTGTAATAACAGGCACAAACCATGACTTTTCTTTGGCTCAAGGTGCAAACATGTAGTGAGAGTATATACTGAATAAGGCAGGCTTTTAAAAAACACCTCAATACATTTCTTAAAATAGTTACTACATACACAAAGTACACATTAAGAACAAGCACAACGGGCAGAAAATGTTAATATGTAGGTATTTGCATATGCTGTTAAGAACGGTTCCAGCCTGAAAGCCCTGTGGGGAAACCTGCTGCACACATGATCTTGTAGATTTTACTCCCTGGGTGGAAAATTGTTCCTAGGGAAATCTCCAGGTACTATTAGCTCTTTTTTTTAGGAATCATAAAAACACCAAAGCCACAATTTTAGGGGAAAACATATGAATTCATTATTTTTTTTCAGTGCATATTCTTTTTATGCACTTCTATGCACAGGGCTGAGTGGTTAGGGTTCCATTCCACAGCCAGGGCCATTCTGAGTGGAGTTTGCATATTCTCTCCGTGTCTGTGTAGGTTTTTTTCAATGGATGCTCTGGTTTTTATATATGGGTCCCTTTTCTTGGACACCCCTGAAATAAATAAAAATCTGAAATTTCTGTGAGGCTTTCCTGGTTGATTAAAGATCAATAGATACTCTCACATTAGTTTGACATGTTCTGTTTGGGGCCTTTAAAGTAGCAATATGTAAGAAAGGGCCCTAATCTGTCAAAAGGCATTAATAAAACATGCTCTTTTAAAATTTTATTTAACTTGTAACAATAGTTCAGAGATATTTGGATTTCAAAATTAGTTTTACAGCCCCTAAATCTTGTTATTATTTTCATTTCGATGTCTCGCCCTCCATTGTATCACCAATCAAAAAGTCCGTGATCAGAACTTGCTGCGTCAAGCTAATGTCACTGGTAAAGTACGAAGTGGCCGCAGATCTAAAAAAGGTTTCGTTATGATTCTCAAATCATTCATGACAAAACAAGGAATAAAACTAAGATTTTTATTTTTGTGAAAAAGGTGTTGGTTATAAATTTGTTGTTGACAAAACTCTTTATTCAGATATTATGGTCCCAACTGTGTTTGTCTGCATATCTGGCAACCCGAGTCAGGGAGAGTGCAGTACCACCTTTGGCCAGATTTATACATACCGCTTCTTTAAGTTAAAACCACTTCCTGGGCAAAGCACTTACACACCTTATAAATAAGTAGACTTGTTGAAGTTTTGTTAATAAAGATAATTGAATTGAACTGATGTGGCGCGCTGTTCTAGAGCAGAGTCAGAGGATTTTGTGAAGCTTTATGAGCTCCTTTTCATATAAGACGGTGACGTCAGCAGCACTAATCATCATGAGTTGTTTATTGTTGCAAATGTTCAAAAGCAAAGGTGACTTTAGATGAAATTGGAGCTAAAGCCAGTGGATCATGTCTTTATTAGAGCAATCTTTTTCCCAAGAGCAGAAGAAAATAACATGTAACACTCAGTCGTTATAAACGATACAGTGGCCTGACGACATGCAGCACAGAGAGAGGGCTTGCATCAGAGCAACGACTGACGGTAGTCGGCCTAAACTATCATATAGCAACTCACTCTAGTTCATATGTAAACGGCAGATGGGTATGACCTCTAGAGAAAGTTCTGCCCATTCCTCTTTACATAACAACTCAAGCTCTGTGTGATTACATGAGAGCATTTTCTCAGGGAAGAGTGTAAGAGTTGTGGGAAGGTGGATGGAGCAAAACACAGAATATTATTTTTTAAAAAGCTGTAGATTTCACATATTAACTTGTGCTGTGTTATTATTAGACCCCTTTTTTATTTTATTTTTTTAATTAACAAAAACATGTATAATGATTGGGGCTGCATTGACAATTTTCCCCTTTGTGTGTGTGTGTCTCTCTCTCTGTCTCTGTCTCTCTGTGTGTCTCTGTCGGTCTGTCTGTGTGTCTCTGTGTGTGTTTGTGTCTCTCTGTGTGTATCTCTGTGTGTCTCTCTCTTTGTGTGCCTCTCTCTCTGTGTGCCTCTGTATGTGTGTGTGTGTGTGTCTCTCACAGGAAGAGTACCGGGCAGAGGGCATCAGTTGGAGCAACATCGACTACATCGACAACACAGGCTGCATCAGTCTGATCAGCAGGAAGCCCACCGCCTTGTTCCACCTGCTGGACGAGGAGTGCAAGTGAGTGCTCTGCTGTGTCTCTGGTCTCTGCTGTGCCCATGGTGTCTGCTGTGCCCATGGTGTCTGCTGTGCCCATGGTGTCTGCTGTGCCCATGATGTCTGCTGTGCCCATGATGTCTGCTGTGCCCGTGGTGTCTGCTGTGCCCGTGGTGTCTGCTGTGCCCATGGTGTCTGCTGTGCCCATGGTGTCTGCTGTGCCCGTGGTGTCTGCTGTGCCCGTGGTGTCTGCTGTGCCCGTGGTGTCTGCTGTGCCCGTGGTGTCTGCTGTGCCCATGGTGTCTGCTGTGCCCACGGTGTCTGCTGTGCCCACGGTGTCTGCTGTGCCCATGGTGTCTGCTGTGCCCATGGTGTCTGCTGTGCCCACGGTGTCTGCTGTGCCCACGGTGTCTGCTGTGCCCATGGTGTCTCTGGTCTGTGCTGTCCACATTCTGCACTTTTTATACAATCAGCTGAAGGGCAGGACCAGAGAGAGAGACCAGAGAGAGAGACCAGAGAGAGAGACCAGAGAGAGAGAGACCAGAGAGAGAGAGACCAGAGAGAGAGAGACCAGAGAGAGAGAGACCAGAGAGAGAGAGACCAGAGACAGAGAGACCAGAGACAGAGAGACCAGAGACAGAGAGACCAGAGACAGAGAGACCAGAGACAGAGAGACCAGAGACAGAGAGACCAGAGACAGAGAGACCAGAGACAGAGAGACCAGAGACAGAGAGACCAGAGACAGAGAGAGAGACCAGAGAGAGAGAGACCAGGAAAGAGAGAGTAGTAAGAGAGACCACATAGAGAGAACAGAGAGAGAGAGATAGCCGGGGGAGAGAGAACAAAGAGAGAACAGAGAGAGAACAGAGAGAGAGAGACTATATAAAGAGAGACTACAAACAGAGCACAAAAAGAGACCATAAAAGAGGGACCAGAGAGAGACCACCGACAGAGAGACCACAGATAGTTTGATTCTGACAAACTAAAGATAACTCATGTCATACTAGTGTTATCTGCTATCTAGTGTTGTTGGAGTAAACAGAAGCACACTGTAAAAAAACATGCAAAGTTGAAGACAAAAACTTCCAGGAAACAGCGACTCTGCAAAGATGGACCGCTGCAGATCCTAATTATTATTATTTTAACTTATTTCTTGGAATTCTGGTCACTCTCCTGCCGCAGGCCGTAGACAACCAGCCCAACCTGTCGCACTGGGACATGTTCACACAGCCTTACACTGAGTTACTGTATAATGTGACAAAATGACATTAGAACCAGTAGAATGTGGAAACAAGCTGAAGGAAGTTAGAGAGACTGTTCCATTTGAGGGAATGATAAAACAAAAAGAGTGAGTTGTACCCACAGCCTGGTTTTGAACATGCTCAGGGTAGAGGCCTGTCTCACAACCTCAGGAAGACTGTTCCATAGTTGAGCCGTGCAGATTTGAAATGCTGAATCCCATGTTTAGTCTTGACTTAGGGCACCAGCAGAAGGCCCGTCCCTGTGCTCCTCTGAGTCCCAGCATTAGGCCCGTCCCTGTGCTCCTCTGAGTCCCAGCATTAGGCCCGTCCCTGTGCTCCTCTGAGTCACCAGCAGTAGGCCTGTCCCTGTGCTCCTCTGAGTTCCAGTTGGTTCATATGGCTCTAACATGTCACAGATGTACTTTGGCATGAGGCCATAGAGAGACTTAAAGTAAAATGACTAGCTTGTGTTTTACGGTTTGGGTTGTTTACTGGTATCAGATTGGTACATCCCATTTTGAGATGCTTCGGGAATACTCCTTTCACAGACCATAAAAACTACTACTTCTACTACACATAATGATTGTTCCTCTTCTGGCCACTGTTCAGCACAGGCTTCATGCTCCTTGTGGACAGTAGATGGACGTCCTCCCACCTCTCTCTGCTCCGAGGCCTTGACCGCCTTGTTTTTCAGAGCTCGGGTTTCAGCCTCCAAAGCCCGTGTGTCTCGTTGGTAGTTCCCATCCGCTCTTCCTGTCAGCTGCTGGTTTCCTGCTCTGTCCCCCCGTGTCCCGGAACGTCCCAGGACCAGGGGGGAAAGAGTCGGAGGGAATGGAGGCGTGATCAGGGATTGGCTGAAGGCTCTCAGCGGGGCGTCGGGATGAGTTCTGTTTTTCCAAAGTGTTTGAATATTGAGCCATGATGAGAAAATGACTACGTTACTGCAGACTGAGCCATCACACAGGGAGAGTGGTGCCCTGAGGCGGCGGACATTCACAGCTTTTATTTATTTATTTATATTATTGAGGACATGACAATACACAACGTACTTCAACTACATTTTAAATAACGATAATTAATAAATATTCATTTTTATAGCACTTTTCAAAAACAATGTTTACAAAGCGCTGCACAGTCAGCATAATAAACAATAAAACAGTCATAAGAATACAAAGTCAAAATAATTAGAATAGAAGATACAGGAGGACAAGTCAAACAGAGGAAACACAAGAAGATAGACAAAAAAAAGAAGTGAGAAGTTTAAAACCAACAATTAAAAGCTGTTTGATAAAAGTAGGTTTTAAGAAGTGATTTAAAAGAGGATACTGATGGTGCTAGCCTTATCTCCTCGGGCAGGTCGTTCCAAAGCCGAGGAGCCCGGACAGAGAAGGCTCGGTCACCTTTCGTCCGGAGCCTCGACCTTGGAACATTCAACAGGGACCTGCCCGAGGATCTAAGCCTGCCCGAGGATCTAAGGGCTCGTAGGGGGTTAAAAGTTCATAAATATAGCTGGGTGCCAGACCTAAACGAGCTTCAAAAGTGATCAGTGAAATCTTAAAATCAATTCTAAAACGCACAGGGAGCCAGTGGAGGGACGCTAAGACAGGGGTGATGTGCTCCCTTCTGTTCAAACCAGTGAGAAGTCTGGCTGCTGTTTCCCTTATTTTCATATGATTTCATTGTTGTTTTGAGGTTTTCTTAAATATGTTAATGTTTACAGAGCTTTTCATTTCATTTTCAAGTGGGATCTCAGTTTCTGGGTGGTTCTGGCAAAGGCGAACTGTAGCTTCCTGCTGCTGTCGGGTTGGAAAGATCTTCAATATCTATATTCAGCAACAAATAATGAGTAGACGTATTGGACTATATAGTGGTTATAAATGAATTCAAGATAATCACGTGTAAGATCTACCTTTTATTGTGTGACGACAAAAATGTAGTACAAAACTACCATATGTAATTGTGTGTGTGTTGTTTGTCGGTCAGTTTCCCTCAGGCCACAAACCAGACTCTGTTGGACAAATTCAAGCGGCAGCACGAGGGGAACAGCTACATCGAGTTCCCGGCAGTGATGGAGCCCGCCTTCATCATCCACCACTACGCAGGGAAGGTCAAGTACGGGGTCAAGGTGAGGCTACTGACCGCTACCTACTGTCTGCACCACACTGACCTCTGCCTACTGTCTGCACCACACTGACCTCTGCCTACTGTCTGCACCACACTGACCTCTGCCTACTGTCTGCACCACACTGACCTCTGCCTACTGTTTGCACCACACTGACCTCTGCCTACTGTCTGCATCACACTGACCTCTGCCTACTGTCTGCACCACACTGACCTCTGCCTACTGTCTGCACCACACTGACCTCTGCCTACTGTCTGCACCACACTGACCTCTGCCTACTGTCTGCACCACACTGACCTCTGCCTACTGTCTGCACCACACTGACCTCTGCCTACTGTCTGCACCACACTGACCTCTGCCTACTGTTTGCACCACACTGACCGCTACCTACTGTTTGCACCACACTGACCGCTACCTACTGTTTGCACCACACTGACCGCTACCTACTGTCTGCACCACACTGACCTCTGCCTACTGTTTGCACTAGGGCTGCAGGATATTGGAAATTAGTGCGATATTCAATATGAGTGTTTAGTATTGCGATATTTTTGTCTTTCACGTAAAATTGCAAACTGCATTGAAACGACAAATAACAAAAAATAAGCACAACATTAATGACATTCAAATCCATATAATTATATACTTTTTTGTTGTTTTTGTTGTCTTTTTATAAAGGAAAAAAATACATATATTTTTTAAATTTTATTTTATTGCGGATCTTTTTGATATGGATATCGGACGCACCAATATCAGGATAACAATATGTTATCGATGTATCATGCAGCCCTAGTCTGACTGACCTCAGCCTACTGTCTGCACTACACTGACTGACCACTGCATCTAAAGACACATAAGAAACATTGCTACTTCTTATTTAGTATATTGTGTGTGCTTCCTGTGTGCTCTTTCTACTGTCCTGTATGTGCGCTGCAACATCGACATTTCCCCACTGTGGGAACTCTTATCTTTTAAAGTGTGAGCTGTGTCCGATCAACCACAAAAGCATATTCTATTGAATCATAGGAAAAAAAATGGTCTTTGGTTTCAATGATGGGGATGTTTTAAACACGTAGCTTCTAAAACTGAAAACGATATGTCCGTTCTGGGCTTTAAATGGTATACAGTATGTCTGCATTGATTTGACTGAACTGGTTTGAACTGATAATTTACCGTTATTAACTCGCTCACCACAGCTACATTAGAGCTCGAGTTTTGTGACACAATCAAAACAAAAGACATACAAATATACAAATAAAATAAACAATTCCTGGGGGTTAACTTGCTTATATTGGTAGAGGTAAAGTTGGCTGCATGACACTTTCTCAAAGACATTTTTGTGTTGGCAGCAGAGGGCTACATAAAATGGCTTGTGGGCCTTAGTTTGGACATGCCTGTTTTTAGTTCCATATCCTATAGTTCCTTAAGGTAGGCAAACTCTAACCTAAAAGTTTGAAAAAAGGAAAATTTTAATTGTATGTTAGTGTGAATGGAGCTAAAATCAACTCCAGGACAGATTTTTCAAGTCAGATGAAAACATTTACATTGGCTGCAGTTCATCAGCCACAGTGTCTTCAGCCATCGTGACCCGAACGTGTCTTTGCAGGATTTCCGGGAGAAGAACACGGACCACATGCGACCTGACATTGTGGCCTTGCTCAAGAGCAGTAAGAACGCCTTCATCTGCGGCCTGATGGGGATCGACCCCCCGGCCACGTTCCGCTGGGCCGTGCTGCGTGCCTACTTCAGGGCCCTGGTGGCCTTCAGAGAGGCTGGGAGGAGACACACCCCCAAGAGGCCAGGTCAGTATCTCCCCTCACACTCGCCACACGCTTGTATTACGCATGGACTGACCAAGAGCTGATGTTAGCATAGTGTTAGCTTTAGTGTGGAAGAGGTCAGTTTGAACATATGCTAGCTAGAGCCAATGTCCTTAAAGTGGCAGACGGGTTGGCAAGATGGGTTTTAAGGCAAGCTGGAGTTTTCCCCATTAAGGCATTTGATTGATCAATTCTTCTGGCTCATGTCTGGATTTATAAAGACAAGACAAGATCAGAATTGAAACGCTAGAAACAGAGAGAGAGAGAGCGCATAACCAAGGAATATTGGTGAGTTTGACATTGAGTGGTTACTGAGCTAGAGGAGTTTACTTTACAATGAAAGTCAATAAGAGCCAAAGCAAGTTGGAGTAAAACTTTGTCCATTAGCACTTTCCTTTTGGGCTTAATTGAGCTTACAGGTTAGCATTGTCTATCTCTATACAGTCTAGAATATGCAGATGTTTTAGGTGTATGGATATTAGTGTGGATTAGGACCCGTGCTGGACTTTGGTTTAGTCTTCTGCATATTGTGGTTGTTTTAGCACTTTCACGCCTCCGTAGTCATGATTCCTAGAGCTGCCTTGGACCCTGACTCTAGCCAATTGTATCCTGGTAGCTTCCTGCTGTTGTGAAGGCTCTGTCCTCTCACATGTGTGGCCTCGGTAGTGTAGTACTCTTGCTCCAGAAGTAATGACGGCGCCCTCTTCTTCCTCCTCCTCCTCTCCATCCTCAAAACTCACATCATCATAAGCGACTTGTCTTGTTTGTTCCTTCAGCGAGGGCTCCACACCCGGGGGATATTTCACATGTCCTACGTAGATTTCTCCAATAGTTTTAAATGTGTCAGATGGATCTACAAAACCAGTTCAGGGACAGGAAATGACACCATTGCTGATCATTATTGGCCATTCATCACACCCACTGGATTTCACAGTGGAAACAGCCGGCCTTTTCCATGCAAACTTAAGACGTCAGCAGATATTGAACACATTAGTCACCTTGTTCTTTCGCAAAACATTTGTCAAAAGTCATCATCTGGAGCAGGTTTTTAGCACTTTGAGACTTGACTCAACACGTGTATTCTGAAAAGCGGGTCCAGATGATGACTTTTGTGAAACAATCTGGGATGAATCACATTTTGAGCTTCTTCTTGTCCTTCTCTGTAACATGTAATGAGCTGAGCAAAGCATCAGCATAGGCCGTGAGCTTCATTCTGATGTGTAATAGTTTGCGAGCAGATGTAGGAAGTGTGTAGAAGGCCTCTGGGTGTGGATGCTCTGGACTTAGTGACCTCTTAGCTCCATAGCCTTCGCCTCCACCATCAGCTGTCCAGATAGCCTCCTGTAGAAGATCTGTTCATCTGTCTAATCTCTCTCCTCTTCTCTTTTCCTCCCTCCTTCCTCCCTTGTGTTTGTTTTTCTCTACTCTTTTTTTTTGTTTTGCTTCTCCGAAGGGCATGATGACGCTGCTCCCTGTGCAGTTTTGAAAAGTGTGGATAGTTTTAGCTTTCTGCAGCACCCTGTGCATCAGAGAAGCTTAGAGATCCTGCAGAGATGCAAGGAGGAGAAGTACAGTAAGGCTGAAATAATCCACTCCTCCCACTGTGTCTGTGGCCTGGGAGCAGAGAGGAGACCGAGCAGCAGCAACACCACCACAATCATGTTACACTAAGGTCAAACAGCTGTGGCCGATGCAGTGGGCTCAAACTGGAGTTTGTTATCTGGGTTTTTTCCACATTGAGTTTGTTACTGTTTACAACTTAAACATAAAAAATGTCGCCCTATTTTAGACCTGGTTTAATCCAATGTAGTTTAGCTTGTTCTTTTATCAGACAATATCATTTAGTTTTTGTCTTCCTAATTACAATAACCACATTTATCTCATCAGTTATAGGTTTAAACCTGCAAGTCCTGTTCAATACTTGGGCCCTGTCCAGACGAAGATCATTTGAGTCCTATAAGCAAAAGTATTTTGTTCGAATCATGCTCTTGTCCACATGAATCGGCTAAAAAGAAGGCTCTAAAGAAGGCTGTAAAGAAGGCTGAAGAGAAGCCTGATATGCCAAATTTTGAACCTGTCTCTCAGAGTTGGTCGGACGCCATCACCATCTTCCCATGGCGCTCTGTTTGAAGAATAAATCCATGCAAAAAGTTTCCCCTCATTTGAGTCAAATCTGAAGAAGAAGCCTCCTCTTGTTTCTGGTTTAAACTATTGTTTATTTTGAGTTTTTTCCAAATCTGGTATTTCCTGTCGCAGCCTCACAGCACCACCTGCTGGTTTTATAAGTACATTACACTGTTCTCAGGTGAATTGGATTAATCTGCCGCTTCGTGTGGATGGAAACATTTACAGAGCTACTTCCGTTTATACGCAATACGGCTTCAACACAACACACCGTTTTGTCTCCGTCTGGACAGGGCCCAAGCGCTGCCCTTTCTAGTTTTTGTTAAAGTGATTGATCCGCCGAAACAGATATGATTAATATTCACGTTTGGTGATTTCAATAGTGAAAAAGTGTGTGTTGTGCTTTTATGATAGCTTGACCTTTGCTGAGGGGATGTTTCTGTCACCTTCAAGCCACCTGTCTGGTTCAAGAACCAGACAGATGCAGCCATTTTCTACTCATTGTATTTGCAAAAAATGTGGAAGTGAGCTGTCGAAAAGTTATGATCAATACAGAGCAGACATAAGGAAACTAAAGCGCAGAAATGTCACAGTATGTATATAGAGTATGTACCATGATTGTGTTTCTAGTAAAGCCAAAAATGTACCATAAAATGACCACAAAGAGGCAGATTTCTCACTTTTGTGGCCTTGTTTGGAAGATTCCACGACTGACCATGGGGCTGCCCTGTTTAAACGCCACTTTGTAATCTGTAATATCTCCAAGAACAGTGACTGCTTTTGTCCCACACAACGTCTTTGGACCAGTTTTCTTCAGCCTGTATAAATGCCATGTCATAATCTCAGCTGTGAGAACAGTGGAAGTTGCTGCTGGTCAGTCCCTCTCCCTCTCCACTTGAATCTTTTTGCCATGTTGTCTTTGCACGCTCCATCCTTCTCTATATTTTCATAGAAATCTAGACGTGTGTGCTCGTATTGTTTTATCGCATGATCTGTGTTTTTTTTCTGTCACCTTTGCCTTTGTTTTGCTTTCCGTCTTCCCCTCTGGGCAGTATTGAAAGTTGCTCCCCACACACTACAAAAAAACATTTGTAGAGGATTTGAAATGACTTGAATTCAAGGGTTTGTTCTAAGTTTCAGTCGTTTTTTGACAATTTTTTCTTTTTTTACTGGATGAACCTAGATTCGATGTGATGACATTAAAAATAGCTTCGACTGAGAATTTATATTACAATAGAAAGCATCAGGACAATTCACAAGATATCTATCTCTCATATGTTATAAAAACCGACAAAATTAAGTAGAAATAACTTGACTTTGGCTAAAATTTTAAATGAGACATGTCTAATGAGACAAGCAAAAATGTCTTGTTTTAATTTTGATTCTTCCTTAAATAACAACTGCTTTAGAAATATTATGAAACTGCTGTCCCATTGGCAGATCTCATTTTACAATCTTATAAATGCTGTTATATACCTTAAATTTGATGATTTTTTAAACAATAAACATGCGCTGACTTTTGACACCGATTTTTTCAAACCCAAAATTGTCTTTCATGGACATAGGTCAGTTTGTGTGTCCCATGGACTTCAGAGACCGGAGCAGACCTCTCCCCAGTCCTCTGGGTCCAACAGCGCACACTTCGTTTCGTGCCGAACAATCTCTCTGGTTCTCTGGGCCGCGAGCAGTAGGTTCGCAGTGGTGCTACCTCCGTGACCAATCAGAACGCTCTAATTAGACTGGGCCAGGTTTGTTGGTGTACGTTTATTTTTTAATGATGAAACAACTTACATACAAATACAGATAAAAAAACAGAAGTGTAGGTAATTGATAAACCGATTTTTTTAAATAGAAAAAAGAGATAGAAATCCCCACAACATTCCCCTCTGTCAAAGCTATACTTTCTCGTCAGTTCAACAGGTGGCTTTAAGCACGTTCCTTTCCAAACTATACGTTTTTTTGTAAGAAATTGAATTTTGTACCGGATCTTAAGTTGCACCTCTTATTGATATTGAACAATGCAACTCAAAAACATTCATCATGACTTTTTATTACTGTAAGAATTGAGTCACAGACTGTTCTTAATCTTCCAGTGTGAAGTAGAAAGCAACATCTTCTGGTCTCCTTTCACTTTCATGTCTGTACATAGAACCGAAAACAATTCAATATATGAGATAATTACACAAAGATATTATAGGTGTGGACTTTTAAACTTGGTAACAAACAATAGTATATTACAAATGATTTTTTTCTAGCAGTGCCTGTAAATTTTAAATACACCAACTTGTATTTCCATGTTGTCGAGGGGGAGTACAAATGAATGATTGACATACCATACAGGTTAATTGGACCTCTCTTGGTCTACAGATACTTGGCAAAAGGTTTTTGGCACCACAGAATTAAAATACAGTAATTAAGCCTTGCCTTACCTTACAACAAACCGCAGTGAGGGAATAAATCTGCAGATTCTAGATCGTAATTTACAGTTAATGTCAAGGGTAAACTAAAATGTATTGTGAGTCAATTTTTGCAATTTCGTCAAAAAGTGACTGAAATGAACAAATCCCTGCGTAGAAGTCATGTAACGGCCTGTGTAAGTGCGTGTGCTGTGGTGTTCCCGTGTGTCTAACCTCACGTGTGCGACGTGTGGCCGCTGAGGGGACCAGGTCTGTGTGGTTGGGGCACTTGTCTCTGGACTAACTGGCTCCCTGTTGTCCCGGCTCTGGCTCTACATGGTGCAGGCTCTAGCTTCTCCGGGCTCCAGTGTCTTTTCTCTGGGGACTTCTTCATTGCACTCACGCTTGTTTGTGTTTTTGTTTTGTGCCATTTCGCAGCTCCAGATGAGAGCGAGGTTTTTGACGAAACAGAAAACGGTATACGGATAAAGCGCGATAGGCTAACACAGTAGCAGAAAGCTAACACAGTAGCAGAAAGCTAACACAGTAGCAGAAAGCAGAAAGCTAACACAGTAGAGACAGGCCTTGGACGCCCGACAGAGATGCACCCACTGTTCTGGTCTGTTTAAGCTAAGGCACTGCTGCTCACAAAAAAAAGTATGATTACAGGTAAAGACTATCAGAGAGAGATACCAGAGAGAGAGAGAGACCATGAGAGAGAGAGAGAGAGACCATGAGAGAGAGAGAGAGACCATGAGAGAGATGGACCATGAGAGAGAGAGAAAGAGACCATGAGAGAGAGAAATAGACCATGAGAGAGAGAGAGAGACCATGAGAGAGAGAGAGAGACCAGAGAGAGAGAGAGAAGACCAGAGAGAGAGAGAGACCAGAGAGAGAGAGAAGACCAGAGCGAGAGACCCCAGAATGAGAGACCAGAGATCCTCTATAATAACCTCCTCCTACCATAAGAGTAGTCATAGATGTTTAAGGGCAACAAGTGCTATTTAGACCTGGGGGATGGAGACTTCTGATCAGGGTCAGAGGAGAAGTTTCTAACCTTATCATGATTTGAAGATGAAATAATTTAGTAGTTTCTAGGAGCAGGACAGTTCGTAGAGACAGCCGAAAAGAGCCTGCAGTGTCTCTCCTTAAATACAAACCATTCAAAACATATACAGCCACAAAACAACGCTTTCTCTTCCTCAGAAAGTAATCACTTCCACCACTGATGTCAGACACAGGGGTCAGTCTAAAGCTGAGAGACCCCTGACCCGAAGCAGACCCCGAGCTGTGGTGCATCTCTGGCTCAGTCACCAACCAGGCTGTAGACGCACAACTAAACCACACTGTAGTTCACTGTGCTTCCTCCTGCTCCGACACACCAGCCCTGTGCCCACCTTAACCCCTGCATGGAAAACGTAGCCCCACGAAACACCGGGCCCTCTTCACCACTTCACCTGCTGCAGACTTTTCAGACCAGCAAATAATAATAATAATAATAATACATATTATTTATCATACACCTTACATTTCCACGTAAGACCTCAGATTAAAATACAAAAATCCGACATACATAAGGAACATCAGAAAGAAATGAGATCTTCTTAGAAATAGATAGATAGATAGATGGATAGATGGATTTCATGACATGACGGGATGCTGTGGTCCCCGTTTACATTTATAGACTTCTTAAAAGAATAACCATGCAAGTTGGGTACCCCAGATTTAATTTCATTCTCTAAGTTCAACGCAATTACATACTGTACATCAAATGCATATGTATGTAGTGTGTTTAACTAAAATAGATTCTAATACTGAAAATAACCTTAGGACAGCTCTGTTCAGGGACATTTTATAAGAATTAAATTTTGTAAAATATGTCAAATTTAATAATGGGTGCCAAAGCTAATGCTAAGCTAATCAAAGCCCAACATGGAGCATCCAATTACTTACAAATACAGCTTATGTCAACTGGACCAACACGACACGTGAATTAGCATGTTAGCATTAGCTCAGCGATAGGCCTCGTACAGTTCTATGTACAGTATGTAGTCTTTCCACACACGCACACTGGAGTTCATTAGAGAGGTACGACTCCACTTTGCTAAGGCGAGCTGAATGAGGCGAGTGGCTGGTGAAGAGGGCCGACTAGACCCGACTGTAGCTGAACCCGAGAACACTAACCAGCGGAACTAGTACGCATTAACCTCACCAGTGTTTGGACGAATCTCCAGCTGAATGTGGCGCTAAAGGCACATAACAATCGTGCGTGGCGTGCTGCGGTGTGCTTGGGTGTGCTTGGGTGTGGTGGCGTGTCACGTGACTTTTACGTGTTTGACCATAACCTCTTTGTAAGCAGGTGTGAGCAGGAAGAGCCCCCGCACTCCCCTGTCCAACCTGCAGGGGAGCAACGTCAACGACAAGTCCCCGCGGTAAGAACTCGCAACACTCACAACAGTTTATTCATCTCCACAAAAGGTCAGCGGTAAGAAGAGGAAAGATCTGCGGTGTCACATTCTTTCACACCTGGGCCAAAGAGTATAGATGACAAGGGGCAAAACTCACTTGCCGTTTCGACAATAGCCGCTAGATGGCGCCATTTTGGAATGACCCAGAGAAGGTTTCGCTTTACCGTACATACACTACACAGCAATAACATTATGTCTGAAAACAGTGCTCTGCCATCAGCATTTCATAGACTCCCCAAAGATCCAGAGGTGTCATAAAAGTAGATTTTTGTTTCTCACTGAAGGAATTTAGCAAACATTATCGTGAACAGGTGTTGTAACGTATTTGGACTTTAAAGACACGGGCTGTAGTTAAAAATGTTGAATAGCCTTGTCACCTCTCTTGAGACTAAAGTAATGTTTATTCTATGTTTATGAATGCATTACTGACAGTTCCACAGTGTGCGGCTTCACCAAGAGCATTGGTTCGTTTGTTAATGCGTAAATAAACTGCGTCTATTCAGTTTCCGTAAACCACGTCTGGATTGGAACCTGTACCTATTTGTTGCAATGGGACGTTCTTTTAAGTTTAGCCTTTTGGTAATTCTACACTCCTTTCCTACACTTGCCTAATCCAATAAATGTCTTTGTGAATAGCCCAAAATCAAAACAGCAGTCGTCGGAGGAGTTTACAAAGTTGCTGTCCATGTCTCGGTTCTCTTAATACTGTTCAAAGTGCAGTATTTGGCTCCTGATCCAGCACTTTTTTCTAACTAACTAATTACTCAATTTTGATAAAAATTGTGAAAACCAAAAACTTCAAAAAGACTGTTCTTGGAGTTCCAGTAGTTTCAGAATTCTGGGAGTCCTAGTGCTGATCAGCCCCAGTGCGGAGGGCGACTGCGGCAGCACTAAAGCGGGCGCAGCTGCTTCCTCCGTGATGTAAAGACGGAGAAATGCATTTGGAGCTGAGCGTCCGGGGAGCGGTAAATCACTGAGGATCCGTGGGTGCTGCTCTCACGGACCGAGCAGACAGTGCACAGTTTTATGGTGCGCTCAGATACAGAGAAAAATACACAGAAGATCGATTGTACTGAGAAGATCCTCATGTTTGTTTTAAGGCAAGGCAGGATTGTTTGTATAGCACAGTTACAGTAAAACACAAGGCAACTCAAAGTGCTGAACAAAACATGGTCACACACATTGTAAATAATCACAGTGCTTTAAAAGGAGTGAAGATACAGTCCTTCAGATGTATTCACAAGAATCAAAACTGTCTCCAACACTGAAAACTGACAGAGTAGAAGTCTGTCTCACATGTTCAGGAAGACTGTTCCAGATTTTACCTGTGTGAATCTGAAACGCTGCCTCCAGATGTTTAGTTGTGACTCTGGGACCAGCAGGAGGCTAGTTCCTTTGCACTATTACTGTTTCAAAGTACTGAGGCAAAGTCCCGAGACGTCTTTGAAACGGTTATGAGGCAAATAAGTATTTAACCAAAATGCAGGACTGCTTTAATAACAGGTTTAGTAAACAAGTAATGAGTAAAAAACACAAAACGGAAATAATTATTCTCTGCTGCTGCTAAAGTACAATATAGATCTTGAAATATCTCTGAACCAAGTGCAATTATAGCTCCAGAGTTTTATTTTGTTTCTATTTTTATCATTCTATCACTACAGAAATATCTTATCTTCATAATAAATCAATGTTATACAGTGCTTTTTTGGACACTCAAAGACACTTCACATGTCATTATTCATTCACTCTATACACGGTGGTGATTAACAACTGTACTAGCCACAGCTGCCCTGGGACACACTGACAGAAGCGAGGCCACCAGTAAGTGTCATCGGCCCCTCTGAAATGACACTGAGGCAGAGCAGGTAATGAGACAACAGGAAGTAGAACTAAGGAAGATACAGTGGAGGACAAACTACAAAACAAACCATGAAATGAACCATGAAACTTATTCTTAGAGCTTTAAACAGACTCTTAGTGTATTGTTAAGCTGTCATAATGTAATGATTGAGCCAATCTAGATGTGTGCTAAGGATGAGGCGGGCTCTATCAGACCCGTTGACCCTGTCTCACCTGTGCCCCCACAGCGGCTCCCCGGCTCTGGGCTGGAACGGCCGCGTGAGCCGTCAGAGCCGTATGTCCTCCAGCAGCTCCACGGCCGAAGACGAGATCTTCGTGAACTCCACCAGCAGCAAACTCCTGGAGCGCGCCCACGACATCCTCATGTTAGTACCAACTCTGCTTCACTCTAACCACCACTCAGTTTTAAGGAGGGCTGGATCCACAATATGGTTTGATTCACGGTGCTTTGCGATCCGATGTTCCCTTAACAGTAAACACCGTGTTAAAGTAGCAATGTGTAAGTTTTCCATGTCAAGTCATCATTAAAGGGCCCTAATCTGTCAAAAGGTGTTAATAAAACATTCTCTTTTCCAGTACTTCTTTAACTGATAACAGTAGTTCAGAGATATTTGAATTTCAAAATTAGTTTTACAGCCCCTAAAACTGGTTCTTGTTTTCATTTCGATGTCCCGCCCTCCACTGTTTCACCAATCAGAAAGTCAATGATCTGGGTTGCCAGAACTCACCACGCTGAGCTAATCTCACTGGTAAAGTAACATGTGGCCGCAGAACTAAAACAGGTCTCGTTATGATTCTCAAATCATTAACGACCAGGATTTCTTTCTTTGTGAAAAAGGTGTTGGTTATAGATTTGTTGTTGACAAAACTCTTGTCTATTCAGATGTTATGGTCCTACCTGGATTCGTAAGCATATCTGGCAACCCGAGTCGGAGAAAGTGGTAGAGGTTGCAGTACCACTTTTGGCCAGATTTTGAGGACTGCTCCTTTAACTTTATTGACACACAATTACAATTTACGATATTATCTCAAACCTGGATAGTTCTGTGAGATTATCCTGTTTTTATGCACTGTGGTCCCTCATGTTTCACACACTGTGGTCACTCATGTTTCTTTTCCTCATTCTCAGGCGGAATAAGAACTACAAGCCCAAACCAGCACTTCCCAAGGTACTAGAATCATGTTCTGAGCTTTTTGCATGTATACACATTTCATATACTTATACTGTTTATACATTCACATTTATTCATTGGACCATATAACAATTTTTTTACTAATTTATTTGAGATTAGATGCAGATTTTCTTTAAATCTCACTTAGCTTCACTGAAGTCCGATACATACTATAACCGAACTATAAGATGAATGTTGCTTTTTTCCAGGAACTAAAACTACTTACTGTCCATATTGTGTTTGTTCTGCATTTATTTTACCCAGGGCTAAGTTGTTGGCTCCACTAATTTCCTCTTGAAAAGATAGATAGATGGATACTTTATTGATCCCCTGTACTGTAGGAGAAATGCAGGTGTCCAGCAGCAGCAGAAACACATCCATCCACACAAGCAAAACAAATAGATCATTCAGATTCATCAGATTCAGATTCATTTTATTCGCCATTTGCAGTAACACTACATTGGAATACATTAGTAAAAGTTCCCAGTGTGCACAGGACAAGTACAGACACAAAACAACATTAAAGGACAAAAATGAAACAAATTTTAAAAACAGTAAACAAATACTGTTTACTGTGAAGTTGACCAACTTAAAACAGATCTATACAAGTGCAAAAACATTAAAGTGCTCTATTCACACTGATAACAGCTCGTGGAAAAAAACTATTAGCATAACGAGATGTCCTGCATCTCAGAGAACAGTATCTTCTGCCAGAGGGAAGAAGCTGGAACAAGGCTTTTCCTGGGTGGCCAGAAGAGTCATTGATAATTCTCAGGGCACTGTTAAAAAGTCTGGATTGATAAAGAGCCTCCAGGACAGGAAGTTCACAGCCTACAGTCCTCTTAGCAGAGCGGAGCACCTTGTTTAAAGCTCTCTTTTCTTTATCTGTGATGTTACCGAACCACACAGACACAGAACCAACAAGTAAACTCTCAATGGTGCAGCGATAAAAGTTCAGCAGAATCTTAGAGTTAGTGGTAAATTCTCTAAGTTTCCGCAGGACTAAAAATCTCCTGAAAGAAAACATTTTAATCATGTTTTTAATTGTTAAGAAGTGGCTTTATGTCTTGTTTGGAATCACCTTCATAACCTGTGTCTTTGAACGTCTTGTGGTTAAGTCCGAACATGAGGACCGGATGAGGGTTCTGTTGTAGCTATTAATTGTAGGAGTAGATTATGTGTTATATTCTGCTTTTAAACTCTCCGTGCTCCTGGTCTTCACAGCACCTTCTGAACGTGAAGTCGCTGAAGTACTTGAGCAACCTGACGCTCCACGACCGCATCACAAAGTCCCTGCTGCACCTGCACAAGAAGAAGAAGCCGCCCAGTATCAGCGCCCAGTTCCAGGTCAGTGTCCTCCCCCAGTGTTGGGTCATAACAAAACCACTTTTTTTTTTTTTTTTCTACTATGAACAATTTTTTGGTCTGCCGTAACTTTACTTTTTATATACCATGGGCGGCTGTGACCATGACTGGTGCTGCATCAGTCATGGTCAGTTCTCATTCTATATGTTTTGTGACACATGGAGTGAAGCAAGAGGCCGCTAGTGGTGGCGCTGCTAATCACAGAATGTCGCACTTAACTCTGAGCCTGATCTACTCGAGTACCTCTGCGTCTGCGCTAAAGGACGTGACATCTTCCTCCTCCTCAGTAAAATGGAAAAAGTCAGCCTCAGGGTTAGATCCTAAAGCGATTTCCCCCGAGTGAGAGCTGTAGATCCAGGACTGAGGCTGTAGATCTAGGGCCAAGGCTGTAGATCCAAGACTGAGGATGTAAATGCAGGACTGAAGCTGTAGATCCAGGACTGAGGCTGTAGATCCAGGTCTGAGGCTGTAGATCCAGGTCTGAGGCTGTAGATCCAGGTCTGAGGCTGTTGATCCAGGTCTGAGGTTGTAGATCCAGGTCTGAGGCTGTAGATCCAGGACTGAGGCTGTAGATCCAGGACTGAGGCTGTAGATCCAGGTCTGAGGCTGTTGATCCAGGTCTGAGGCTGTAGATCCAGGTCTGAGGCTGTAGATCCAGGTCTGAGGCTGTAGATCCAGGTCTGAGGCTGTAGATCCAGGTCTGAGGCTGTAGATCCAGGTCTGAGGCTGTAGATCCAGGTCTGAGGCTGTAGATCCAGAACTGAGGCTGTAGATCCAGGACTGAGGCTGTAGATCCAGGACTGAGGCTGTAGATCCAGGTCTGAGGCTGTAGATCCAAGATGAGTAAGACACAGGGAACACATTTCTCTGTGCGGATATTAAAGTATTCTTAGCTCTAAACCAGACAAACACAAACGGTGTGAGGATGAGCTGTGAGAAGAAATGAATAATCTATGTATCCAGGTGTATTCTGTTTGGGTCACACACAAGTGGTTTTGACGCGCAGACAAATGCAGGGCTCTGTGTGTGATGGGGATGAGTGCGGGGGCCTCTCTGGCACGCAGCCGGGCCCCAGAGTGGCCCCCGGTGCAGATGACTTCACTTCCCACATCCGGTGCTCTGCTCATGGCTTTAATCTGCTGTAGACTGGATACACACGGTGGATGTTTACGGCCACACATGCACGCACAGAGAGACGCACACAGAGAGACACACACAGAGAGACGCATACAGAGAGACGCACACAGAGAGACGCAGAGAGGGAGACGCGCAGAGAGGGAGACGCGCAGAGAGGGAGACGCGCAGAGAGGGAGACGCGCAGAGAGGGAGACGCGCAGAGAGGGAGACGCGCAGAGAGGGAGACGCGCACACACGCACACAGACACGCACAGAGACGTAGACACACATAGACACGCACAGAGACGTAGACACACATAGACACGCACAGAGACGTAGACACACATAGACACGCACAGAGACGTAGACACGCACTTAGACACGCACAGAGACGTAGACACGCACTTAGACACGCACAGAGACGTAGACACGCACTTAGACACGCACAGAGACGTAGACACGCACTTAGACACGCACAGAGACGTAGACACGCACTTAGACACGCACAGAGACGTAGACACGCACTTAGACACGCACAGAGACGTAGACACACACATAGACACGCACAGAGACGTAGAGACACACTTAGACACCCACATTGACACACACAAAGACACACACACACACACACACAGATGGCTGGAGACTTTAGGATTGCTCAAGGCCGGGCTGCCAGATATTTCGCAATACTATCAAACAGTTGCTCACAGAAAAACAACAAGTCTTTTTGCTTCCCTCCAAACAAATGCCTGCGATGCGGGTTTTCATTTCAACCTCTCCTCCTCACATCTTTAGCTCGGCTTTATCAGAAAAGTGAAAAAGACAGGACCACCCGCACTCAACCAATCAGCTCTCAGCCCAAAAACTCAAATAACATGTTTTCTCACAAAGATTCAAAAATACCATGGTCCATTTTTCTTTATGATTCCCGGGGGTTCAATCCACTGTGACGTTAGACCAGGGGTGCCAAACCTGTTTTGGATTTTAAAAACAAAAGTTCCCCAGGGGCCTAAAGTGTTTTTACTTGATTTGCACGGCAGGGTCTAAGTTAATAGAGTTGGCAAGGATTTCATAATTAATCATGTTTTCTTGCAAAGGTAATGATAATAATTGAAAAATATAATAATAAATAATGCAATGATTTCACTGGCCACAAAACATTATCTAGCAGGCCGCATTAGCTCTTGGGATTTGTGTTGTATGTCTTTTTATTTTCATATAATCAGATTTCATTCAGTTCAATTTATTTATGTTTAGCCCTAAATCAGATCAGTAGTTACCGCAGAGGACTTTACAAATAATAATAATAATAAAATTGCATCAAACTTAAATAGCGCTTTTTTGGACACTCAAAGACGCTTTACAAAACACATAGAAATTAACATTGAAAAACAAAATTAAGGAAAGGCAATCTGAAACAAGTGGGTTTTGAAAAGAGATTTAAAGTTCAGTAGTGAGTCTGCGTTTCTGATTGGTTGAGGGAGTGAGTTCCAGAGAGTGGGGGCAGCTGCAGCGAAGGCTCGGCCCCCCAAGGTTCGGTGTTTAGTCCTGATGGGAGTGAGGAGGTTGGAGTCTGTGGATCTGAGGCGGCGGGAGGGACAGTGATGATGGAGGAGGTCTGTGAGGTAAGAGGGGGCCAGGTTATGGAGGGATTTGTAGGTGAGGAGGAGGACACAACTGTTGATTCGACAACACAGATCAGAGAGTCAAACCATTCACATGAAATGATGAAATTTCATTGGTCCGTCAGATGACCAATGTCCTTAAATGTTGAGAAAGACCTTTTTGACACGTTTCGATCACTCCAAAAATAATAATACAATACATTTTATTCATGGCTTTTTTGTCTTTCTATGTTTGTGTGTTTTTGTGTATGTGTGTGTGTGTGTGTGTGTGTGTGTGTGTGTGTGTGTGTGGTCCTCCTCAGGCCTCCCTCAACAAACTGATGGAGACCCTGGGTCAGTCGGAGCCTTACTTCGTCAAGTGCATTCGCTCCAACGCAGAGAAGGTAGATTCTGTTTCTGTTGATTTTCAAAGCTCCTCTCTCTTGATGTGGAGCGTTTGTCATTACTGTGTCTTGTTAACCTTTGCCACCTGCACTTGCTTTGCTCCTCTGCCCTCCTCTCTCCTCCCCTTCCCTCCTCCTACCCTCTCCTTCTCTACCTTCCTCTCTCCTCTTCTCTCCTCATCCCCTCGTCTGTCCTCACCTGCCTCCTCTGCTCTCCTCCTCTGCATTTCTGCCCTCCTCTCCCTTCCTCTGCTCTCCTCTTCTCTCCTCATCTCCTCCTTTTTCCTCTTCTGCATCCTCTGCCCTACTCTCTCCCCCTCTCCCCTCCTCTGCCTTTCCTCCTCTCTCCTCTCTCCTCATCTGCCTTAATCTCTCCTCTTATCGCCTCATCTCCTCCTCTGCGTCTCCTCCTCTCCTCATCTGCCCTACTCTCTCCACCTTCATCATCTTATTTCCACCTCTGCCTATCCTCTCTCCTCCTTCTACCCTCCCCTCTCCTCCTCTGCTCTCATTTCTTCTCATCTGCCCTACTCTCCTACTCTCTCCTCCTCTGCCCTACTCTCCTACTCTCTCCTCCTCTGCCCTCCTCTCTCCCACTCTGTCCTACTCTCTCTTCCTCCTTCCCTCTTTTCTCCTACTTTCTTCCTCTCTGCCTTCCTCTTTCCTCCTCTCCCCTCCTGTGCCCTTCTCTCTCCCCATCTGCCCTACTCTCCCCTGCTCTCTCCTCCTCCAGCTGCCCCTCCGCTTTAACGACAGCCTTGTCCTGAGGCAGCTGCGCTACACTGGTATGTTGGAGACCGTGCGGATCCGTCAGTCTGGATACCACAGCAAGTACAGCTACAAGGTATGACTGCTACATTGAAAATACACATCAGACATAAAACACAGTCACACAGACAAAAACCATCAACGCTCTGCTCCATGACTTGCATTCAGGAGGTTCAGAGAGTTGGGTAGGAACTAGTTGGTGCTCTGTAGCGGCGCCCGATGGGAGGAGCTCACAATGACAGTAGAGGACAAGTGAAGGGTCGAGGTCATTTTCTTTGCCTGTTATTTTGACTTGGGGTTATAATAAGCCCAAGTCACAAAAACAAAACACTACTCCTTACGCTCTGTGTCATGTTCAGTCTCAAATGCTGAATCAGATTTGTGGTGTTGAATGAAGTTCTGCTGCTCCCACCTCCCAATCAACATATTTAATTTATAATGAAAGACATGGAGAAGTAGATACTCTGAAAACTGTGTTCTTTTTAATTAGAAAGTCTTCGTCAGGGCAGTGAGTGTTGCAGCTGAGACTGTGCTGGGGTCACCACATGACCTTGCAATATTTACACAATATATAATTGAAAATACAATTAAATTTAAAAAAATTGAGCAAAGAAATAAGTCAGGTTATTATACCAATGACAACATACCCTTCTAACCCAAAACAGGTAATGTTGGATTTTTTTATATTTATTTGTATTCTCTTTATTTGAATTGGGAGAGTGCACATTAATCATGTATTTTTCAACATGTACATACACCAGAGTTATCCATGTAGGCTAATTTTCATCCGTAGTCCCATGATTGATACTTTGCATGTTGCTTTTGTGCTGTCCTCGTTTTCTAATGAGAAATACTGCCACACTTTTGACATGTTTTAATTAGTGCCACATAAACACCACTCTGAAATGTTACCACAACTGAGTTTTAAATTATTGCGTGCGCAGATACCATAAACTGCTACTTAACGAGGACTGCTGTAAAGATCGGGCGAGTCGTCAGGCAGTTTAGCCGATCCCAGATCAGTCAAAAACCATCAAAAATCAGCGAGAACTCGAGAATCGATCACAAGAATGGATCGGCACGTCCCTATCCATATTAGATTCCGATTGGGCCAGTGCTTGTAGACGCTCTCTCTCTGCATGTGACCCATCATGAGAGAGTATCGGTTATTACAGGGTCATGACTCACGGATATATCATCAGCACTTCCGTAACACCGCAGCTGCTCGTGCCACAGTGATGACGACCGTTTTGGGGCCGGGAACAGAGCGTGTGCATTGTGGCGCTGGTGAAAGTCTCTCCTTCTCTGTAATAGCATAAACAGCACATGTGTCCACCTCTGCAGCCGGAGCTCGCTGGGGCTGGAGCTGGGACTGGGAGCGCACAATAGGCCTTTGTTCCATCAGAAGGAGGAACTGGTGTTTATGTTGCCAGGACCTAACCACATGTACTGACAGAGAATCGGTCTGGGCTTCACTCTGATTACACCCTTTTTAAAACACGTCTGGGGGACTTCTGCCCTGTGCTGTACTCACACACGGACGGGAAGACTGTGTTATTGCTTTTGAACGCTTTCACACCGTCACTGGCCCCTCTGTTCCAGCTGTAAGAGATAGTAGAATAACTCACCTGCTGTGCTTTAAACCACTATAAAAACGGCTTTTTGTGGTATTCTAAGTAAAGGAAGAGTTCTTGTGGCTCAAAACTGAACATTTGTTTACATTCCTCCTGAAGTTCTCTCATGTAAAGAAACACTTGTGGTTAAATGCGATGGGATTGAAGAGTTAATGGATTTGGGAGATGGCACTGGACAAACACATGGAGACTAGTTCAATAACCCGTGATAAAAATAGCCATGGATGAACAATCAGTGACGTGCGATGATGGTTGGTGAGGCCTAACTTTCTTCACAATCACATTTACATCCATATCAACATGACCTGCAGAGCGGCTTATTACCATTTGTTTGGCAACTGCGAAACCCCAAATATGTTTCATATTGTCTGCATTCTTTACTCGTGCCAAACACAAAAGCATGGATGAAGTTAATTTAAAACACATTTATAAATTAAGTCCATACACCACTTTTAGACCACAGTTTAGACCAGTTGACAGCGGAAAAAAGTAAAATCACTTTGATGCTTATCATTTCTAGTGGCTCTTAAAACATTTATATAATCACATTTATGTTGGCCACCCTGCAGCTTCTCTAAACAGTTTACAATCAGGGATGAGGACTGCGGACTACGATCCTAGTTTTGCCCCAATGTGTTGCACCGATACTGATAATATCTGTCAAAACTACAGAAGTTTGGGGAAAATCTCAAAAGTCAGCCATGGCTTTGGAACAATCGATTTCAGACCGATCCGTGGTGATTATGGTGGTCCACCTGAGCCCATCCGGGTTTAGAGCATTAAGAACATCCGCAAATGTGATGTCGTCATTGTGCAATTGATCTGCTTACAAAGAGGTCATAGAGGTTACACACTTTGAAAGGGCCCTTATAAGATTCGATAACATTTATTTTTGCACCACAGCAGTCGTCCCGGAGGATTTTACAATGTTCTCGCCAACAACGGATCAGAGAATCGACCAGTTTAAACACTGGAAATGCAATAATAACAAACACATAGGAGCCATTGGTTCACATATAGAGAGTGGGATGACCAATGTCCATAATGTTAGGATATGAAAAAGGCTCCTTCAAAAGATTTTTAATCCGGCAGCACTGCACTGTTAGGGAGAGCTCTGAGTCGTTTTGTTTTCTTGTTCATGTTTTCTATGTTTGTGGCAGGACTTTGTGCAGCATTTCCGTGTACTGCTGCCTGAAGGAACCAGCGCCTCCAAGGAATGCATCCAGCAGTGCCTGCAGAAGCTCAGCCTGTCCTCCGACGGCTACCAAGTGGGAAAGACCATGGTGCGTTCCTTTACAAAAAATGAAGGATGGGGACTTTTATTAAAGCAAATGTCAAGTTAAATGGTATTCTCTGTATGATTCTGTATGTAATGTATGGTCATGTATCCAAGAACCTGCTCAGAGACTAAGTAGGTTGGACAATTGTACTCTGACCATTTAAAAAAAAAAAAAAAAAAAAAACAAACAAACGGGACATAAACCTGTTCTCTGGAGGGAAGTACTTGAAGTTGAGCATCTAATGTGAAAAACAAATAAAGAACTCTCTGCAGCAAAAACACCAGGTCGCAAGGCGGGTTCGGTGCCGAGGCAGTCTGACACACCTGTCCGTGTTGAGGCCACTCAGGGTTTTGGGGCAAATTTTGGGAATGAGCCTATGGTGACTCTCAAGCAATACTTCAAACTATTAACGTGGACAAAATGGAGCTGACTCATCTTTGAGGAAGTTTTATGTTAGCAATGCTGTTTTTGAAATCATGAGCGAATAATGAGGTCGACATTAAAATGCCATCAGCCGAAGCTCCGCCCCCTGAGCCGTGTAATGAAAGCAGAGCTGGTATGAGTGACTCACCACGCGGCCCGCCTGTGTGGTTGTATCATTAGAGGGCCGTTGCTCACTTTCTCCCAGCGGACAGTTGTGGTGGTCAGCTGACGGCCCTCCCCCTTCCCGTCCACAGGTGTTCCTCCGGGAGGCTGAGAGGCAGCAGCTCCAGGCCCTGCTCCACAACCAGGTGCTCCGGCTCATCGTCAGCCTGCAGAGACGCTTCCGAGCCCACCTGGAGAGGAGGCACTTCTGCAGGATGAGAGAGGCGGCCGTCTGCATCCAGGTGTGTCCTCATGCTAACCATACACTCACTGGGTTAGGGTTAGGGTTAGCTTAACTATTGGATCTATCAGTCTTATACATCCACAGTAATTGCAGCCCACTCTGTCGTGGAATGGGGCCCTCTGCCGTCTTTGAAATCATAAACACAACTTCAACTCTACCGATGTATGCCTGCTATACCCTGTTAGAAAGCTCTATAATTCAGCCGTTGACTTCATTTGTTTAGGCTGATACATGTATATGTCGCTAATGTGAGATAGTGAACTTTTGTCATACTGCCAACTTCAGCTTGGTCAAACCTGAATCATAATCGACCGCTGGACAAGTCTTGCTTAACTAAAGTGGCTCTCTTACTATAAAAAAAATTCAACTCAACCAAACTTAAACATGTATTATTTTATTGTAGACTTAAACAGCTGTGCTTCGTGGAGTTAGTTCACTGAAAAGTTGCATGTTGTGCTGGTCCTATGCCCTTCCACAGAACTGCAGCCAGGTCGCTGTGTGGAAAGTCTCTCATGCAGCAGATTTGATGTTGGTGCCTGAAGAATGAAATCAGTGGTTTCTGGTTTATCACGGGGGTTACGTTCTAAAAAAAATCTGCAATAAGTAGCAGTTCTATGTTTTAATGATGTAAAAGTCTTCATCTATGACCTGGATATCTGTCCTGTTCCCATTTCACGCCACATCCAGTTTGTGCAGTGGGGGATATTATTGTTTGTATTTGTTATTTTTGTTATACAAAAGCTTTATCCTTTAGACTTTTGAAGTAAGTTAAATGTTGATGTTTCTTTTTCAACAAATATTCACTTTTTCTGCCTCCTTAACAACAAATTATTGGCATTGGCTTTGAAAAAAACATTAAATTAGTGACGTTTAACTGTTAAATTAAAGTCAAATTTTTTACATACTCTAATTTTGTCCCACATCAGAACTGGTGGCGACTGTACCGTCCCACAGAGGAGGAGGAAGAGGAGGAGGAGAGGAGGAGGAGGAGGAGGAGGAGGAGGAGGAGAGGTGCTTGAGGTACGAGCGGGCCGCGGTGTGTGTGCAGGCCCACTGGAGAGGCTACACGGCCCGGCAGAGGCTGAGCCAGTGGAGGCGGTCCGTCCTGGTGCTGCAGCGGGCCTGGAGGCTGTGGCTGCAGAGGCGATGTGAGGCCGCCCTGGTCCTGCAGACGGCCTGGAGAGCGCATCAGGCCCGGCAGAGACACCTACAGCTCTGCAACACGGTCCTCCAGCTGCAGGCTCTGAGCAGGGGCTTCCTCACCAGGCACAGGTACGGCGGAAGCTGGGGGTACTTATGTTCTCAGTGTTATTTTTCTATTTGAATTGGGTTGGTTATTTTGAACCTGCACAGCCCTTATTTTCACATATATCTATATAAAAGACCAAAAAAAGTACAGGGTTCGAAAAGGGGACGGTTGAAGGAAAGGCTTGTTTGATTCCAACCCCTGTCGCACACAGACTCAGACACACACACACACATGCCCAACAAAACATTGCTGATGATATCGTGCAGTAATTCAATTCAATTCATTTATGTATAGCCCTAAATCACAACAGTAGTTTTCTCAGGACTTAACAAAACTGTTGAAATTGTCAACACGGATCAGAGAATCAACAGTTAAAGTGGTTCTCACCCCCGCTCCTCGGAGCTTACGTCACTCACATTTCCTGTTCAAATCTTCCTCTAAATGGGCGTAGCCTGGAGGACTAAAGGGGGCGTGAACGAGACTGGGCCGTTTATATTGCTCTGGGCGGGGGGCTGCTGACGTCAGGTCCAACTTGCAGACGTCAGGTCTAACTTCTGTGCCAGTGTTGGCGCCAGATTCAAAATTCAAATGTAGTAATACAGGTCGCCAGCAGATGGCGCCTTACAGACGGTTTTAGGCAGAAAGTCTAACTTTCAACTAATTTGCACCAAAGTGACAAGATTATGACCAGGATATGTAGACAACACTATTGCTCATTTATACCGTTTATCAGCAAAAAAAAGTGGATTTGAGGGTGAGTTGTCCTTTAAGACACAGAGATTATAGGAGACATAGGTATTGGTCCATAGGGAGTTGACCAATGTCCTTGAATGTTGATAAATGTCCATAAATGTTGTAGAATGTCAGTGTGTCCTGGATCATGTCCGCAGAATTCACAGTAGAATTCAATAACTCGAAATGTACAATCATGACACTACCACAGACGGCATTGGACGGACAAAAGAATACACACCCACAGACAACACACTGGCCCAAACACTCTCCGACCCTACACCTCTCTCCCACTATTCACATTTGTTTTTGATGCAATCAGATTTGAGTATGATTTAAATCATGTATCCTTCAAAAAGCAGCTCCAATCACTGACTTACGCATTTATTGAAGTGTTCTTGAATGCTTAGCCGCTAGCACAGCCAGACCGTTTGATACCACAATCTGGCATTTGAGGTAGTTTTGTCTCTTGCAATTTGCATGTAAAGAGTCAGATTTGTTGAAATGTTTCCAGTTAGTTCTTGAATAAACTGTTTATGAGATAGCACAGCCAGACCGTTTGAATGTCATGCAGTTGGCCCTGGGAACACATACCTGGATTCCCATTGAATGAGCTAGAGAGATTTAAGAAGTCTGGAATAATAATTTATGTAGTAGTGTTCTAATGTGGTCCTGTTTTTGAATAAAGTGTCTTTTATCAAGTCAGAATTTCTTTCAAACAAGTCCCCCTAAATGGGTACCGCTTATACTAAATGTTCATTGCCAGCAGTGGGGGGGATCAAATTTTTCTATGTATAGTAGGCTTATACATAATACTAACCAATTATGAGAAACGTCCACAGGGAATAACCTCATGTCTTGTGTTGACAGTCTGAAGAAGCAGAGCCGGCACGACAATCCGTTCTGCGGGAAAGGACTGCAGTGGATGAGCCAGCCAGCAGACCACGAGGGCCAAGCGAGAGAGAGCAGATGAGGGAGCTGGAGCAGTCCAGTTCAGCCTGGAGCTGCTCAAAGTGCCGTTCCAGCTAGCTCCGGAGCCCCGGCCTCCCCTCCGAGGACGCCGCTGGTCTTTGGGTTTGTCCCGCCAGCCTCCCCTCCTCTGCGGTCTCCCCAGGCACTCCGGACAGCCAGAGCTCCAAGGGCGCTTCGAACTCATAAGTATGGTACGCTTTGCAACTACTACTACTACTGCATCTACTACTACTGCATCTGCAACTACTACTACTACTACTGCATCTGCAACTACTACTACTACTACTGCATCTGCAACTACTACTACTACTACAGCATCTGTAACTACTACTACTACTACTACTGCATCTGTAACTACTACTACTACTGCATCTACTACTACTACTACTACTGCATCTGCAACTACTACTACTGCGTCTGCAACTACTACTACTACTACTACTACTGCATCTACTACTACTACTGCATCTGCAACTACTACTACTGCATCTGCAACTACTACTACTGCATCTGCAACTACTACTGCATCTGCAACTACTACTACTGCATCTGCAACTACTACTGCATTTGCAACAACTACTGCATCTGCAACAACTACTACTGCATCTGCAACTACTACTACTACTGCATCTGCAACTACTACTACTACTACTACTGCATCTACTACTACTACTACTGCATCTGCAACTACTACTACTGCATCTGCAACTACTACTACTGCATCTGCAACTACTACTACTACTGCATCTGCAACTACTACTACTGCATCTGCAACTACTACTACTGCATCTGCCAAAAAAAAAAAAAAAATATCGATTCAAAATCGATATTGATAAAATCAAATCGCGGGAGAACTACTACTACTGCATCTGCAACTACTGCTACTACTACTGCATCTACTACTACTGCATCTGCAACTACTGCTACTACTACTGCATCTACTACTACTGCATCTGCAACTACTACTACTACTACTACTACTGCAACTACTACTACTACTACTGCATCTGTAACTACTACTACTACTACTGCATCTGTAACTACTACTACTACTACTACTGCATCTACTACTACTGCATCTGCAACTACTACTACTACTACTACTACTGCATCTGCAACTACTACTGCTACTACTAGTAGTAGTAGTTGCAGATGCAGTAGTAGTAGATGCAGTAGTAGTAGTAGTAGTAGTTGCAGATGCAGTAGTAGTAGATGCAGTAGTAGTAGATGCAGTAGTAGTAGTAGTAGTAGTTACAGATGCAGTAGTAGTAGTAGTAGTTACAGATGCAGTAGTAGTAGTAGTACTACTGCATCTACTACTACTGCATCTGCAACTACTACTACTACTACAGCATCTGTAACTACTACTACTACTACTACTGCATCTGTAACTACTACTACTACTGCATCTACTACTACTACTGCATCTGCAACTACTACTACTTCATCTGCAACTACTACTACTGCATCTGCAACTACTACTACTGCATCTGCAACTACTACTGCATTTGCAACAACTATTACTGCATCTGCAACTACTACTACTGCATCTGCAACTACTATTGCATTTGCAACAACTACTACTACTACTGCATCTGCAACTACTACTACTACTACTACTGCATCTACTACTACTACTACTGCATCTGCAACTACTACTACTACTACTACTGTATCTGCAACTACTACTACTACTACTACTGCATCTACTACTACTACTACTACTGCATCTGCAACTACTACTACTACTGCATCTACTACTACTACTGCATCTGCAACTACTACTACTGCATCTGCAACTACTACTACTGCATCTGCAACTACTACTGCATCTGCAACTACTACTGCATCTGCAACTACTACTACTGCATCTGCAACTACTACTACTGCATCTGCACTACTACTGCATTTGCAACAACTACTGCATCTGCAACTACTACTACTACTGCATCTGCAACTACTACTACTACTACTATTGCATCTACTACTACTACTACTGCATCTGCAACTACTACTACTGCATCTGCAACTACTACTACTGCATCTGCAACTACTACTACTGCATCTGCAACTACTACTACTACTGCATCTACTACTACTACTACTGCATCTGCAACTACTACTACTGCATCTGCAACTACTACTACTGCATCTGCAACTACTACTGCATCTGCAACTACTACTACTGCATCTGCCAAAAAAAAAACAAAAAAAAAACTTTTCTTCAAAATCGATATTGATAAAATCGAATCGCGGGAGAACTACTACTACTGCATCTGCAACTACTGCTACTACTACTGCATCTGCAACTACTGCTACTACTACTGCATCTACTACTACTGCATCTGCAACTACTACTACTACTACTACTGCATCTGCACTACTACTACTACCTACATCTGTAACTACTACTACTACTACTGCATCTGCAACTACTACTACTACTACTACTGCATCTACTACTACTGCATCTGCAACTACTGCTACTACTACTACTGCATCTACTACTACTGCATCTGCAACTACTACTACTACTACAGCATCTGTAACTACTACTACTACTACTACTGCATCTGTAACTACTACTACTACTGCATCTACTACTACTACTGCATCTGCAACTACTACTACTTCATCTGCAACTACTACTACTGCATCTGCAACTACTACTACTACTACTACTGCATCTGCAACTACTACTACTACTACATCTGTAACTACTACTACTACTACTGCATCTGCAACTACTACTACTACTGCATCTACTACTACTGCATCTGCAACTACTGCTACTACTACTACTGCATCTACTACTACTGCATCTGCAACTACTACTACTACTACAGCATCTGTAACTACTACTACTACTACTACTGCATCTGTAACTACTACTACTACTGCATCTACTACTACTACTGCATCTGCAACTACTACTACTTCATCTGCAACTACTACTACTGCATCTGCAACTACTACTACTACTACTGCATCTGCAACTACTACTACTGCATCTGCAACTACTACTACTGCATCTGCAACTACTACTGCATTTGCAACAACTACTACTGCATCTGCAACTACTACTACTGCATCTGCAACTACTATTGCATTTGCAACAACTACTACTGCATCTGCAACTACTACTACTACTGCATCTGCAACTACTACTACTATTACTACTGCATCTACTACTACTACTACTACTACTGCATCTGCAACTACTACTACTGCATCTGCAACTACTACTGCATCTGCAACTACTACTGCATCTGCAACTACTACTACTGCATCTGCAACTACTACTGCATCTGCAACAACTACTACTGCATCTGCAACTACTACTGCATCTGCAACTACTACTACTACTACTGCATCTGCAACTACTACTACTACTACTGCATCTACTACTACTACTACTGCATCTGCAACTACTACTACTACTACTACTACTGCATCTGCAACTACTACTGCTACTACTGCATCTACTACTACTACTGCATCTGCAACTACTACTACTACTACTACTACTGCATCTACTACTACTACTACTACTACTACTACTACTACTACTACTACTACTACTGCAACTACTACTACTGCAACTACTACTACACAAAGTTCAAGTGACGCTCTCTGATCTGAACGTCACAAACAGGTGATCACAGAATGAATATTACCTTTTTAGCCGTTTTTGGCTGCGGAGAATGTAAAGACAAACAGATCAATGAGAATACTGCAACTACTACTACTGCATCTACCTCTACTACTACTGCATTTGCAACTACTAATACTGTAGCGTCACTGCAACGAGTACAAGTCTGCATCTACTCACAAACACAGGTGACCACAACAACCCGAGTCAGGGAGAGTGGGAGAGGGTGCAGTACCACTTTTGGCCAGATTTTCACATACTGCTCCTTTAAAAGACTTGTGCTTTTAGTTTTGATATATTTGTCTGGTGCACATTTGGGGGACTTAAGCACATGCATTCCAATGTGGTTTTACGGCAAATGGCAAACAAACTCTGAATTTGAATCGTTTAACCTACACACGTCCATCCATCCATTCATTCATTCATTCACCGCAGACTCACCATGGAACGCCGGATCAGGGTCAGGTCTGCTCTTGGCCTTGTTCTCTGCAAACTCCAGTGTGTTTATGTCCTTTAGCCGGACTCTGTACTTGCTCATCTGCTCACAAATGATGAGCTCCACGCACCTGCACAAAACACACACACACGAACCGTTCCAAACTGTCCCAATCCAAGTGTCCAAGATGGTGAACAGGTGATTTCAGACTGAACCACAAACAGGATCCTAGAAAATCCTTGTGTTTTTGTCTGTGTGAATAAATGTGTGTGTGTGTGTGTGTGTGTGTGTGTATGTCTTGGTCTTGTCTTATGCCATTGATGTGTGTGTGTGTGTCTTGGTCTTATGTGTGGGTGTGTGTGTGTGGGTGTGTATGTCTTGGTCTTTGTCTCACGCCATTGATGTGTGTATGTTTATGTTTCTTGTCTCACGCAATCTATGTGTGTATGTATGTGTGTGTGCGTGTGTATGTTTTTGTGTTTTGCCTCATGCCATCGATATGTGTATGTGTGTGTGTATATATATATATGTGTGTCTTGTCTCACGCAATCCATGTGTGTATGAGTGTGTGGGACAGGGGCCTTACGCGGTGGTCTTGCTGATGTCTTGCACGCTCTGCAGGGGGTCGATGGTGTCGGGGCAGCGCAGGATACACGGAGCGAACACGATGGCCAGGGCGTTGGCCGACATGCGGTTGGTCTCCTCCTGTAGTGCAATTCTACAAAGACGCCAGAGAATTATCATCACCACATCACGGCATGAAAACAAGATGGTGGCATTAAGAAGATTAACTTTATTGATCTCATGATGGAGAAATTCGGTTCGATGAATAGTCGTTTACTGTAACATATCACATCAAGGCATAGAGGCAACATGGTGCTGTTACTTCCACGCTCCTTGTAGGCAAAGTGGGGTAAAGTGTCTTGCCCAAGGACACAACCACAGCAGTGGGAGTCGGTGGAGAAGGTCTTGTGGTGGGTTCAAAAGACCAATACTCTACCAACTGATCCACTGTCGCAGGTTATCTTAACAATCAAACTCCCATGGCAGTCAATCTGACTTCTGTTACATTTGGAAGTGGAATGACTCATGACCCTATTTCAATTCTTGGTCTTCATCGGAATTCGTCATTCATTCTTAATTTTTTTTTTGTATGTCATTTTTTTTGTATTTTCTTGTATTTTTTCGGTGATTTTGAATTGCTTCTCATATTCTTTTATTTATTATTGTTTTGTTAATTGTTTTCAAATGAGCATAAAAGTACAGAGTGTACAAAGAAGCCTGTATTTTTATTTTTTAAATGTATTATGAACTGCCATGGCACTGGATTTGACAACAAAGCTCGAAAGGAAAAATTATTGATTGATTGATTGATTGATAACTTTGTGTTTCTCTTTCTGTGGTGTATTTCTGTTATTGTTTATATTAAATTAAGTTTTATTTTGTAAATACGAGTAGTTCTACCTTTAACTCCCAGCTGTGAAAACAAAACTTGCTTCAGAATTTCATTGATTTGAAAGTGTCAAAATGACTGCTCTGGGAGTTGTAGTAGTTTGAGAATTGTGGGAGTTTTAGTGTTAAATTTAGGAAAAGTGAGACTGGAGTCTTACCGGACGAGGTGGAATATGAGGCGTTCCAGTGTGTTGAGATGAGTGCGGCTTAACTGGTCGATAACTGAATAAACCCCACGGACCATCTCCTTTTTGTCTTGCAAACCTGAAACGAACACACACGTTAGACCCCGGACCATCGACTGACACCAGTGTGGACGCTGCTCAGACCTGCTCAGAGGTGCTCAAAGTGATCCATGCATTCTTCAACTACCCTAAACTCACCACTTCCCACTAAAAACATGTACAGTAGGTATGAATGTAATGAGTGAGTGTATGGATGGTGTTTGGTCGGAGGCTTTGATGGACCAGTGTGTTCGGCGACTCGCTTCTGTCATCACCGTGTGTGAAGGAAATGGAGTAATTCTCTGAACACTGAATAATTGTAAAGTGCTTTGGGTGACCTTGGTCTTGTTAATGCACTATATATTTACACATTACTTACTACTTACTGGTCTGAAATATTTCATACTTTAAAAACTCTTAAGCTTACATTGCAACCAGAACCTTTGTTAATCATCCTCGGAACATCGCAGCGGTTTCAACAACCCACTCTAGCATAACGTCGATTCATTTCTTACTCTCTCATAACCTCAAAAAACATACTACTCATGTCTTGGAAGGGACCAACCGTGCAGAATGCTAAAATGTGGCTGCAGGACCTGTCCAACACACTACACATTGATAAAATTAAATATTTATTAAAAGATAATATTTCAGAATTTCAGAACACCTGGCAACCATTCATAAGATTCCTACAATCCACATCTATATGAACATGAATAAGGTTGTATCTACACAATTTATACAAACACTGTTAGTATTTAAATCACTGCACAACCTGGCTCCATTGTATCTCACGCATTTGCTTACTTTGCACACTCCGGGCAGTGCACTGAGCTCCTCTGGCCAACTTCTCTTGGACTGTCCCAGGTCTAGACTAAAGACTAAAGAAGACCGAGCCTTTGCTGTGGCAGGGCATAGACTAGGAACGCTCTCTCCCTTTTTGTGTCAGAGTTACCCCCTCTCTAGAGAGCTTTAAATCGCAGCTGAAGACACATTTCTTAGCTCTGGCTTTTATGATAGAGGGACCAGTATTTTATTTTTCTGCTGTATCTTATTTTTGTGTTGGGTTGACTCATTTGTAATCTCTGTAAAGCACATTATAACAGTCATGTCTGTTTTTTTTATTTATTTGTGCTATTTAAAAAACTTGACCTTGATTGTTAACAGAGAAATGAATAATCTAATGTAAAGCAATTTTTTAAGACAGTTTTAACCTAACTTTAAAACGGCAGCTTTAAAACAGAGATGTGTTAAAGGGAGGGTGTAAGGAGCGGGGTGTGGAGGAGGCGCACCCATGGCCCGGATGAACTCCTCGTACAGCTCGAAGGTCATCAGGGGGTTGGGCAGATCCCGGAGCCACTGCTTGAACACGCTGCCGATCACATGGATGTTGTAGTCGTCCAGGTTGGTGCTCTCCACGTCTACAACACACAAACACACAAACACACAGTGAGGACGCAAGCCTTTCTCAAAACACAAAATGCTTCACAGGCAAAAGTAAAGAAGACTCCGGGGCTCTCTCTTCCCACGACCGACAAACCAGACTTCGATCTGCAAATGTCAGTGTGTTTTTTTTTATTGTTTGATTTTCTATTTTGCGGATAGGAATGTAAAATCCTGTGACACCCTTCGAGATGACGCTATTGTGATGTTGGCAATACAGAAATAACTGAGGATCCGTCAGAACTTGGTGCTGTGTGCAAGTGTGTGTTTATTCTCTAATAATTTACGGACATTTATGGACAGCGGTCATTATTCTCCACGGACCAATGGCTTCTATGGTGTGTTTGTTATGATTGCATTTCCTGTGTATGAACGGTTTTGATTCTCTAATCTGTTGTTGAGGAACTGACACTATCTGAACTTCTCTGAGACGACTGCTGTTTTGATTTAGGACTATACACAAATAATTTGAATTGTATCACAACGGACATTTAAAGAACGTATTCAGTATGCGGTCTAATCTGTGAAGGACGTTTTTGTCAACGTCTTTGAGGACAATAAAGTTGAATCTGGATCTTTGAAAGCAGCTCTGGTCATGAAGTCCACACAGGTGGCTCTGGGGCCCTCAGTACCTGTGTCCAGGCCTTGTTTGAGCTCTTTGATCTTGTTAGTGGAGCCCGACTTGCGGTAGATGCCTTCAGTGTAGAGTCCGTGCATCTCGATGTAGTTCATAAGCTTCTCCACCACTAGGGGCACCGCTCTCTCATCGCTGGTGAGACGGGACACCTCCACTCCGAACTGTCGGGACGAGAGCTCCGGGTCGAACTGCACACAAACACGCACACACACACGCAAAATAGGGTTAGGCCAAATATGTGTGAAATGATCAGACAGAGAGTTGGAGATTCTTATCCCGCTTCTGTCTTCTGTAAAAACAGCTGCAGTATATTTACAACGCAGCAGCTCGAGTCCTGACTAGAACCAGGAAGTAGGATCACATTAGTCCAGTCCTCAGGTCTCTGGTTCCTGTGGCTCAGAGAATAGACTTTAAAACAGCTCTGCTTGTTACAAGTCTCTCAACGGCCTCGCTCCAAAGTACATCTGTGACATGTTAGTTCCATATGAAGCAAGGAGGACTCTGAGGAGCACAGGGACTGGCCTCCTGCTGGTCCAGAGTCAGGACTAAACATGGAGTCAACCTTTCTGATTTATGCAGTTACAATCTGGAGCAGTCTTCTACTCTGACAATTTTCAAATCCAGGTTAAAAACAGATGTTTAGGATTGCATCTTCACTCTTTTAAATGTATTGTGATTGTTTAGGATTTGTGTCCAGGTGATGTCCCCACACACAAAGCCCAACTTGGATTTGAACATTTTCAGAAAGATTAGTCCAGATTTTAGATTTTAGTCTCTCTCTGATTAGGCATAATTTCTATGTCTCTTGCCAGTCTTGCTCTGGGGTCTCTCTCTCTCTGACCTCTCTCTCTCTGACCTCTCTCTCTGACCTCTCTATGGTATAATCTACTGAGCTGCTAAGTTCTTGTTTATCCCGTTTACTCAAACATTCCAGGCCTGGGCTCAAACACCTTTTATAACTCTTAACAACAAGGCAATAAAAGCAGGAAGTCGAGCCTTCTTTTCACGTTCAAAACACAATGGAACACAGTGATCACACATAATAATGATGCATGAGTGGTGCAGTTTCTTAATACACATTTAAAGCTGGGGTACGTAACTTCCGAAAACCACATCACAAGTTCCTGGCTCTAAAACTCGCTCTACTTCGGTCGCGAGTTTTCACAAAAGTATGTTCACAGCGCTGTAGTTTTTTGTACAATACTCTTTCTGCAGGGCAAGCTACACATGTTGTAAGGGCAACACAGAAAAAGCTACACACCCCAGCTTTAACTTGAAACCAAAAGCAAGAGCGTACCTTCTTACTGCACTTGGTGGTCATTTTCTGGCAGCACTTGCGGTGGCAGGCGTATCGGCACACTGCGGACACAGACACAAAGTCATTGCCGTCGTCCAGACAGAAGCAGCTCCTCCTCATTATTATCGTGTCGGAATAGCTCATAAAAAAACCAAAAAAAAACAAAGCGTTTTTTTACGGCCTCACCGAGCGCAGGTAGGGAGAAAACATCCTGGGAGCGAAAGAAAGGACGGACTGTTTGTGGGCAAAGACCCCATGAGTCCAGTTGAAAACAATCTGATTAGTGCGACCAGGAGGGGGGAGGGGGCGGGGGCTCTGAGCATTTGAGGTCAGACGAATGAGCGTGGAATCCATTACAATTCTGTTTTATAGACAATCGGGTTCTTAGCACGAGTATGTGGTTTATTCCAGACGTTGCATAAGCCAAGACGTAGACGTGGAGGAAGTGTGTGTGGATCCAGTTTGTGATTTTAATAATAATAAGAACCAGAAATAGCCCTGTCATAGTCAGAGTAAAGGAAAGTTGTATTTGCTGTTGTATCTGTTGCTAATGGTAACAGCCCATTCTTATTTGTTCTTTTATTTCCTTGTATGTACTTATTCTTGCACTCTGGGTATTTCTTTTCCATTGAATTCTAAGTTTGCAGTAGCAGAGAAGATGATGTGTAAATGGAAAATGGTGTGGGATTAAATGAATTCTCTTCTTCTCTCTTCTTCTTTTGGGAAACATTTAATTTGGATACAATGTTTTATGTGTAATAATAACTGTGCAACTCCTGTGTTTGCCTGAAATAACAAAATAGCAAATAAGGAAATCGAAACAAATTTGCAAAATTGTGGTGGTTATTGGCAAAATAGATTTGTCACTGGAACAAGTGTCGTTGGTCTCACTTTCATTACTTTTTATATCCATGTATGCCGTCTCTGGTCTCTCTCTCTGGTCTCTCTCTCTGGTCTCTCTCTCTGGTCTCTCTCTCTCTCTGGTCCCTCTCTGGTCCCTCTCTGGTCCCTCTCTGGTCCCTCTCTGGTCCCTCTCTGGTTCCTCTCTGGTCCCTCTCTGGTCCCTCTCTGGTCCCTCTCTGGTCCCTCTCTGGTCCCTCTCTGGTCCCTCTCTGGTCCCTCTCTGGTCCCCCTCTGGTCCCTCTCTAGTCCCTCTCTGGTCCCTCTCGGGTCCCTCTCGGGTCCCTCTCGGGTCCCTCTCGGGTCCCTCTCGGGTCCCTCTCGGGTCCCTCTCGGGTCCCTCTCGGGTCCCTCTCGGGTCCCTCTCTGGTCCCTCTCTGGTCCCTCTCTGGTCCCTCTCTGGTCCCTCTCTGGTCCCTCTCTGGTCCCTCTCTGGTCCCTCTCTGGTCCCTCTCTGGTCCCTCTCTGGTCCCTCTCTGGTCCCTCTCTGGTCCCTCTCTGGTCCCTCTCTGGTCCCTCTCTGGTCCCTCTCTGGTCCCTCTCTGGTCTCTCTCATTGTTCACTGTAGGAAACGCTTGTACATGTTTATCTTTCATTTTCCATGTGACTGGATTCAAACACTTCACAAAGGCCACATTTGGGTTCTTGCCCCATATTCATGCTAACAATAAGGGGCTTAGGACGTGATTAGTGGCTGGAGAGAACTAAGAATAGAATGTAACTGAATAAATCGGACAATAATCCAAACACCTGCAGAACAACACTCACAAAGTGCTCTGGGAAATAGAACATGGCACTTTCTCAGTGAGCCACACAACAAATATATATTGTGTGTGTGTGTGTCTGTGTCTGTCTGTTTCTGCCTTGTGTGTGTGTGTGTGTGTCTCACGTTTGCAGACACAGGCGCGGTCCATCATCCAGATGAGGGAAGAGCAAAACTCGCAGTACGTGGGGATGCTGTACTGAGTGGACTTGAAGATGTGGCCGTTGTGTTCCTCCACCTGAAGCACAGGAGAGGTCAGGAGGAGACGCAGGAGGTCAGGAGGAGACGCAGAGAGGTTAGGAGGAGACGAAGGGGGTAAGGAGGAGAGGGGAGGGGTCAGGAGGAGAGGCAGGAGGTCGGGAGGAGAAGCTAGAGGTCAGGAGGTGAGGGGAAGGGTCAAGAGGAGACGCAGGAGGTCAGGGGGGAAGGAAAGGGGTCAGAAGGAGAGGGGAGGGTCAGGAGGAGAGGAGAGGGGTCAGGAGGTTAGAAGGGGAGGGGAGGGTTCAGGAGGAGTTTGGAGAATTGAGGAGGTCAGGAGGAGAGGGGAGGGAAGGGGTCAGGAGGAGAGGCAGGAGGTAAGGAGGTGAGGGGAAGGGTCAGGAGGAGTTGAGGAGGTCAGGGGGAAAGGAAAGGGGTCAGAAGGAGAGGGGAGGGTCAGGAGGAGAGGAGAGGGGTCAGGAGGTTAGAAGGGGAGGGGAGGGGTCAGGAGGAGAGGTGAGGGGTCAGGAGGAGAGGTGAGGGGTCAGGAGGAGATGGGAGGGTTCAGGAGGAGATGGGAGGGTTCAGGAGGTCAGGAGGAGAGGGGAGGGTTTAATTTGAGAATGGAGGGGTCAGGAGGTCAGCAGTCAGGTCAAAACAGGAGCCAAAACACGTACAATGTCCGTGTCCTTCTTCCGCCGCTTCTTCCTCTCAGTTTTCTGGACCTGCTGAGACACAAGATAAGATAAGACAGAGATCCTTTATTTATCCCACAGTGGGGAAATTTCAATGTTGCAGCGCACAGACAGGACAGTAGTGAGAGACACAGCAACCCTCTGGATAACACCAAACATACAAGTGATACAAACAAACTGTATTGAGAGCCAGGGACTAGTGGCCTGGACTTGGTCTGGTCCCTGTGCTTATGTTGTACCTTGGTCACGTGCTGCAACAGTCTGGTCCCTGTGCTCATGTAGTTCTTTCAGTTAGTTTAGTCTGTATTTGACAGGGACAGTGCACAGAAGCATGAAGATAAAAGACACAGATGTTCTGGAATATTGCTACAACATTTCCATCTGCAGTCCCCGTTTTGCGATCGTACTTTAATAATCTGGTACCTGTGCTCATGTGGTACCTTGGTCAGAGTACAGTGCTGTGGTCCCTGTGCTCATGTGGTATTTGGTCAGAGTACAGTGCTGTGGTCCCTCTGCTCATGTGGTACTTGGTCAGAGTACAGTGCTGTGGTCCCTGTGCTCATGTGGTACTTAGTCATAGTGCTGTGGTCCCTGTGCTCACATGGTACCTTGGTGAGCATGCTTTACCAGTCTGGTCCATGTGCTCATGTGGTACCTTGGTCACTGTACTGTGGTCCCTGTGCTCATGTGGTACTTGTTGACCGTGCGGTGTGGTCCCTATGCTCATGTGATACCTTAGTTACGGTGCTGTAATAGTCTGGTCCCTGTGCTCATGTGGTACCTCGGTCACTGTACTGTGGTCCCTGTGCTCATGTGGTACTTGGTAACGGTGCTGTGGTCCCTGTGCTCATATTGTACTTGGTAACAGTGCTGTGATCCCTGTGCTCATGTGGTACCTTGGTGACCATGCTATGGTCCCTGTGCTCATGTGGTACCTTGGTGACCATGCTATGGTCCCTGTGCTCATGTGGTACCTTGGTGACCATGCTATGGTCCCTGTGCTCATGTGGTACCTTGGTGACCATGCTATGGTCCCTGTGCTCATGTGGTACCTTGGTAACGGTGCTGTCCAGGGGCTTGTACTCCGTCATGAACTCGTCCAGGAAGACTTTGAAGGTGTTGACCCAGACTCGTACCGGGGACTCGCTCCAGTCCCTTTGCTCCTGCCTCATGCTCTTCTCCAGGATGTGTTCGAACAGAGCGTACAGGTCTTTGTAGCGCACGCTTTTGCACTCGTCCATCTGAGAGGGCAGAGAGCAGAGTCAGAGTCAGAAAGAGAGAGAGCAGTGAGAGTCAGAGGGAGAGAGAGAAGAGTCAGAGTCAGAGTGAGAGAGAGAAGAGTCAAAGTCAGAGTGAGAGAGATCAGTCAGAGTCAGAGAGAGTGAGAGTGAGAGTGAGAGAGAGACAGAGACAGAGAGAGCAGAGTCAGAGAGAGAGCGAGAGAGAGAGAGCAGAGTCAGGGAGAGAGATAGAGAGAAGAGTCAGAGAGAGAGACAGCGAGAGAGAGAGAGCAGAGTCACAGAGAGAGAGAGAGAGAGAGAGTCAGAGAGAGAGAGCAGAGACTCAATGAGATGCCCTTTACAAAACCCTTTTACAAGTGCTAAAGCTTCTCTTTCAGATTGATAGTGACAGTATAAAGTGCTGCTGGTAAAGTGCAGCAATGGAGTACGCACCACCAGCGCTGTAGAGTAGGTGATGAAGATGTTCAGACGGAACTCCTTCAGAGCCTTTTTGAAAACCACGTCCACCATCGTGTCCTTCTTACTGTCTTCAGCCTCCAAATCATTGATCTGCAAAGAAATCCACAAAGCACATCAAGACTACAAAAATCGACAAACACATTATGTCTAGAAGTGGTCCATATTCAAAAACATATGCATAATGTTGGTGTGTAGACAGAACCTTCAGACACTTTGATGAGGAAATAGTGAATAGTTGATGACGAGAAAATGTGGAACTTTGTGACAGTTTTTGTTTCTTGTGGATTGACCCAGGAATTCCAACGAAAGCGACTCAGTTTCTACTTTGCTGTGTTGGGTATTTGGATGTCTGTGTGGAATGTTTGTGTATGTTATGTGTGTCTGTGTAGAGCCTATGTCTGTGCAGTGTATGTGTCTCTGTACGTATGTATTGTACATAATTATATCCTGCACAGACTATATTTTTAATCTTTAATATGTTTGCACAATCTGAGTGATTCTCCATCATCCATCCATTTTCTTCCCCTTAATCCATTTCTGTGTCGAGGGAGTGCACCCAGTACACAGAGGACCAGCCCCTCACTGATCCTCCTGCAGGTGGTGAGTCCACAGGAGCTGAGATCTTTCAGAGGGGGCTTCAGGCAAAGTGGGGTTAAGTGTCTTGCCCAAGGACACAACGACAGCAGTCATCAGTGGGAGTCATGAAGTAGGTCTTGAGGTGGGCTCAAACCCACGACCTTCAGGCTCTGAGGCCAATGCTCTACTGACTGAGCCACTATTGCCTCTCTGAGTGATTCTATCTATGTGACATGTACATTTCTCCTGTGTGAGATCAATAAAGTCCATTTTATCTTATCTTGTGTCTGTGTGTGCCCTGCCCTGCTCTGCTCTGGAAACGCTCCAAAAAACTAGCCACCCTCCATAGTCACCATGCAGGACTTTTCAGCAGCCTTTGGAATGAAGTGATGTCACATAAACACCACCAATACCTTGATGTTACAAACAGACTTGACTGGAATTGTACATATTTGCCCCAAACAGAGTCATGAGAGAAGAGGCAGTAGAAGCAGAGGGGTCGGGGGTCAGGGGTGAGAGCAGCACCTTCTTCATGAGGAAGTCGTTCATGCTGCGGTAATCGTTGGAGCAGGACAGGATGTGCAGTGCATCGTTCTGCCACTGGGCGGGGGGCTCCAGCGTCACACTGCTGATCTTCACGCTGCGTCTCCTCTTCACTTTGGGCGAGGGCTCCTTGTTCTCCTTATGCTCCCTGCTCCCCCGCTCCAGAGTCCCGCTGGGGCTGAGGGGCGGAGACATGTTCTCCTGACCTACACACAGATACACACGCACACATGTCGTTTCCTCAACTGGTCATTTCATTTTCATTTATTTATTTATTTAATGAAGTTGGGACAATGTAAATTCATCAACATGGATGCCTTGAGCGTCAGAGTAAATGCGCCAGACTTAGCATAACAGCTACATTTCAGCCGTAGTCACAATGCAATAGACAATATGAAGGTGAAACAGACACAGACAGACAAGATAAAACAGACAGCTATAGAACAAAAAACCTAAAAGGATCAAGTATTTTAGCTATATGGGTACATGACCACTGTTTGAGATTTTTTAAGTGTGTGGTTGTTGCAGTTTCTGATGTGTGATGATAACTTGGTGATAATTAAAATCTCTTGGGAGCAAAAGCTGTGCAGAGTCATCTCCATTTTGTAGCTTGTTGGTTTTGGTCACCGTGCTTTCTTAAACACATTCTGAACGGATTTTATTTACTTGTGTACGTTTTTATAGCTGTCTCCTGTGAATATCAATTATTTTCAGTTTCAAGGTTCAAGGAAATGAGCCCTGAATGACCTTAGAGCAGGGTTGTCAAAGCAGTCCTCAAAAGGCCGATGTGGCAACGGTGAACGCACTCGAGGAAATGGCACATCAGTTTAATATTTACAGTCTATGCCTTTTGCCTCCCATGGGGCTTTTTCAAAATGGCCACGGGGCAGGAAATTGAAAAAACGCATTTGCGCACACGTTAACTGGGTTAACCCTAGCCCCATTCAGTGCATTCAAAAGTCCACAGCGAATACACTAGACTGGTCCAAAAAATAATAATATTCCCTTCAGGATTGACAGCATTTGGAACGTACAATGGCGGCAAGAGACTTTTGGACAAAGGAGACTTTTTGAGAGGAAAGAAGAACCAATGGGTAATTCTGTTTCCGGGTACACCCCCACCGGCCCGGAGTGAGATAGCAGTATATCAGCGCACATGCTCATGGACCTTTTGGAGCCGGGAGCCGAGACCCACCCCCCACTGGGAAATGGGTCTGCTGTGCTCCTGCTTGATTGGAATGAAAACCTGCAGCCACAATGGCCCTTTGAAGACTGGTCCAACACTCCTGGATTGAAGGAACCCAAGGCTGCCGTTTGTTGGAGAACATTTCCTTGTGATGATTTTGAACATTCTGTCAGGTTAAATCAGATCTGATTAACGTTACAATATAAAAATAAGGTCTGAACTTTTTGAAGATTTCTACAACAGTAACCTATTGAAAACAATGATTAAAAAAAACTAGCCACACATTAAGCACAAATGGTGATTGGGCTTGAGGATAATCTGGATACGACTTTTAGTATCGCCCACATCGCGGTCCAGGACTGACCCCTGCGTCTGTCCCACCCTGAGCTCACCTTCTCCGGGCAGAGCACCATCTGCAGAGTCCAGCTCCAGAGAGTCGGGGCCCGGAACCAGCTTCTCTCTGGACAGCTTCTTTTCTCCGTACTTGGATTTGCCCCAGAAACGCATCTTCCGCCCCCTGAAAGAGTATACATGGACCATAAAGCAGGAGCCAACAGTGGTGATCTAATTACAGAGGTCATTTTAAATTATCTAGAAGAATCAAACATTTACCAGGCTGCCTTATATCTATTATTAGTGTTTTTCACCACATTGTCTTTCAAAATATTTCAATGTTAAACTCATGACAACTTGTAAGAAGTCATGGGCCGTTTTTAGCATGGTGAGAAAGCTCTGAGTTGTTTGACCAACTTTTTAACCACAGGGAAGACAAGGTCATCGTCGTCTATCACAAGCAATAAAGACTCTTTCCAACATGTGTCTTATAAGGACAACTTCATAAAGGAAAGATAAGGCCTACATAGTCTTGTGGCTCAGAGAATAGACTTTAAAGCAGCTCACAAGTCTGTCTCGCAGGCATGTCACAGATGGCCTCGCATCTGTGACATGTTAGTGCCATATGAACCAACTCTGACCCTGAGGAGCACAGGGACTACATGGGTCTGGCGAGAGTCAGGCCCACAGGGACTGGCCTCCTGCTGGGACTCTGAGGAGCACAAGGACTGGCGCGGAGTCTGGGCTAAACATGGGAAGGCAGAATTTCTGATATATGCAGCTGAAGTCTGGAACAGTCTTACTGAATTTATTTTAAACCACAGACAATACATTTGTCAATAAGCAAAGTACTGTGTGTGTGTGTGTGTGTGTGTGTGTGTGTGTGTGTGTGTGTGTGTGTGCGTGCGTGCGTGCGTGCGTGCGTGCGTGCGTGCGTGCGTGCGTGCGTGCGTGCGTGCGTGCGTGCGTGCGTGTCAGACCTTCCGTCCTGGGAGTTTTTGCGGAGGCTTTCCACTTTGCCCAGATCTCCAGAGGACATGGCTTTGTGCATCTTCTTCTCGTCACCCCGAGGAGGCTGCAACAAGTCACAGATGTGGAATTAGGGTTTGTTCAGGATCCTACAGACCGGACTGTCCCATCGAGCCCTTTGCCGTCACATGGAGGCAAATGCATACAAGGAAAAGTGAAAACAAGAGCATAGAGCAAAACAAGATATGGATTTTAACATTGTGTGGTGAAAGATATTTACCACATTGGGAATAAAAGTTTACACCTCAGGACTTCTTAGTTCTTTGACCATATTCTATGTTTTATGAATGATAATACAAACATGTTCTGTAAGTGGTTGTGTGAGGTCATTTGTTGTAAAATAAAAGCACTTTCTATGCTCAAATGATAATGAAAAGATGGATTTTTCATTATCATTTCTCCATCCCCCACTTCTCAACAGTCTGTGTTGCCTTTAAAACATTTATGACGGCTTGGAGACTTGTGGTAGTTGTGGAAGAAGTTCTTTAACACATCTTATTTCTCTCGCTCTCTCTGGTCTTTCACTCTTTGTGGTCTCTTGCTCTTTCTGGTTTCTCTGTCTCTTTCTCTGGTCTCTCTCTGGTCTCTCTCTGGTATCTCTAGTCTCACTGGTTTCCCTTTCTGGTCCCTCTGGTCTCCCTTTGGTCTCTCTCTCTCTTTCTGGTCTCCCTCTCTTTCTGGTCTCTCTCTCTTTCTGGTTTCCTCTCTGATGGTAAACCTGCCCAGTCTTCTAGGAAAAAAGCCACCAGTTCTTGTATAGTAGTAGTAAGTAGTAGTAATCTTTATGTATATACCGCCTTTTCACTGCAGATCTGAGTCTCAAAGCGGTTTACAATTGTTATTTTTTGGGCATTTGTCTCTCACTCCACACAGAGATGGGAGCGGGGCCAGTACAGGAGGCACATGCTAGAACTATTGGACATATTTTTAGTGGTAGGGGAAACCGGAGTACCCGGAGGAAACCTACGCAGACACGGGGAGAACATGCAAACTCCACTCAGAAAGGCCCTGGTCCGACCGGGATTCGAACCCAGGACCTTCTTGCTGAGAGGCGAGAGTGCTATCCACTCAGCCACCGTGCCAAATATATTCCTGGACTGCCTTGCATGAACTGCAGGTTTGAATTCTCTGAGAACGACAGACGTTTATTTTACAATAAATACTTTCACACAATCACTAACGGGAAGTGAAAATGTGATTCTATTCAAAATTTGCTAAAAATAATATTATTTTAATTTCACCTCCTGTAGCCCGCGTTCTGAAGACATTTGAACATTTACTTTCGGACCAAATCCATGGATCACTTTCTGCTATGTTCAGTTCAATCCACTAGATGGCGGTGTAAGCATGGCTATTTCTCACAGTGAAGTCCAGTGGTAAAACCCTTTCATCGAGTTGGTCACGTTTTCTTTTCAGGGTTGCCACATATGGACAGCACGGTGGTAAACAAAATGCAAACGAGTATCATCTTTTCAACAGTGCCAATAAGAGAAAATACATACACACACACTTGGATATAATGTGACTATTTAGTATATTGTATCCATCTTTAGAAGAAGCACGTGTCATTAGATTTGACAGGACAATCACAAGAATTGCATTGGCAGAACATGCAAACAGTATGAATCACAGAAGATGTACATGTTAGTGGTAGATTCAGTCAGTGTTAGTCCAGCCGTCTGTGCCGCGAGGAGGAGCTGGGTCCGAACCAGCTCCACACAGCAACAACGCCCCAGGGTTTGGGGAGTGGGTGGAGGGGGAGTGAAGGGGTGGACCAAACGGGGTGAAGGGGGAGGGGGCTTTGGGTCTCTAGGAATTTTTCACTAATGTTTTTAAAATTAAATTTTACTTATTTTGTACTTACTGTCCATCTCCTACCCACAATGTTGCTTTACAGGAATTTGTATAAACTGTAAACTATAAAAACTGTAACTAAAGTATACTTAACTATTGTATATGTACTCCCCTATCACTGGCCGTTAAAAGCCACAACTACTTCTTTTTAAGTTATTTGAAGGCTGCGGCTTATTTAGCAATGAGGCCAATATATATATTCTATGTTATTGGAAAAGGGTGCCCCTAGAGGTGGAGATTTGCAAGCCAAGAGTGATTGACATTTATCAGAATCATTTTTATTGCCACGTAAGTAAAAAATAAAAGTTACCACTTGGAAATTGTTTTGGCAGAGAGCGTGCCACTCCGCCATTTGCGGCGCTTTATGGACATTGATCTCCTGCCCCTTATGGACCAATGGCTCAGATGTGTTTTTTTTATCATTGTATTTCTTGAGTTTGAACTGTTTGATTCTGCAAAGTCCTCCGAGATGACTACTGTTGTGAAGACTATCCAAAATTAAAGTAATTATATTGAATTTTGTAGTTTTGTTTTGAGTTAGTCCGTGTTATCTCAGGACATAAACATAACCATTCCCCAGTGCGCACTCGGGCCCTGTTGCTGTGTGTGCCGTTTCAGACAGGCCGTTTGTTGAACGCGTCGGAAAAGTGGTGTTAGTAAAAACGCGTTGCTGCCCTGGCAGAAGGGGTTAGGCGCGCTGACAGCAGGTGGCGCTGTTACCATGTCCGAGTCACTGAAACAGCCCTCCACCCCCGCACCGGCTTTGGGCAGGGGCAGAGTGAAATGGCGGGGGCTGAGCGGGTCTTCGTCCTCCTCAGAGTCTCCGCCCGCCGACGTGACAGGCGCACGCGTCAGGAAGTCAGAGCGCGTCCGGGCCATGCGCGCTTTCTTTTTGGGGCCTGCTCTGCCCACCTGGAGTTCATCACAAGTCACATGTCATGGACGGGGTGGCAGCAGGTCAGAGTGGGTCACATTTGTGCCCTTAGAATGCAGGTGTTTAAACCGGTCCAAAGAGCAAAAGGCCGGTGTGGATTCAGGTTTTCGTTCCAAACAAGCAGGAGCACAGCGGGCTTCACCAATTTCCTCAGGTGACGCCGGTCTTAACCTGAAGAAATGGGAAGAGTCTGGTCTCTCTCTTTGCTCTCTCTGGAGACTAGTCTTCTCTTGCTTGGTTTGGAATAAAAACCTGCAGCTAAACCGGCTCTTTGAGGACCGGTTGGACATCCCTGCCTTAGAATCATGAGGCTTTTTCTGCCTTCTGGGCTGTTCTCACACTTTGAACCATTTTGATTGAAATGGGGACATGTGAGAATGAAAAAGTATACAGATGCTGACGCACACTTCACTCTGAACAGTCCTGATTCTGAGGGGTTGACGTGTAGTACTGTCCTCACCACAACACACACAAACACAAACGCACACACAAATAAGCACAGGCACAGCACAGGCACAAACACGCACACACACGCCGCTTACGTCACGAGCTTTGGACGTTTTAGAAGTACTCTTGGAGATTGGAGCTGCCTCTTTCACACCGCTCGACCCCTTGGAGCCACCGTCACTCCTGAAGGACAAATATGATGCATTAATTGTGTTCATTTTGTACCTTAAGCATGACACTTGTTCACCTTTCAACACGAAAAAGTAGAAAATATATGTACAGGATGTAAAATGACGAGAGATGACCAAAATGGGAAACACTGCTCTCTTGTGGTGGAAGTTGGAAATGTGATTCTAAATGTAACACGGTGAGAATGAAAGCCTTTAGTCAACTATACCTTACAATGAATACAACATTTGCATTATACAAGCCTTGCTCCAGACTCAAAACAACTAATTTCGACGGCAACAGGTGAGATAGGAACCACAGTCCACATAAACAAATGTGCATCCCATACCTCATGTTCCCCTCCCATCTGTAAATATGTACTTCATGTTCTGTGCTTTGACAGTGTATATTGTTAGTATAGTCTGTTTTATTGTCATCATTTACCCTCCTCCATCTCATACCTCATGTTCCCCTCCTATCTGTAAATATGCACTTCATGTTTCTTCTTCTGCCTCTTGTATCTTCAGCTGCATATTTTTAGTGATGCCTGTTTATTTCTATCATGTCTCTCATTAAGTTCTCTTCATACCTGCAAATGTGAAGTGAGCCGTATATCTATAACAAGGTATATCTATATATATCTATATCGTATATCTATAACAAGGTATTTTCTCTGCTTCTCTTTTCATGTATATTTGTAAGACTGCAAAATTGAAATTAAAATACATTTTCTAGCCAAATAGTAAAGAGAAAAAGGGCTGAGGCACTCTGACTTGGTAAAGGCTTTTTATTATATGTCAGAGTGCCTCGGACCTTTTCCACTTTGTTATCCATTTATCGTTTATCCATGATGCAGGGCTTGTGTTAGTAGTTATATTAGCTGGGGCTGGTCCACACAGCAGCAGTGGAGCACTCACTTTGAGCCTTTATCCTTGGGCGAGAAGAAGATGTTGCTGGGTTTGTCGTGGGCCGCCGTGTCCTGCGGAGGCTGCAGCTTCTTGCCCACACTCTTCCCCTTGACGCCTCCCTCTCTGGACTCCAGCTTGAGCTTGGGCACCCATCCCTCTGGGGTGGCCGTGCCCTGCTTGTGCCTGGGACTGGGGGTAGACTGCGGGGGGAGCTGTGGTTGCGGAGTGACCCCCTGGATGTCCACGGCCGGGGGAGACTGAGCGCAGGGAGGGCTGGACTCAGATTCGGTCCGGGCTCTGGGACTGGGACCGCTAGACCTCTCGATGTACAGAGAGCTGGGTCTGCTTCTCCTGCTCCCCGCTGTGTCCTGGGCCTGTCAGGACGAGAACAAAACATGTATTAGAATATAAACTACTGCTATTCACAAGTCACTTTACCTGCAATGTTTATATTAATAATAATGAGTATGGAGTGAAAAAATATTGACATGTGAAGCGTTTTTGAGTGTCCAAAAAAGCACTATATAAATCTGATGCATTATTATTATTATTATTATTATGCAACTCAAATCTTTCATTCCTTTCAAACCTTTGCCAAGTTGACCAATCTGGTGCCATTTTCACATTAATGATCTGAGTCTGGAACTCTGATGAACTCCTTTAAATAAGGAGAAATATCTTGTGTACGGCCTGGCAACACGTTTGTTAGTGTGTGTGGGTAGCAGTCTCCTTAGACAGCTGCCCCCCACACACGAAAGAAGCGGAAGAAAATGGATGGGGAAAAAACATCTTCAAACCCACTGTTCTCAGATCTGTGTAAATACAGCCAGCCAACACGACCCCATGACATCAAACATCTACCTGCCATCGTAAAATTGAGAACAAAATCCTGAATTCTGTCTGTTCAAATCAAGTAGAAAAGACCCTTTTTCCTAGTGACCAGTCTCACCAGTGACTACCTCTGCTGCGGTGACATAAAGTGCTCTTGCTCTTTATAACTATTGTTAGTAACATTCAGATATATGTATTCATTTGTTTGTTGGGTCGGATGTAGAGGTGTTGGTCACTAATATCTTAAATAATAGACCCTTTTTGATGCGTTCAATCTGAGTGCTCTTATTCTCTGCTGTAATTTACGCAACAATGACACTGATATTTCCACACAGAGGGATATCTGTGTGTTTCTGCTGCTGGACACCTGAATTGGTTCTACGGAGGATCAATATCCTACCCATATCATTATCCTATCCTCCCATATCCTACCTGGGCCTCCTGCTTGCTCTGCTGGATCTTGTGCAAAGCTTCTCCTCTCTGCTTCTCAAACATGTCCTTCTCGTACTGTGCGAAGAACTGTCTCTGTCTCTCCAGCACCTCTTTCTGCTGCCGGATCTGCTCCATCATCTCCTTCTCGTTCTGCTGCTGCCGGCTCTTCTGCCTCTCCTCCTTCTCCACATTCAGCTTCAGCAGTTTGTCCATAACTACCTGGTCTGAGCGCGGACCCGAGCTGGCGGTTTGCGGTGAAGGCGTGAGCTCTCCCGTTTGGGCCGCCGTGTCTCGCAGCTCCACCGGGTTGCGCACCATCTCCGTCAGCTCGTCACTTAGCGGAGTCTCTTTCTGCATGCTGATGACTACAACCACGGGTCTACGACTCGATTCCCGTCGCTCTTTGAGAGGTTTACCAGTAGCATTAGTAGCAGTAGTAGTAGTCGTAGTGACCGCAGCAGTAGCCATTTCTGTGGGTCGTTGTGGCTCATTCGCAGGTGTAGCACTGCTGCCTTCTGGGACGTAAAAAGTTGGGAGGTAGTTTTGGATTCTGGGCGGATGTGTGATCAAAGTGTCTGTAGAGGATGGATGTTCAAGCTTAGGTTCTGTTTGACCGAGATCTAGAGAGGTTGGATGGTCAGCCTTAGTTTCTGCTGAAGATAGTTCTAGAGAGATTGGATGGTCATTCTTAGTTTCTGCTGAAGAGGGTTCTATAGAGATTGGATGGTCAGGCTTAGTTTCGGCTGACGAGAGTTCTAAAGAGGTTGGATGTTCAGGCTTAGTTCCTGCTGAAGAAAGTTCTAAAGAGGTTGGAGGGTCAGGCTTTGGGCTTGTGGAACTCTCTCCTTCTCCTTCTTGCGAGACAGAATGGACAGGCGAGCAGAGGTCTTCAGTGTCTGTGATCTCCTCTAAGGCTTTGGGAGGTACGTCGTCCATACTTAAGAGTTCGAAGCTGCCCTTGGAGCTCTGGCTGTCCGGAGTGCCTTGGGGAGACCGCAGAGGAGGGGAGGCTGGCGGGACAAACTCCAAAGACCAGCGGCGTTCCTCGGAGGGGGAGGCCGGGGCTCCGGAGCTAGTGGAACGCACTTTGAGCAGCTCCAGGCTGAACTTGGCCTGCTCCAGCTCCCTCATCCTGCGGCTCTCACGCTTGGCCCTCGTGGTCTTCTGGCTGGGCTCATCCACGGTGCGAGACCTTTCCCGCAGAACGGATGGGAGCGTGGCCGGCTCTGCTTCTTCAGACTGCAACACAAGACATGAGGTTTTATTCCCATAGGCCTTTCTCGATATATTGGTTAGGTATTATGTAAAAGCCTACTATACATATAAAAATTTTGACCACTGCTGGCAATGACATTTAGTAGTAAGCGGTCACATTACCTGGCGTCGGGGGACTTTAGTAGCCTCCTCTTGGTGTTTGATAGAGGCCTCCCATGTGCTGAGGACCAGCCCAGGCAGGGTCTCTGGTGTGCCCTCCTCCTCCTCTGGGGAAACGGTCACATCTGCTGACGGTAGCTCGTCCTCTCTCTCCTTTAGCCTCTGCTGCTGCATGCTCTGCAATCTAAAAACAGGAACACATTAGGAATTTAGGAACAGTCGTATAAATGCTACTTTGGGCTGTTAGTGACATTCATTATACATTCCTATCTACACTTTGTAATTATACACTTTTGTACCCATTTTTTCTGGTTTGAAAGAAATTCTGACTTGATAAAAGACACTTTATTTCAAACTTAGACACTACATAAATTATTATTCCAGACTTCTTAATCTCTCTAGCTCATTCATGGGAATCCAGAGGTGTTCCCAGGCCAACTGCATGACATTCAAAGTGTTTTTGATCTTTTTGAATGGGACATCATTGGACACGTCTCCCCAGTGTCCAAGAAGCCTCCTGAACAAATGCCATATCAGATTGTTCTCTAAGTCCATGACCTTTCTCTAAGGGAGCATATGAAGGTAATTTTGTGATCTCATTAAACAGTTTATTCTTGAACTAACTGGAAACATTTCAACAAATCTGACTCTTTACATGCAAATTGCAAGAGACAAAACTACCTCAAATGCCAGATTGTGGTATGGTACAAACGGTCTGGCTGTGCTAGCGGCTAAGCATTCAAGAACACTTCAATAAATGCGTAAGTCAGTGATTGGAGCTGCTTTTTGAAGGATACATGATTTAAATCATACTCAAATCTGATTGCATCAAAAACAAATGTGAATAGTGGGAGAGAGGTGTAGGGTCGGAGAGTGTTTGGGCCAGTGTGTTGTCTGTGGGTGTGTATTCTTTTGTCCGTCCAATGCCGTCTGTGGTAGTGTCATGATTGTACATTTCGAGTTATTGAATTCTACTGTGAATTCTGCGGACATGATCCAGGACACACTGACATTCTACAACATTTATGGACATTTATCAACATTCAAGGACATTGGTCAACTCCCTATGGACCAATACCTATGTCTCCTATAATCTCTGTGTCTTAAAGGACAACTCACCCTCAAATCCACTTTTTTTTGCTGATAAACGGTATAAATGAGCAATAGTGTTGTCTACATATCCTGGTCATAATCTTGTCACTTTGGTGCAAATTAGTTGAAAGTTAGACTTTCTGCCTAAAACCGTCTGTAAGGCGCCATCTGCTGGCGACCTGTATTACTACATTTGAATTTTGAATCTGGCGCCAACACTGGCACAGAAGTTAGACCTGACGTCTGCAAGTTGGACCTGACGTCAGCAGCCCCCCGCCCAGAGCAATATAAACGGCCCAGTCTCGTTCACGCCCCCTTTAGTCCTCCAGGCTACGCCCATTTAGAGGAAGATTTGAACAGGAAATGTGAGTGACGTAAGCTCCGAGGAGCGGGGGTGAGAACCACTTTAACTGTTGATTCTCTGATCCGTGTTGACAATTTCAACAGTTTTGTTAAGTCCTGAGAAAACTACTGTTGTGATTTAGGGCTATACATAAATGAATTGAATTGAATTACTGCACGATATCATCAGCAATGTTTTGTTGGGCATGTGTGTGTGTGTGTCTGAGTCTGTGTGCGACAGGGGTTGGAATCAAACAAGCCTTTCCTTCAACCGTCCCCTTTTCGAACCCTGTACTTTTTTTGGTCTTTTATATAGATATATGTGAAAATAAGGGCTGTGCAGGTTCAAAATAACCAACCCAATTCAAATAGAAAAATAACACTGAGAACATAAGTACCCCCAGCTTCCGCCGTACCTGTGCCTGGTGAGGAAGCCCCTGCTCAGAGCCTGCAGCTGGAGGACCGTGTTGCAGAGCTGTAGGTGTCTCTGCCGGGCCTGATGCGCTCTCCAGGCCGTCTGCAGGACCAGGGCGGCCTCACATCGCCTCTGCAGCCACAGCCTCCAGGCCCGCTGCAGCACCAGGACGGACCGCCTCCACTGGCTCAGCCTCTGCCGGGCCGTGTAGCCTCTCCAGTGGGCCTGCACACACACCGCGGCCCGCTCGTACCTCAAGCACCCTCTCCTCCTCCTCCTCCTCCTCCTCCTCCTCCTCCTCTTCCTCCTCTTCCTCCTCCTCTGTGGGACGGTACAGTCGCCACCAGTTCTGATGTGGGACAAAATTAGAGTATGTAAAAAATTTGACTTTAATTTAACAGTTAAACGTCACTAATTTAATGTTTTTTTCAAAGCCAATGCCAATAATTTGTTGTTAAGGAGGCAGAAAAAGTGAATATTTGTTGAAAAAGAAACATCAACATTTAACTTACTTCAAAAGTCTAAAGGATAAAGCTTTTGTATAACAAAAATAACAAATACAAACAATAATATCCCCCACTGCACAAACTGGATGTGGCGTGAAATGGGAACAGGACAGATATCCAGGTCATAGATGAAGACTTTTACATCATTAAAACATAGAACTGCTACTTATTGCAGATTTTTTTTAGAACGTAACCCCCGTGATAAACCAGAAACCACTGATTTCATTCTTCAGGCACCAACATCAAATCTGCTGCATGAGAGACTTTCCACACAGCGACCTGGCTGCAGTTCTGTGGAAGGGCATAGGACCAGCACAACATGCAACTTTTCAGTGAACTAACTCCACGAAGCACAGCTGTTTAAGTCTACAATAAAATAATACATGTTTAAGTTTGGTTGAGTTGAATTTTTTTTATAGTAAGAGAGCCACTTTAGTTAAGCAAGACTTGTCCAGCGGTCGATTATGATTCAGGTTTGACCAAGCTGAAGTTGGCAGTATGACAAAAGTTCACTATCTCACATTAGCGACATATACATGTATCAGCCTAAACAAATGAAGTCAACGGCTGAATTATAGAGCTTTCTAACAGGGTATAGCAGGCATACATCGGTAGAGTTGAAGTTGTGTTTATGATTTCAAAGACGGCAGAGGGCCCCATTCCACGACAGAGTGGGCTGCAATTACTGTGGATGTATAAGACTGATAGATCCAATAGTTAAGCTAACCCTAACCCTAACCCAGTGAGTGTATGGTTAGCATGAGGACACACCTGGATGCAGACGGCCGCCTCTCTCATCCTGCAGAAGTGCCTCCTCTCCAGGTGGGCTCGGAAGCGTCTCTGCAGGCTGACGATGAGCCGGAGCACCTGGTTGTGGAGCAGGGCCTGGAGCTGCTGCCTCTCAGCCTCCCGGAGGAACACCTGTGGACGGGAAGGGGGAGGGCCGTCAGCTGACCACCACAACTGTCCGCTGGGAGAAAGTGAGCAACGGCCCTCTAATGATACAACCACACAGGCGGGCCGCGTGGTGAGTCACTCATACCAGCTCTGCTTTCATTACACGGCTCAGGGGGCGGAGCTTCGGCTGATGGCATTTTAATGTCGACCTCATTATTCGCTCATGATTTCAAAAACAGCATTGCTAACATAAAACTTCCTCAAAGATGAGTCAGCTCCATTTTGTCCACGTTAATAGTTTGAAGTATTGCTTGAGAGTCACCATAGACTCATTCCCAAAATTTTCCCCAAAACCCTGAGTGGCCTCAACACGGACAGGTGTGTCAGACTGCCTCGGCACCGAACCCGCCTTGCGACCTGGTGTTTTTGCTGCAGAGAGTTCTTTATTTGTTTTTCACATTAGATGCTCAACTTCAAGTACTTCCCTCCAGAGAACAGGTTTATGTCCCGTTTGTTTGTTTTTTTTTTTTTTTTAAATGGTCAGAGTACAATTGTCCAACCTACTTAGTCTCTGAGCAGGTTCTTGGATACATGACCATACATTACATACAGAATCATACAGAGAATACCATTTAACTTGACATTTGCTTTAATAAAAGTCCCCATCCTTCATTTTTTGTAAAGGAACGCACCATGGTCTTTCCCACTTGGTAGCCGTCGGAGGACAGGCTGAGCTTCTGCAGGCACTGCTGGATGCATTCCTTGGAGGCGCTGGTTCCTTCAGGCAGCAGTACACGGAAATGCTGCACAAAGTCCTGCCACAAACATAGAAAACATGAACAAGACAACAAAACGACTCAGAGCTCTCCCTAACAGTGCAGTGCTGCCGGATTAAAAATCTTTTGAAGGAGCCTTTTTCATATCCTAACATTATGGACATTGGTCATCCCACTCTCTATATGTGAACCAATGGCTCCTATGTGTTTGTTATTATTGCATTTCCAGTGTTTAAACTGGTCGATTCTCTGATCCGTTGTTGGCGAGAACATTGTAAAATCCTCCGGGACGACTGCTGTGGTGCAAAAATAAATGTTATCGAATCTTATAAGGGCCCTTTCAAAGTGTGTAACCTCTATGACCTCTTTGTAAGCAGATGAATTGCACAATGACGACATCACATTTGCGGATGTTCTTAATGCTCTAAACCCGGATGGGCTCAGGTGGACCACCATAATCACCACGGATCGGTCTGAAATCGATTGTTCCAAAGCCATGGCTGACTTTTGAGATTTTCCCCAAACTTCTGTAGTTTTGACAGATATTATCAGTATCGGTGCAACACATTGGGGCAAAACTAGGATCGTAGTCCGCAGTCCTCATCCCTGATTGTAAACTGTTTAGAGAAGCTGCAGGGTGGCCAACATAAATGTGATTATATAAATGTTTTAAGAGCCACTAGAAATGATAAGCATCAAAGTGATTTTACTTTTTTCCGCTGTCAACTGGTCTAAACTGTGGTCTAAAAGTGGTGTATGGACTTAATTTATAAATGTGTTTTAAATTAACTTCATCCATGCTTTTGTGTTTGGCACGAGTAAAGAATGCAGACAATATGAAACATATTTGGGGTTTCGCAGTTGCCAAACAAATGGTAATAAGCCGCTCTGCAGGTCATGTTGATATGGATGTAAATGTGATTGTGAAGAAAGTTAGGCCTCACCAACCATCATCGCACGTCACTGATTGTTCATCCATGGCTATTTTTATCATGGGTTATTGAACTAACGCACGCACGCACGCACGCACGCACGCACGCACGCACGCACGCACGCACGCACGCACGCACGCACGCACGCACGCACACACACACACACACACACACACACACACACACACACACACAGTACTTTGCTTATTGACAAATGTATTGTCTGTGGTTTAAAAATAAATTCAGTAAGACTGTTCCAGACTTCAGCTGCATATATCAGAAATTTCTGCCTTCCCATGTTTAGCCCAGACTCCGCGCCAGTCCTTGTGCTCCTCAGAGTCCCAGCAGGAGGCCAGTCCCTGTGGGCCTGACTCTCTCGCCAGACCCATGTAGTCCCTGTGCTCCTCAGGGTCAGAGTTGGTTCATATGGCACTAACATGTCACAGATGCGAGGCCATCTGTGACATGCCTGCGAGACAGACTTGTGAGCTGCTTTAAAGTCTATTCTCTGAGCCACAAGACTATGTAGGCCTTATCTTTCCTTTATGAAGTTGTCCTTATAAGACACATGTTGGAAAGAGTCTTTATTGCTTGTGATAGACGACGATGACCTTGTCTTCCCTGTGGTTAAAAAAGTTGGTCAAACAACTCAGAAGCTTTCTCACCATGCTAAAAAACGGCCCATGACTTCTTACAAGTTGTCATGAGTTTAACATTGAAATATTTTGAAAGACAATGTGGTGAAAAACACTAATAATAGATATAAGGCAGCCTGGTAAATGTTTGATTCTTCTAGATAATTTAAAATGACCTCTGTAATTAGATCACCACTGTTGGCTCCTGCTTTATGGTCCATGTATACTCTTTCAGGGGGCGGAAGATGCGTTTCTGGGGCAATCCAAGTACGGAGAAAAAGAAGCTGTCCAGAGAGAAGCTGGTTCCGGGCCCCGACTCTCTGGAGCTGGACTCTGCAGATGGTGCTCTGCCCGGAGAAGGTGAGCTCAGGGTGGGGACAGACGCAGGGGTCAGTCCTGGACCGCGATGTGGGCGATACTAAAAGTCGTATCCAGATTATCCTCAAGCCCAATCACCATTTGTGCTTAATGTGTGGCTAGTTTTTTTTAATCATTGTTTTCAATAGGTTACTGTTGTAGAAATCTTCAAAAAGTTCAGACCTTATTTTTATATTGTAACGTTAATCAGATCTGATTTAACCTGACAGAATGTTCAAAATCATCACAAGGAAATGTTCTCCAACAAACGGCAGCCTTGGGTTCCTTCAATCCAGGAGTGTTGGACCAGTCTTCAAAGGGCCATTGTGGCTGCAGGTTTTCATTCCAATCAAGCAGGAGCACAGCAGACCCATTTCCCAGTGGGGGGTGGGTCTCGGCTCCCGGCTCCAAAAGGTCCATGAGCATGTGCGCTGATATACTGCTATCTCACTCCGGGCCGTGGGGGTGTACCCGGAAACAGAATTACCCATTGGTTCTTCTTTCCTCTCAAAAAGTCTCCTTTGTCCAAAAGTCTCTTGCCGCCATTGTACGTTCCAAATGCTGTCAATCCTGAAGGGAATATTATTATTTTTTGGACCAGTCTAGTGTATTCGCTGTGGACTTTTGAATGCACTGAATGGGGCTAGGGTTAACCCAGTTAACGTGTGCGCAAATGCGTTTTTTCAATTTCCTGCCCCGTGGCCATTTTGAAAAAGCCCCATGGGAGGCAAAAGGCATAGACTGTAAATATTAAACTGATGTGCCATTTCCTCGAGTGCGTTCACCGTTGCCCACATCGGCCTTTTGAGGACTGCTTTGACAACCCTGCTCTAAGGTCATTCAGGGCTCATTTCCTTGAACCTTGAAACTGAAAATAATTGATATTCACACGGAGACAGCTATAAAAACGTACACAAGTAAATAAAATCCGTTCAGAATGTGTTTAAGAAAGCACGGTGACCAAAACCAACAAGCTACAAAAATGGAGATGACTCTGCACAGCTTTTGCTCCCAAGAGATTTTAATTATCACCAAGTTATCATCACACATCAGAAACTGCAACAACCACACACTTAAAAAATCTCAAACAGTGGTCATGTACCCATATAGCTAAAATACTTGATCCTTTTAGGTTTTTTGTTCTATAGCTGTCTGTTTTATCTTGTCTGTCTGTGTCTGTTTCACCTTCATATTGTCTATGCATTGTGACTACGGCTGAAATGTAGCTGTTATGCTAAGTCTGGCGCATTTACTCTGACGCTCAAGGCATCCCATGTTGATGAATTTTACATTGTCCCAACTTCATTAAATAAATAAAATAAATGAAAATGAAATGACCAGTTGAGGAAACGACATGTGTGCGTGTGTATCTGTGTGTAGGTCAGGAGAACATGTCTCCGCCCCTCAGCCCCAGCGGACTCTGGAGCGGGGGGAGCAGGGAGCATAAGGAGAACAAGGAGCCCTCGCCCAAAGTGAAGAGGAGACGCAGCGTGAAGATCAGCAGTGTGACGCTGGAGCCCCCCGCCCAGTGGCAGAACGATGCACTGCACATCCTGTCCTGCTCCAACGATTACCGCAGCATGAACGACTTCCTCATGAAGAAGGTGCTGCTCTCACCCCTGACCCCCGACCCCTCTGCTTCTACTGCCTCTTCTCTCATGACTCTGTTTGGGGCAAATATGTACAATTCCAGTCAAGTCTGTTTTGTAACATCAAGGTATTGGTGGTGTTTATGTGACATCACTTCATTCCAAAGGCTGCTGAAAAGTCCTGCATGGTGACTATGGAGGGTGGCTAGTTTTTTGGAGCGTTTCCAGAGCAGAGCAGGGCAGGGGCACACACAGACACAAGATAAGATAAATGGACTTTATTGATCTCACACAGGAGAAATGTACATGTCACATAGATAGAATCACTCAGAGAGGCAATAGTGGCTCAGTCAGTAGAGCATTGGCCTCAGAGCCTGAAGGTCGTGGGTTTGAGCCCACCTCAAGACCTACTTCATGACTCCCACTGATGACTGCTGTCGTTGTGTCCTTGGGCAAGACACTTAACCCCACTTTGCCTGAAGCCCCCTCTGAAAGATCTCAGCTCCTGTGGACTCACCACCTGCAGGAGGATCAGTGAGGGGCTGGTCCTCTGTGTACTGGGTGCACTCCCTCGACACAGAAATGGATTAAGGGGAAGAAAATGGATGGATGATGGAGAATCACTCAGATTGTGCAAACATATTAAAGATAAAAATATAGTCTGTGCAGGATATAATTATGTACAATACATACGTACAGAGACACATACACTGCACAGACATAGGCTCTACACAGACACACATAACATACACAAAACATTCCACACAGAACATCCAAATACCCAACACAGCAAAGTAGAAACTGAGTCGCTTTCGTTGGAATTCCTGGGTCAATCCACAAGAAACAAAAAACTGTCACAAAGTTCCACATTTTCTCGTCATCAACTATTCACTATTTCCTCATCAAAGTGTCTGAAGGTTCTGTCTACACACCAACATTATGCATATGTTTTTGAATATGGACCACTTCTAGACATAATGTGTTTGTCGATTTTTGTAGTCTTGATGTGCTTTGTGGATTTCTTTGCAGATCAATGATTTGGAGGCTGAAGACAGTAAGAAGGACACGATGGTGGACGTGGTTTATCAAAAAGGCTCTGAAGGAGTTCCGTCTGAACATCTTCATCACCTACTCTACAGCGCTGGTGGTGCGTACTCCATTGCTGCACTTTACCAGCAGCACTTTATACTGTCACTATCAATCTGAAAGAGAAGCTTAGCACTTGTAAAAGGGTTTTGTAAAGGGCATCTCATTGAGTCTCTGCTCTCTCTCTCTGACTCTCTCTCTCTCTCTCTCTCTGTGACTCTGCTCTCTCTCTCTCGCCTGGTCTCTCTCTCTGACTCTTCTCTCTATCTCTCTCCCTGACTCTGCTGCTCTCTCTCTCTCGCTCTCTCTCTCTGACTCTGCTCTCTCTGTCTCTGTCTCTCTCTCACTCTCACTCTCACTCTCTCTGACTCTGACTGATCTCTCTCACTCTGACTTTGACTCTTCTCTCTCTCACTCTGACTCTGACTCTTCTCTCCTCTCCCTCTGACTCTCACTGCTCTCTCTCTTTCTGACTCTGACTCTGCTCTCTGCCCTCTCAGATGGACGGAGTGCAAAAGCGTGCGCTACAAAGACCTGTACGCTCTGTTCGAACACAATCCTGGAGAAGAGCATGAGGCAGGAGCAAAGGGACTGGAGCGAGTCCCCGGTACGAGTCTGGGTCAACCACCTTCAAAGTCTTCCTGGACGAGTTCATGACGGAGTACAAGCCCCTGGACAGCACCGTTACCAAGGTACCACATGAGCACAGGGACCATAGCATGGTCACCAAGGTACCACATGAGGCACAGGGACCATAGCATGGTCACCAAGGTACCACATGAGCACAGGGACCATAGCATGGTCACCAAGGTACCACATGAGCACAGGGACCATAGCATGGTCACCAAGGTACCACATGAGGCACAGGGATCACAGCACTGTTACCAAGTACAATATGAGCACAGGGACCACAGCACCGTTACCAAGTACCACATGAGCACAGGGACCACAGTACAGTGACCGAGGTACCACATGAGCACAGGGACCAGACTATTACAGCACCGTAACTAAGGTATCACATGAGCATAGGGACCACACCGCACGGTCAACAAGTACCACATGAGCACAGGGACCACAGTACAGTGACCAAGGTACCACATGAGCACATGGACCAGACTGGTAAAGCATGCTCGACCAAGGTACCATGTGAGCACAGGGACCACAGCACTATGACTAAGTACCACATGAGCACAGGGACCACAGCACTGTACTCTGACCAAGTACCACATGAGCAGAGGGACCACAGCACTGTACTCTGACCAAATACCACATGAGCACAGGGACCACAGCACTGTACTCTGACCAAGGTACCACATGAGCACAGGTACCAGATTATTAAAGTACGATCGCAAAACGGGGACTGCAGATGGAAATGTTGTAGCAATATTCCAGAACATCTGTGTCTTTTATCTTCATGCTTCTGTGCACTGTCCCTGTCAAATACAGACTAAACTAACTGAAAGAACTACATGAGCACAGGGACCAGACTGTTGCAGCACGTGACCAAGGTACAACATAAGCACAGGGACCAGACCAAGTCCAGGCCACTAGTCCCTGGCTCTCAATACAGTTTGTTTGTATCACTTGTATGTTTGGTGTTATCCAGAGGGTTGCTGTGTCTCTCACTACTGTCCTGTCTGTGCGCTGCAACATTGAAATTTCCCCACTGTGGGATAAATAAAGGATCTCTGTCTTATCTTATCTTGTGTCTCAGCAGGTCCAGAAAACTGAGAGGAAGAAGCGGCGGAAGAAGGACAACGGACATTGTACGTGTTTTGGCTCCTGTTTTGACCTGACTGCTGACCTCCTGACCCCTCCATTCTCAAATTAAACCCTCCCCCTCTCCTCCTGACCTCCTGAACCCTCCCATCCCTCCTGAACCCTCCCATCTCCTCCTGACCCCTCACCTCTCCTCCTGACCCCTCACCTCTCCTCCTGACCCCTCCCCTCCCCTTCTAACCTCCTGACCCCTCTCCTCTCCTCCTGACCCTCCCCCTCTCCTTCTGACCCCCTTTCCTTTCCCCCTGACCTCCTCAACTCCTCCTGACCCCTTCCCCTCACCTCCTTACCTCCTGCCTCTCCTCCTGACCCCTTCCCTCCCCTCTCCTCCTGACCTCCTCAATTCTCCAAACTCCTCCTGAACCCTCCCCTCCCCTTCTAACCTCCTGACCCCTCTCCTCTCCTCCTGACCCTCCCCTCTCCTTCTGACCCCTTTCCTTCCCCCCTGACCTCCTGCGTCTCCTCTTGACCCTTCCCCTCACCTCCTGACCTCTAGCTTCTCTCCCGACCTCCTGCCTCTCCTCCTGACCCCTCCCCTCTCCTCCTTACCCCCTTCGTCTCCTCCTAACCTCTCTGCGTCTCCTCCTGACCCTCCTGCGTCTCCTCCTGACCTCTCCTGTGCTTCAGGTGGAGGAACACAACGGCCACATCTTCAAGTCCACTCAGTACAGCATCCCCACGTACTGCGAGTTTTGCTCTTCCCTCATCTGGATGATGGACCGCGCCTGTGTCTGCAAACGTGAGACACACACACACACACACAAGGCAGAAACAGACAGACACAGACACACACACACACAATATATATTTGTTGTGTGGCTCACTGAGAAAGTGCCATGTTCTATTTCCCAGAGCACTTTGTGAGTGTTGTTCTGCAGGTGTTTGGATTATTGTCCGATTTATTCAGTTACATTCTATTCTTAGTTCTCTCCAGCCACTAATCACGTCCTAAGCCCCTTATTGTTAGCATGAATATGGGGCAAGAAACCCAAATGTGGCCTTTTGTGAAGTGTTTGAATCCAGTCACATGGAAAATGAAAGATAAACATGTACAAGCGTTTCCTACAGTGAACAATGAGAGAGACCAGAGAGGGACCAGAGAGGGACCAGAGAGGGACCAGAGAGGGGACCAGAGAGGGACCAGAGAGGGACCAGAGAGGGACCAGAGAGGGACCAGAGAGGGACCAGAGAGGGACCAGAGAGGGACCAGAGAGGGACCAGAGAGGGACCAGAGAGGGACCAGAGAGGGACCAGAGAGGGACCAGAGGGGACCAGAGAGGGGACCAGAGAGGGACCCGAGAGGGACCCGAGAGGGACCCGAGAGGGACCCGAGAGGGACCCGAGAGGGACCCGAGAGGGGACCCGAGAGGGACCAGAGAGGGACCAGAGAGGGACCAGAGAGGGACCAGAGAGGGACCAGAGAGGGACCAGAGAGGGACTAGAGAGGGACCAGAGGGGGACCAGAGAGGGGACCAGAGAGGGACCAGAGAGGGACCAGAGAGGGACCAGAGAGGGACCAGAGAGGGACCAGAGAGGGACCAGAGAGGGACCAGAGAGAGAGAGAGATCAGAGAGAGAGACCAGAGAGAGAGACCAGAGAGAGAGACCAGAGACGGCATACATGGATATAAAAAGTAATGAAAGTGAGAACCAACGACACTTGTTCCAGTGACAAATCTATTTTGCCAATAACCACCACAATTTTGCAAATTTGTTTCGATTTCCTTATTTGCTATTTTGTTATTTCAGGCAAACACAGGAGTTGCACAGTTATTATTACACATAAAAACATTGTATCCAAATTAAATGTTTCCCCAAAAGAAGAAGAGAGAAGAAGAGAATTCATTTAATCCCACACCATTTTCCATTTACACATCATCTTCTCTGCTACTGCAAACTTAGAATTCAATGGAAAAGAAATACCCAGAGTGCAAGAATAAGTACATACAAGGAAATAAAAGAACAAATAAGAATGGGCTGTTACCATTAGCAACAGATACAACAGCAAATACAACTTTCCTTTACTCTGACTATGACAGGGCATTTCTGGTTCTTATTATTATTAAAATCACAAACTGGATCCACACACACTTCCTCCACGTCTACGTCTTGGCTTATGCAACGTCTGGAATAAACCACATACTCGTGCTAAGAACCGATTTGTCTATAAAACAGAATTGTAATGGATTCCACGCTCATTCGTCTGACCTCAAATGCTCAGAGCCCCCGCCCCCTCCCCCCTCCTGGTCGCACTAATCAGATTGTTTTCAACTGGACCTCATGGGTCTTTGCCCACAAACAGTCCGTCCTTTCTTTCGCTCCCAGGATGTTTTCTCCCTACCTGCGCTCGGTGAGGCCGTAAAAAAACGCTTTGTTTTTTTTTTGGTTTTTTTATGAGCTATTCCGACACGATAATAATGAGGAGGAGCTGCTTCTGTCTGGACGACGGCAATGACTTTGTGTCTGTGTCCCGCAGTGTGCCGATACGCCTGCCACCGCAAGTGCTGCCAGAAAATGACCACCAAGTGCAGTAAGAAGGTACGCTCTTGCTTTTGGTTTCAAGTTAAAGCTGGGGTGTGTAGCTTTTTCTGTGTTGCCCTTACAACATGTGTAGCTTGCCCTGCAGAAAGAGTATTGTACAAAAAACTACAGCGCTGTGAACATACTTTTGTGAAAACCTCGCGACCGAAGTAGAGCGAGTTTTAGAGCCAGGAACTTGTGATGTGGTTTTCGGAAGTTACGTACCCCAGCTTTAAATGTGTATTAAGAAACTGCACCACTCATGCCATCATTATTATGTGTGATCACTGTGTTCCATTGTGTTTTGAACGTGAAAAGAAGGCTCGACTTCCTGCTTTTATTGCCTTGTTGTTAAGAGTTATAAAAGGTGTTTGAGCCCAGGCCTGGGAATGTTTGAGTAAACGGGATAAACAAGAACTTAGCAGCTCAGTAGATTATACCATAGAGAGGTCAGAGAGAGAGGTCAGAGAGAGAGAGGTCAGAGAGAGAGAGACCCCAGAGCAAGACTGGCAAGAGACATAGAAATTATGCCTAATCAGAGAGAGACTAAAATCTAAAATCTGGACTAATCTTTCTGAAAATGTTCAAATCCAAGTTGGGCTTTGTGTGTGGGGACATCACCTGGACACAAATCCTAAACAATCACAATACATTTAAAAGAGTGAAGATGCAATCCTAAACATCTGTTTTTAAACCTGGATTTGAAAATTGTCAGAGTAGAAGACTGCTCCAGATTGTAACTGCATAAATCAGAAAGGTTGACTCCATGTTTAGTCCTGACTCTGGACCAGCAGGAGGCCAGTCCCTGTGCTCCTCAGAGTCCTCCTTGCTTCATATGGAACTAACATGTCACAGATGTACTTTGGAGCGAGGCCGTTTGAGAGACTTGTAACAAGCAGAGCTGTTTTAAAGTCTATTCTCTGAGCCACAGGAACCAGAGACCTGAGGACTGGACTAATGTGATCCTACTTCCTGGTTCTAGTCAGGACTCGAGCTGCTGCGTTGTAAATATACTGCAGCTGTTTTTACAGAAGACAGAAGCGGGATAAGAATCTCCAACTCTCTGTCTGATCATTTCACACATATTTGGCCTAACCCTATTTTGCGTGTGTGTGTGCGTGTTTGTGTGCAGTTCGACCGGAGCTCTCGTCCCGACAGTTCGGAGTGGAGGTGTCCCGTCTCACCAGCGATGAGAGAGCGGTGCCCCTAGTGGTGGAGAAGCTTATGAACTACCATCGAGATGCACGGACTCTACACTGAAGGCATCTACCGCAAGTCGGGCTCCACTAACAAGATCAAAGAGCTCAAACAAGGCCTGGACACAGGTACTGAGGGCCCCAGAGCCACCTGTGTGGACTTCATGACCAGAGCTGCTTTCAAAGATCCAGATTCAACTTTATTGTCCTCAAAGACGTTGACAAAAACGTCCTTCACAGATTAGACCGCATACTGAATACGTTCTTTAAATGTCCGTTGTGATACAATTCAAATTATTTGTGTATAGTCCTAAATCAAAACAGCAGTCGTCTCAGAGAAGTTCAGATAGTGTCAGTTCCTCAACAACAGATTAGAGAATCAAAAACCGTTCATACACAGGGAAAATGCAATCATAACAAACACACCATAGAAGCCATTGGTCCGTGGAGAATAATGACCGCTGTCCATAAATGTCCGTAAATTATTAGAGAATAAACACACACTTGCACACAGCACCAAGTTCTGACGGATCCTCAGTTATTTCTGTATTGCCAACATCACAATAGCGTCATCTCGAAGGGTGTCACAGGATTTTACATTCCTATCCGCAAATAGAAAATCAAACAATAAAAAAAAACACACTGACATTTGCAGATCGAAGTCTGGTTTGTCGGTCGTGGGAAGAGAGAGCCCCGGAGTCTTCTTTACTTTTGCCTGTGAAGCATTTTGTGTTTTGAGAAAGGCTTGCGTCCTCACTGTGTGTTTGTGTGTTTGTGTGTTGTAGACGTGGAGAGCACCAACCTGGACGACTACAACATCCATGTGATCGGCAGCGTGTTCAAGCAGTGGCTCCGGGATCTGCCCAACCCCCTGATGACCTTCGAGCTGTACGAGGAGTTCATCCGGGCCATGGGTGCGCCTCCTCCACACCCCGCTCCTTACACCCTCCCTTTAACACATCTCTGTTTTAAAGCTGCCGTTTTAAAGTTAGGTTAAAACTGTCTTAAAAAATTGCTTTACATTAGATTATTCATATTCTCTGTTAACAATCAAGGTCAAGTTTTTTAAATAGCACAAATAAATAAAAAAAACAGACATGACTGTTATAATGTGCTTTACAGAGATTACAAATGAGTCAACCCAACACAAAAATAAGATTACAGCAGAAAAAATAAAATACTGGTCCCTCTATCATAAAAGCCAGAGCTAAGAAATGTGTCTTCAGCTGCGATTTAAAGCTCTCTAGAGAGGGGGTAACTCTGACACAAAAAGGGGAGAGAGCGTTCCTAGTCTATGCCCTGCCACAGCAAAGGCTCGGTCTTCTTTAGTCTTTAGTCTAGACCTGGGACAGTCCAAGAGAAGTTGGCCAGAGGAGCTCAGTGCACTGCCCGGAGTGTGCAAAGTAAGCAAATGCGTGAGATACAATGGAGCCAGGTTGTGCAGTGATTTAAATACTAACAGTGTTTGTATAAATTGTGTAGATACAACCTTATTCATGTTCATATAGATGTGGATTGTAGGAATCTTATGAATGGTTGCCAGGTGTTCTGAAATTCTGAAATATTATCTTTTAATAAATATTTAATTTTATCAATGTGTAGTGTGTTGGACAGGTCCTGCAGCCACATTTTAGCATTCTGCACGGTTGGTCCCTTCCAAGACATGAGTAGTATGTTTTTTGAGGTTATGAGAGAGTAAGAAATGAATCGACGTTATGCTAGAGTGGGTTGTTGAAACCGCTGCGATGTTCCGAGGATGATTAACAAAGGTTCTGGTTGCAATGTAAGCTTAAGAGTTTTTAAAGTATGAAATATTTCAGACCAGTAAGTAGTAAGTAATGTGTAAATATATAGTGCATTAACAAGACCAAGGTCACCCAAGCACTTTACAATTATTCAGTGTTCAGAGAGAATTACTCCATTTCCTTCACACACGGTGATGACAGAAGCGAGTCGCCGAACACACTGGTCCATCAAAGCCTCCGACCAAACACCATCCATACACTCACTCATTACATTCATACCTACTGTACATGTTTTTAGTGGGAAGTGGTGAGTTTAGGGTAGTTGAAGAATGCATGGATCACTTTGAGCACCTCTGAGCAGGTCTGAGCAGCGTCCACACTGGTGTCAGTCGATGGTCCGGGGTCTAACGTGTGTGTTCGTTTCAGGTTTGCAAGACAAAAAGGAGATGGTCCGTGGGGTTTATTCAGTTATCGACCAGTTAAGCCGCACTCATCTCAACACACTGGAACGCCTCATATTCCACCTCGTCCGGTAAGACTCCAGTCTCACTTTTCCTAAATTTAACACTAAAACTCCCACAATTCTCAAACTACTACAACTCCCAGAGCAGTCATTTTGACACTTTCAAATCAATGAAATTCTGAAGCAAGTTTTGTTTTCACAGCTGGGAGTTAAAGGTAGAACTACTCGTATTTACAAAATAAAACTTAATTTAATATAAACAATAACAGAAATACACCACAGAAAGAGAAACACAAAGTTATCAATCAATCAATCAATCAATAATTTTTCCTTTCGAGCTTTGTTGTCAAATCCAGTGCCATGGCAGTTCATAATACATTTAAAAAATAAAAATACAGGCTTCTTTGTACACTCTGTACTTTTATGCTCATTTGAAAACAATTAACAAAACAATAATAAATAAAAGAATATGAGAAGCAATTCAAAATCACCGAAAAAAATACAAGAAAATACAAAAAAAATGACATACAAAAAAAAAAATTAAAATGAATGACGAAACGATGAAGACCAAGAATTGAAATAGGGTCATGAGCCTCTTATGTAACAGAAGTCAGATTGACTGCCATGGGAGTTTGATTGTTAAGATAACCTGCGACAGTACAGTTGGTAAGTATTGGTCTTTTGACCCACCACAAGACCTTCTCACCGATCCCACTGCTGTGGTTGTGTCCTTGGGCAAGACATTTACCCCCTTTGCCACAAGGAGCGTGGAAGTAACAGCACCATGTTGCCTCTATGCCTTGATGTGATATGTTACAGTAAACGACTATTCTTATCGAACCGAATTTCTCCATCATGAGATCAATAAAGTTAATCTTCTTAATGCCACCATCTGTTTTCATGCCGTGATGTGGTGATGATAATTCTCTGGCGTCTTTGTAGAATTGCACTACAGGAGGAGACCAACCGCATGTCGGCCAACGCCCTGGCCATCGTGTTCGCTCCGTGTATCCTGCGCTGCCCCGACACCATCGACCCCCTGCAGAGCGTGCAAGACATCAGCAAGACCACCGCGTAAGGCCCCTGTCCCACACACTCATACACACATGGATTGCGTGAGACAAGACACACATATATATATATACACACACACATACACATATCGATGGCATGAGGCAAAACACAAAAACATACACACGCACACACACATACATACACACATAGATTGCGTGAGACAAGAAACATAAACATACACACATCAATGGCGTGAGACAAGACCAAGACATACACACCCACACACACACACACACATAAGACCAAGACACACACACACACATCAATGGCATAAGACAAGACCAAGACATACACACACACACACACACACACACACACATTTATTCACACAGACAAAACACAAGGATTTTCTAGGATCCTGTTTGTGGTTCAGTCTGAAATCACCTGTTCACCATCTTGGACACTTGGATTGGGACAGTTTGGAACGGTTCGTGTGTGTGTGTTTTGTGCAGGTGCGTGGAGCTCATCATTTGTGAGCAGATGAGCAAGTACAGAGTCCGGCTAAAGGACATAAACACACTGGAGTTTGCAGAGAACAAGGCCAAGAGCAGACTGACCCTGATCCGGCGTTCCATGGTGAGTCTGCGGTGAATGAATGAATGAATGGATGGATGGACGTGTGTAGGTTAAACGATTCAAATTCAGAGTTTGTTTGCCATTTGCCGTAAAACCACATTGGAATGCATGTGCTTAAGTCCCCCAAATGTGCACCAGACAAATATATCAAAACTAAAAGCACAAGTCTTTTAAAGGAGCAGTATGTGAAAATCTGGCCAAAAGTGGTACTGCACCCTCTCCCACTCTCCCTGACTCGGGTTGTTGTGGTCACCTGTGTTTGTGAGTAGATGCAGACTTGTACTCGTTGCAGTGACGCTACAGTATTAGTAGTTGCAAATGCAGTAGTAGTAGAGGTAGATGCAGTAGTAGTAGTTGCAGTATTCTCATTGATCTGTTTGTCTTTACATTCTCCGCAGCCAAAAACGGCTAAAAAGGTAATATTCATTCTGTGATCACCTGTTTGTGACGTTCAGATCAGAGAGCGTCACTTGAACTTTGTGTAGTAGTAGTTGCAGTAGTAGTAGTTGCAGTAGTAGTAGTAGTAGTAGTAGTAGTAGTAGTAGTAGTAGTAGTAGTAGATGCAGTAGTAGTAGTAGTAGTAGTAGTTGCAGATGCAGTAGTAGTAGTAGATGCAGTAGTAGCAGTAGTAGTTGCAGATGCAGTAGTAGTAGTAGTAGTAGTAGTTGCAGATGCAGTAGTAGTAGTAGTAGATGCAGTAGTAGTAGTAGTAGTTGCAGATGCAGTAGTAGTAGTAGTAGTTGCAGATGCAGTAGTAGTTGCAGATGCAGTAGTAGTTGTTGCAGATGCAGTAGTAGTTGCAGATGCAGTAGTAGTAGTTGCAGATGCAGTAGTAGTTGCAGATGCAGTAGTAGTTGCAGATGCAGTAGTAGTAGTTGCAGATGCAGTAGTAGTAGTAGTAGTAGTAGATGCAGTAGTAATAGTAGTAGTAGTTGCAGATGCAGTAGTAGTAGTAGTTGCAGTTGCAGATGCAGTAGTAGTTGTTGCAAATGCAATAGTAGTTGCAGATGCAGTAGTAGTAGTTGCAGATGCAGTAGTAGTTGTTGCAAATGCAGTAGTAGTTGCAGATGCAGTAGTAGTAGTTGCAGATGCAGTAGTAGTAGTTGCAGATGCAGTAGTAGTAGTTGCAGATGCAGTAGTAGTAGTTGCAGATGCAGTAGTAGTAGTTGCAGATGAAGTAGTAGTAGTTGCAGATGCAGTAGTAGTAGTAGATGCAGTAGTAGTAGTAGTTACAGATGCAGTAGTAGTAGTAGTAGTAGTTACAGATGCTGTAGTAGTAGTAGTAGTTGCAGATGCAGTAGTAGTAGATGCAGTAGTAGTAGTAGCAGTAGTTGCAGATGCAGTAGTAGTAGATGCAGTAGTAGTAGTAGTTGCAGATGCAGTAGTAGTAGTAGTAGTTACAGATGTAGTAGTAGTAGTAGTTGCAGATGCAGTAGTAGTAGTAGTAGTAGTTGCAGATGCAGTAGTAGTAGTTGCAGATGAAGTAGTAGTAGTTGCAGATGCAGTAGTAGTAGTAGATGCAGTAGTAGTAGTAGTTACAGATGCAGTAGTAGTAGTAGTAGTAGTTACAGATGCTGTAGTAGTAGTAGTAGTTGCAGATGCAGTAGTAGTAGATGCAGTAGTAGTAGTAGCAGTAGTTGCAGATGCAGTAGTAGTAGATGCAGTAGTAGTAGTAGTAGTAGTTGCAGATGCAGTAGTAGTAGTAGTAGTTACAGATGTAGTAGTAGTAGTAGTGGCAGATGCAGTAGTAGTAGTAGTAGTAGTTGCAGATGCAGTAGTAGTAGATGCAGTAGTAGTAGCAGTAGTTGCAGATGCAGTAGTAGTAGCAGTAGTTGCAGATGCAGTAGTAGTAGTTCTCCCGCGATTCGATTTTATCAATATCGATTTTGAAGAAAAGTTTTTTTTTTGTTTTTTTTTTGGCAGATGCAGTAGTAGTAGTTGCAGATGCAGTAGTAGTTGCAGATGCAGTAGTAGTAGTTGCAGATGCAGTAGTAGTAGTTGCAGATGCAGTAGTAGTAGTAGTAGATGCAGTAGTAGTAATAGTTGCAGATGCAGTAGTAGTAGTTGCAGATGCAGTAGTAGTAGTTGCAGATGCAGTAGTAGTAGTTGCAGATGCAGTAGTAGTAGTAGTAGATGCAATAGTAGTAGTAGTAGTAGTTGCAGATGCAGTAGTAGTAGTAGTTGCAGATGCAGTAGTTGTTGCAAATGCAGTAGTAGTTGCAGATGCAGTAGTAGTAGTTGCAGATGCAGTAGTAGTAGTTGCAGATGCAGTAGTAGTTGCAGATGCAGTAGTAGTTGCAGATGCAGTAGTAGTAGTTGCAGATGCAGTAGTAGTAGTTGCAGATGCAGTAGTAGTAGTAGATGCAGTAGTAGTAGTAGTTGCAGATGCAGTAGTAGTAGTAGTAGTAGATGCAGTAGTAGTAGTAGTAGTAGTTGCAGATACAGTAGTAGTAGTAGTAGTAGTTGCAGATGCAGTAGTAGTAGTAGTAGATGCAGTAGTAGTAGTAATAGTAGTTGCAGATGCAGTAGTAGTAGTAGTTGTTGCAAATGCAATAGTAGTTGCAGATGCAGTAGTAGTAGTTGCAGATGCAGTAATAGTTGTTGCAAATGCAGTAGTAGTTGCAGATGCAGTAGTAGTAGTTGCAGATGCAGTAGTAGTAGTTGCAGATGAAGTAGTAGTAGTTGCAGATGCAGTAGTAGTAGTAGATGCAGTAGTAGTAGTAGTTACAGATGCAGTAGTAGTAGTAGTAGTAGTTACAGATGCTGTAGTAGTAGTAGTAGTTGCAGATGCAGTAGTAGTAGATGCAGTAGTAGTAGTAGTAGTAGTTGCAGATGCAGTAGTAGTAGATGCAGTAGTAGTAGTAGTAGTAGTTACAGATGCAGTAGTAGTAGTAGTAGTTACAGATGCAGTAGTAGTAGTAGTAGTTGCAGTAGTAGTAGTAGTAGTAGTAGTTGCAGATGCAGTAGTAGTAGATGCAGTAGTAGTAGCAGTAGTTGCAGATGCAGTAGTAGTAGATGCAGTAGTAGTAGCAGTAGTTGCAGATGCAGTAGTAGTAGTTCTCCCGCGATTTGATTTTATCAATATCGATTTTGAATCGATATTTTTTTTTTTTTTTTGGCAGATGCAGTAGTAGTAGTTGCAGATGCAGTAGTAGTTGCAGATGCAGTAGTAGTAGTTGCAGATGCAGTAGTAGTAGTTGCAGATGCAGTAGTAGTAGTAGTTGCAGATGTAGTAGTAGTAGTTGCAGATGCAGTAGTAGTAGTAGCATGCATGCAGTAGTAGTAGTAGTAGTTGCAGAGTAGTAGTAGTAGTAGTAGTTGCAGATGCAGTAGTAGTAGTAGTTGCAGATGCAGTAGTAGTTGTTGCAGATGCAGTAGTTGTTGCAATGCAGTAGTAGTTGCAGATGCAGTAGTAGTAGTTGCAGATGCAGTAGTAGTTGCAGATGCAGTAGTAGTAGTTGCAGATGCAGTAGTAGTAGTTGCAGATGCAGTAGTAGTAGTAGTAGATGCAGTAGTAGTAGTCAGTAGTAGTAGTAGTGCAGATAGTAGTAGTAGTAGTAGTTGCAGACGCAGTAGTAGTAGTTGCAGAGCTAGTAGTAGTTGCAGATAGTAGTAGTAGTAGTAGATGCAGTAGTAGTAGTAGTAGTTACAGATGCAGTAGTAGTAGTAGTAGTAGTTGCAGATGCAGTAGTAGTAGTAGTAGTTGCAGATGCAGTAGTAGTAGTAGTAGTTGCAGATGCAGTAGTAGTAGATGCAGTAGTAGTAGTAGTTGCAAATGCAGTAGTAGTAGTTCTCCCGCGATTCGATTATCGATATGCATTTGCCAAGTATCAATATATATAAAAAAAAAATGTTTTACTTATTTTTTACTTATTTTTTTTTTGTATTGGTATCAATACTTAATATATGGCTACATTACGCATCTCCATTCTATTTATCATGAAATAACGTTTTATTTTTATTTTATTTATGCTATAAATTGGCATATTGTATATTTCGGACCAATATATCAATAATCGTCATATCGTGATAAAATCGTTATCGTGATATCGTTATTGTGAGCTTTGTATCGTATCGTGAGGTACCCCTAGGTTCCCACCCCTAGTTACAGATGCTGTAGTAGTAGTAGTAGTTACAGATGCAGTAGTAGTAGTTACAGATGCAGTAGTAGTAGTTACAGATGCAGTAGTAGTAGTTGCAGATGTAGTAGTAGTAGTAGTAGTAGTTGCAGATGTAGTAGTAGTAGTAGTAGTTGCAGATGCAGTAGTAGTAGATGCAGTAGTAGTAGTAGTTGCAGATGCAGTAGTAGTAGTAGTTGCAGATGCTGTAGTAGTAGTAGTTGCAGATGCTGTAGTAGTAGTAGTTACAGATGCAGTAGTAGCAGTAGTTACAGATGTAGTAGTAGTAGTAGTAGTAGTAGTAGTAGTAGTAGTAGTTACAGATGTAGTAGTAGTTACAGATGTAGTAGTAGTAGTTGCAGATGAAGTAGTAGTAGTTGCAGATGCAGTAGTAGTAGTAGATGCAGTAGTAGTAGTAGTTACAGATGCAGTAGTAGTAGTAGTTACAGATGCTGTAGTAGTAGTAGTAGTTGCAGATGCAGTAGTAGTAGATGCAGTAGTAGTAGTAGTAGTAGTTGCAGATGCAGTAGTAGTAGATGCAGTAGTAGTAGTAGTAGTAGTTGCAGATGCAGTAGTAGTAGTAGTAGTTACAGATGTAGTAGTAGTAGTAGTTGCAGATGCAGTAGTAGTAGTAGTAGTAGTTGCAGATGCAGTAGTAGTAGATGCAGTAGTAGTAGCAGTAGTTGCAGATGCAGTAGTAGTAGATGCAGTAGTAGTAGCAGTAGTTGCAGATGCAGTAGTAGTAGTTCTCCCGCGATTCGATTTTATCAATATCGATTTTGAAAAAGAAAAAATGTTTTTTTTTTGGTTTTTTTTTGGCAGATGCAGTAGTAGTAGTTGCAGATACAGTAGTAGTTGCAGATGCAGTAGTAGTAGTTGCAGATGCAGTAGTAGTAGTTGCAGATGCAGTAGTAGTAGTTGCAGATGCAGTAGTAGTAGTAGTAGATGCAGTAGTAGTAGTAGTTGCAGATGCAGTAGTAGTAGTTGCAGATGCAGTAGTAGTAGTTGCAGTAGTAGTAGTTGCAGATGCAGTAGTAGTAGTAGTAGATGCAGTAGTAGTAGTAGTAGTAGTTGCAGATGCAGTAGTAGTAGTAGTTGCAGATGCAGTAGTTGTTGCAAATGCAGTAGTAGTTGCAGATGCAGTAGTAGTAGTTGCAGATGCAGTAGTAGTAGTTGCAGATGCAGTAGTAGTTGCAGATGCAGTAGTAGTAGTTGCAGATGCAGTAGTAGTAGTTGCAGATGCAGTAGTAGTAGTAGATGCAGTAGTAGTAGTAGTAGTAGTAGTTGCAGATGCAGTAGTAGTAGTAGTAGTATGATGCAGTAGTAGTAGTAGTAGTAGTTGCAGATACAGTAGTAGTAGTAGTAGTAGTTGCAGATGCAGTAGTAGTAGTAGTAGATGCAGTAGTAGTAGTAGTAGTTGCAGATGCAGTAGTAGTAGTAGTAGTTGCAGATGCAGTAGTAGTAGTAGTAGATGCAGTAGTAGTAGTAGTAGTTGCAGATGCAGTAGTAGTAGTAGTAGTTGCAGATGCAGTAGTAGTTGCAGATGCAGTAGTAGTTGTTGCAAATGCAGTAGTAGTTGCAGATGCAGTAGTAGTAGTTGCAGATGCAGTAGTAGTAGTAGTAGTAGATGCAGTAGTAATAGTAGTAGTAGTTGCAGATGCAGTAGTAGTAGTAGTAGTAGTTGCAGATGCAGTAGTAGTTGTTGCAAATGCAATAGTAGTTGCAGATGCAGTAGTAGTAGTTGCAGATGCAGTAGTAGTTGTTGCAAATGCAGTAGTAGTTGTAGATGCAGTAGTAGTAGTTGCAGATGCAGTAGTAGTAGTTGCAGATGAAGTAGTAGTAGTTGCAGATGCAGTAGTAGTAGTAGATGCAGTAGTAGTAGTAGTTACAGATGCAGTAGTAGTAGTAGTAGTAGTTACAGATGCTGTAGTAGTAGTAGTTGCAGATGCAGTAGTAGTAGATGCAGTAGTAGTAGTAGTAGTAGTTGCAGATGCAGTAGTAGTAGATGCAGTAGTAGTAGTAGTAGTAGTTACAGATGCAGTAGTAGTAGTAGTAGTTACAGATGCAGTAGTAGTAGTAGTAGTTGCAGATGCAGTAGTAGTAGTAGTAGTAGTTGCAGATGCAGTAGTAGTAGATGCAGTAGTAGTAGCAGTAGTTGCAGATGCAGTAGTAGTAGATGCAGTAGTAGTAGCAGTAGTTGCAGATGCAGTAGTAGTAGTTCTCCCGCGATTTGATTTTATCAATATCGATTTTGAATCGATATTTTTTTTTTTTTTTGGCAGATGCAGTAGTAGTAGTTGCAGATGCAGTAGTAGTTGCAGATGCAGTAGTAGTAGTTGCAGATGCAGTAGTAGTAGTTGCAGATGCAGTAGTAGTAGTAGTTGCAGATGCAGTAGTAGTAGTTGCAGATGCAGTAGTAGTAGTTGCAGATGCAGTAGTAGTAGTTGCAGATGCAGTAGTAGTAGTAGTAGTAGTTGCAGATGCAGTAGTAGTAGTAGTTGCAGATGCAGTAGTAGTTGTTGCAGATGCAGTAGTTGTTGCAAATGCAGTAGTAGTTGCAGATGCAGTAGTAGTAGTTGCAGATGCAGTAGTAGTAGTTGCAGATGCAGTAGTAGTTGCAGATGCAGTAGTAGTAGTTGCAGATGCAGTAGTAGTAGTTGCAGATGCAGTAGTAGTAGTAGATGCAGTAGTAGTAGTAGTAGTAGTAGTTGCAGACGCAGTAGTAGTAGTTGCAGATGCAGTAGTAGTAGTAGTAGTAGATGCAGTAGTAGTAGTAGTTACAGATGCAGTAGTAGTAGTAGTAGTAGTTACAGATGCTGTAGTAGTAGTAGTTGCAGATGCAGTAGTAGTAGTAGTAGTTGCAGATGCAGTAGTAGTAGTAGTAGTTGCAGATGCAGTAGTAGTAGATGCAGTAGTAGTAGTAGTTGCAAATGCAGTAGTAGTAGTTCTCCCGCGATTCGATTATCGATATGCATTTGCCAAGTATCAATATATATAAAAAAAAAATGTTTTACTTATTTTTTACTTATTTTTTTTTGTATTGGTATCAATACTTAATATATGGCTACATTACGCATCTCCATTCTATTTATCATGAAATAACGTTTTATTTTTATTTTATTTATGCTATAAATTGGCATATTGTATATTTCGGACCAATATATCAATAATCGTCATATCGTGATAAAATTGTTATCGTGATATCGTTATCGTGAGCTTTGTATCGTATCGTGAGGTACCCCTAGGTTCCCACCCCTAGTTACAGATGCTGTAGTAGTAGTAGTTACAGATGCTGTAGTAGTAGTAGTAGTTACAGATGCAGTAGTAGTAGTTACAGATGCAGTAGTAGTAGTTACAGATGCAGTAGTAGTAGTTACAGATGCAGTAGTAGTAGTTACAGATGCAGTAGTAGTAGTTGCAGATGTAGTAGTAGTAGTAGTAGTAGTTGCAGATGTAGTAGTAGTAGTAGTAGTAGTAGTTGCAGATGCAGTAGTAGTAGATGCAGTAGTAGTAGTAGTTGCAGATGCAGTAGTAGTAGTAGTTGCAGATGCTGTAGTAGTAGTAGTTGCAGATGCTGTAGTAGTAGTAGTTACAGATGCAGTAGTAGCAGTAGTTACAGATGTAGTAGTAGTAGTAGTAGTAGTAGTAGTAGTAGTAGTAGTAGTAGTTACAGATGTAGTAGTAGTTACAGATGTAGTAGTAGTAGTTACAGATGTAGTACCCTGCTCCCATCTCTGTGTGGAGTGAGAGGACAAATGCCCAAAAATAACAATTGTAAACCGCTTTGTGACTCTGGTCTGTGAAAGGCGGTATATAAATAAAGCTTACTTACTTACTTACTTACTTACTTAGTAGTAGTAGTAGTAGTTACAGATGTAGTAGTAGTTACAGATGTAGTAGTAGTAGTTACAGATGTAGTAGTAGTTACAGATGTAGTAGTAGTAGTTACAGATGTAGTAGTAGTAGTTACAGATGTAGTAGTAGTTACAGATGTAGTAGTAGTAGTTACAGATGTAGTAGTAGTAGTTACAGATGTAGTAGTAGTTACAGATGTAGTAGTAGTTACAGATGTAGTAGTAGTTACAGATGTAGTAGTAGTAGTTACAGATGTAGTAGTAGTTACAGATTAGTTGCACATTCTCATTGTCTTAAAACCAGATTTGTGAATGGAACAAAACCATTTAGAATCAGAATCATTTTTAAATGTAAATAACATGAAGTCACAGACTAGGAAATTACTTTTGCTTTCGGTGCAAACAAGTCAAGTGCAGAGAAGGAATAAGGCATACAAAATATTTCTAAAGTATTTTTTTTCTAAGATATAAAAATTTTAAAAGATTTCGATTATTACTATATGCAAGTGCACTCGGTGCACACAATATACATTAAGCTGTGCAGTAAGATGACGGCAGGTGACTTTATAAAGGGCAGTAAAGTGACTTTATAAAGGGCAGTAAAGTGACTATAAAGGGCAATAAAGTGACTTCATAAAGGACAGTAAAGTGACTTTATAAAGGGCAATAAAGTGACTTTATAAAGGGCAGTAAAGTGACTCTATAAAGGGCAGTAAAGTGACTCTATAAAGGGCAGTAAAGTGACTCTATAAAGGGCAGTAAAGTGACTCTATAAAGGGCAATAAAGTGACTTCACAAAGGGCAGTAAAGTGACTTTATAAAGGGCAGTAAAGTGACTCTATAAAGGGCAATAAAGTGACTCTAAAGGGCAGTAAAGTGACTCTATAAAGGGCAATAAAGTGACTTCATAAAGGGCAGTAAAGTGACTTTATAAAGGGCAGTAAAGTGACTCTATAAAGGGCAATAAAGTGACTCTATAAAGGGCAGTAAAGTGACTTTATAAAGGACTGTAAAGTGACTCTATAAAGGGCAGTAAAGTGACTTTAAAGGGCTGTAAAGTGATTCTATAAAGGGCAGTGAAGTGACTCTATAAAGGGCTGTAAAGTGACTCTATAAAGGGCAGTAAAGTGACTTTATAAAGGGCAGTAAAAAGACTTACTGGGGACAAGGTTATGAAGTGTTGAAGAGTCCAACAGTAGAGGGGAAGAAACTGTTCTTATGAAGGTGGTTCTGGTCCTGATGGACCATAGTCTCCTGCCCGAGGGGACGGGTTGGAACAGACATTTTTTGTATATTTAAACAAAACAAAAATACATTTGTTTTAGCTTTGTCCCATTGACAGGTTTTAAGGCAGTCACAATGAACTCAGATTAAGATTTTATTAAGAAGAATTAAGACATTTTGCCAAATTTGAGCATTTTTGTAGTGTATTTGTTTTTGTGGCCTAGAAAATGCAGTTGTTATGTTTGTATAAATATTTCTGACTAGATGCAAGAAACATTAGCTTGTTTTTGATATTGCTTTATGTGGATGATCGTCCAAAACAGATTTTGACGGGTTCCTTTCTGGTGGTGAAAAGCCAGCACAGGTCCAGACCACACAGACCTCTCCCACCGTTGTCCTGCAGCTGTCACAGGTTAACATAGGTCTCCTTTAATAGAGGTCCTGATCCTCCTGGTGTTGTGTGTTTTAGCGGGTCACCTCCCATGGTGCCTCTCCCCAGCTGAGCCCACACCTCTCCACCCTGAGGAGCCCGGTGCTGGAGCCGGGCTGCAGAGAGGAGGCCCCGCACCCGGATATGAACCAGCACCAGCAGGCTGCCATGCAGCAGGAGGAGAGGGTGCTGACGGAGCAGATCGAACACCTGCAGAAGGAGAAGTAAGGCCACCAGTGTGTAGTGTCTCTGTCTCTGTCTGTGTGTCTCTGTCTGTGTGTGTGTGTGTGTGTCTCTGAGTGTGTCTCTGTGTCTCTGAGTGTGTCTCTGTCTGTGTGTGTGTGTGTGTGTGTGTCTGTGTGTGTCTGTGTGTAGGTCGCTGTGTCTCTGTCTCTTTCTCAGTCTTTTTCTCTCTGTCTCTCTCTTTCTGTCTGTCGTCTGTCTCTCTTTCTTTGTATTCCTGTCCGTCTGTCTCTTTCTCTGTCTCTCTCTCTCTTTGTCAGTCTGTCGTCTGTCTCTCTATGTCTGTGTGTATGTCTGTCTCTATTTTTCTTTTTGTCTGCCTGTCTATCTGTCTCTTTCTCAGTCTGTCTTGGTCTGTCTCTCTATCTCTCTCTGTCTCTATTTCTTTCTGTATGTCCGTCAGTCTTTCTCTCTTTGTCAGTCTGTCTCTGTATGTCTGTGTGTATGTCTGTGTCTCTTTCTCTGTATTCCTGTCCGTCTGTCTCTTTCTCTGTCTCTCTCTCTTTGTCTCTTTTCTGTCTCTTTCTCAGTCTGTCTTGGTCTGTCTCTCTATCTCTCTGTCTCCATTTCTGTCTGTATGTCCATCTGTCTTTCTCAGTCTGTCTCTCTGTCTCTTTCTGTCTGTCTGTCGTCTGTCTCTGTATGTTTATTTCTGTGTATGTCTGTCTCTTTCTCAGTATGTCTGTTTCTCTTTTTCTGTCTGTATGTCAGTCTCTCTATGTCTCTCTCTGTCTCTCTCTGTCTGTCTGTCTGTCTGTCTGGTTTAGTTGAATATATTATTGTTTGTCACATACACATTACATGACAGTGAAGTGATGAACCAGCAGCAGATGCTCAGTGCAGTATCCACACAACAACAGAATAACACAGACACAGAGTTGGGCCCGTGCTTGTTTGACTCTTGACTTGTCTCTCTCTCTGTCAGTCTCTCTCTGTCTTATAGTATAGAGTGGTAGTAGTCGTAGTATTCATCCCATTACTTATAGTGCTTTTAGTGCACTCATCCAGAGACTAATATCATGTCTTATTATAGATGGATAGACCTTTTTTATACTTTCACTCGCAGCATGATCCAATAAGGTGATGTTTTCAGTCTAACCCTGTGTGTAACCTGTGTGTAACGTGTGTGTGTGTGTGTGTGTGTGTGCAGGGAGGAGCTGACCTTTGAGATGCTGGCCCTGGAGCCTCGGGCCTCTGATGATGAGACCCTGGAATCAGAGGCTTCCATCGGGACGGCAGACAGCTCTGAGAACCTCACGGTGGACTCTGAGGGACTGTCTGACTTATCAGGTCTGCAGCAGCCACAGCATCAGACTTTTATCGACACAGCTCTGTACAATTACAATCAAGCATTTGGTGTTTTGTCACGCTGCTCACTCAGGACACACAGACTCACTCAGTCCATTACTAATATTCTACTGTTGAAGCGTTACTGTAGCATAAACGCGTCCCCTGACTTGTGTTTGGTCTTGTGTGCAGAGAGGGCCCCCCTGACGTCCCCCTGGCCCCGCCGGTCAGACGGTCGCAGCCCTCGGCAGCGGACTCTCCACAGACAGCCCGACTCTCTGGACTCTGTGGACTCCTGCTCCAGTGTGACCTCTTACTCTTCCTCCTCACACTTCCAGTCCTCCTCCTCCTCAAACACCAGGCGCTTTCGCTTCCACTCCAAGTCCCCGTCTTCCCCCATCGCGGGCCCCTCCCAGCCGCCGCCCCCCCGCACTGACCACCTGGACCTCAGTCCTACAGAGGCAGAGCCGTACGACGAGCGACCTCAGTTTACGAGCAGAGGGACTTTCAACCCTGAAAAGGGCAAGCAGAAACTAAAGGGGGGCAAGCACCCATCCCTGAGGCACTCCCGGGACGGGGGCCACAGCAGAGACCCTCCGGAGCTCCCGCAGCAGCTAGTCCTATACGGCAATAATGAGTTCATGGTATGAAGGACACAGGCACCAGAACACTCCCACCTACAGGAGCTAACGAAGCGTCCATGCAATGTCCTCCTTCAGCGCTCCGCTTGGCCTTTATCATGTGCAAACAAATGTTCCCAAGTGCCACATGGAGTCAGTCACAGGGTCAGAGGGGGAGAGGGCCAGAGGGGCTTCTGCAGGACCTCAGCCTGTACTGAGCCCAGAGGAGAAGCACTGAGCACCACCACAGAAAAGGGAAAGATCACTGAGCATCAGGAGCCGGAGCTGTGGACTGCAGTGAAGAATCAAAATGAGCTGCTTTCTGAGTTTACGTCATATCAATCAGTATAAGCAGTGCTTGTTTTGTTATTATTACAAATTCTTTTATTTAATAAATTTTAATGTCACAGAAATTCTTTATAGCATATAATATACAGGTATAAATACTGTACAAAGCCGGAACACCAGTGTCTGCTGGGTAGTTGAAGTCAGATATTTATCTTTTTAATTTTTTGGAGAGTTTTGGACAGATGTACGATTGGAGGCTGGTGGTGTCGGTGTGAATGTGCCAAGCGTTCATGTGTTACTGTGTGTGTGAGAACAGAAACCACTCCATGTGTTTTTACTTTGTGCTGCTTTTTCCTGGAGCAGGAAAATCCTGCCATCAAAGGGACCAATCAGCTGCCCAGGGGCCCCAGCTCTGTACAGACTGCTGCAGCCCAGGGGCCCCAGCTCTGTGCTACATATGTACAAACCCATGCATTCACTGCTTAGCCATACGACCATTGTAAAGTACCATACAGCTGACCTGTACAGTGGACGAATGCCATTATTGAAGAGATCATGTTACCTGCCCATCCATGTCTTTGTGTTTGCTTCATGCAACAATGAAAGAAAATGTTACAGTCTCCACGAGTCGTCTCCTTATTCCACACTGCGCTCCTCATCTGTGCAATCACATGTTTTAATATGTTCTCAGGCTGCTGCCATTTTTCTCCTCGTCAATTGTTTAACTCACCTCTGCAAGAAAACAATACATTTAACTGAATTGAAGCATTTATACTGTTTATGCGGCCTATAACCACACAACCCGACACTAGTGAGACCAGGCCAGAAGATGCATTTATGTGCTTCACAAAACAAGGAAGAAATTGAAATCATATCTAAATATAAAGTGAGACATAAAGTTCCAGCAGATTTTAGGTTGTCCCACTTTTAAAAAATAAATAAAAATAATGATAAGATGGGTGCTTAATCTTAGGTTCACTTCTGTGAGAAACTAAATGTGAAGATAATACACATTTTAATGACAAGTTGAACTAATACTTTTTCTGCAGCTCTTCACCAGTTTTATTTTTGGCCTGTTCCTCCGTAGAACATTGATGTTTTGAGCCTGTCAATGGAGCTTTTTCACCTCCCTCCACAGATGTTCCAGGACCATGATGCCCTGCTCCATAGTCCATACCATGTGAAGCAGAGTAATTAGAAGTGTGTGTGTGATGATTCCAACATGTTCATCTGATGCTCCTGATGCGGAGCAGACCACTGAGACTCTTTCTCGGATGTCTGCCTCTGTGATGGTAACTGAGTTCTGTTCTGGGAGGTGGCTGTGCTCCTCTCTCAGGGACACCAGCCATTGTGCACTTCTGTTATGTGCTGCCTCCTTTTCCCATATGTTCTTCCAGAACTGTTCAGTTTCCAGCCTTGGTGGATCTGCTCCCCTGTTGATACCCTGCCACTGAGCGTTATCCTTCACAGGTTGTGTTGCGAACAGCCTGTTTACTCTTCTGGCTTCATTCTCTTTAGTGTACCTCTGTAGGCGGCTGGCCAGGGCTTGGAGCCTTTGTTTGGCAGTATATATATATATATATATATATATATATATAGTATTCGGCCCCCTTGAATATATATATATATATATATATATACAGTGCCTTGCGAAAGTATTCGGCCCCCTTGAACCTTTCAACATTTCGCCACATTTCAGGCTTCAAACATAAAGATATAAAATTTTAATTTTTTGTCATAAATCAACAACAAGTGGGACACAATCGTGAAGTGGAATGAAATTTATTGGATAATTTAAACTTTTTTAACAAATAAAAAACTGAAAAGTGGGGCGTGCAATATTATTCGGCCCCCTTGCGCTAAGACTTTGTAGCGCCACCTTTTGCTGCAATTACAGCTGCAAGTCGCTTGGAGTATGTCTATCAGTTTTGCACATCGAGAGACTGGAATTCTTTCCCATTCTTCCTTGCAAAACAGCTCGAGCTCAGTGAGGTTGGATGGAGAGCGTTTGTGAACAGCAGTCTTCAGCTCTTTCCACAGATTCTCGATTGGATTCAGGTCTGGACTTTGACTTGGCCATTCTAACACCTGGATACGTCTATTTGTGAACCATTCCATTGTAGATTTTGATCATTCACCATTTTCGGTTACATGCCATCCAAGTCATGTTGTACCTACATTTTGTTTGGAAGGGAGATGTAACATCCAGACGCTAGAGGCGCTGTGTTCAATAATGTTGTATACCTGAATCGCGAGACCACGTTGGAGAGTCTATGTTGGCTGATAAAGATACTTGACGTACTTTACATGGTGGTGATTATTTTAACACAATAACATCCCAGCCATAGCCATAGGGCAAACATAACAGTAAGTATGCCTGTTTAATGTGTGCTAGGATAACAATATGTAAAAGTATGTGCCTCCGCTTATGCATGTAGACGCTGCCGCTTTGCCCACTCATCTATGCGCCTTGCTGTGCTGTAGTCTGCTTGGTTTGCACATTTCGTTTGTGGTGTTTATTTTGCATTATTTTAGCTTTCCGCCCCTTTTAGTTCTCCCCTCACGGTTAGGCCTCAGCCCCGAATTTCTTTAGCGTGTGTGTGTGTGTGTGTGTGTGCGTGTGTGTGTGTGTGTGTGTGCACTTGTTTTCAACTCCTAGTGGGTTCCATAACCTGAGATTCCACTCACGTCATGGGGACTGGTTTTACGTGGTGGGGCCCGAACACCGGACCCCACTGGTCCAAGCTTAATAATCAATGGGTAATGCTTTTCTAACGGTCCTTATGCAGTCTCTGTAAAAATATGGAAAGGACCCCTGGAGGTTTACTTTCCTGAAAAAAGTGTGTTATGTGTCGGAACCCTGGTGGTGGGTTGCGGGATATCAGGGAGGGGCACACTGGGGCAATTTCAGTCCAGCAGGCTGGAGCCAATCATGGAGCAGCACAACAGAGGAAGTCAGGTGAAAAGGTGCAAGTGTGTGGTTCATTAGGCTGCAAGACATCATGGAGGAGCACACTGAAGCGCACGCTTACAAACCACTGGTAAGTGCTGACTACAAGTCATGACTTCAAATTGTTATATAGAATTATTACAAATTATTTGTTGTTTGTGCAGCTTAGTCAAGAGTCCCTAATTGATGAAGTCGACTCAGATTCTGACGATTTAACTGTCAAGAAGAAACCTGTAAAAAAGTATGGAAAAAGAAAAATCAAAAACACTTTTCTTCAAGACTCGGAAAGTGACGAACCAAAGGCAAATAAGATTGTTATCATGCAGCTGCAAAAGAAGAAAAATGGGGGCAGGGTTTACAGCAAGAGACACTTCTGCCTCTACTGTTCAATGTCCTGCCACAAAATGTCCCGTCATTTGACTAGAAAACATGGAAATGAAAGTGACGTAGCCAGAGCATTGGCTCTACCTGTGAAGTCTAAAGCAGAAGTCTAAAGTTTGATTTGATCAGGAATAGTGGAAACCGTGAGCACAATTTTGAGGTTTTAAAGGCCGGCATTGGAACTTTAGTCCCAGCTAAACAGCCAAATTGCCCAGTTAAATCCAGTGAGTTTTTGCACTGTATAGACTGTGGGGCATTGCTTAAGCGAAAGTCGCTGTGGAGGCATGTGGCCAGGTGCCGGCTTTCACAGAAAGATGCCCAGGCTAAACCAGGTAGAAGTAGGGTCCAGTCCCTCTGCTCCCTAGCCCAGCCTGTACCGGAGGGCATCAGCAAAAAGCTGTGGTCTTTAATTTCGGCAATGCATCAGGATGAGGTCACGGGTGTTGTCAAAGCAGAAAAGGGGATTCTGAGACTCGGAGAGCACCTGTACTTAAAACACGGGCATGATAAGACTAAGCATGATTACATTAGGCAGAAAATGAGAGAAGTCGGTAGGTTAATTAACGAAGCAAAAACCGCAGGGAAACTGAAAACAATTAAGGATTTCTTTATTCCTTCCAACTTTAACCATGTGATTGATGCAGTCAGGTCTGTGGCTGGATATGATGAGGAAACAAATCAATACAAGACTCTATCCTTGGCCCTCAAACTCGGCCATAGCCTCAGAAAGCTAGCAGATATTCTTGAATGTGACTCAAAAATGGAGCATTGTGTTGATGAACTATTTATTAAAAACCTCCAACGAAGCCGGCTGCTTTTTGAGAAGAGGTGGGACGTGTGTGTTTCTTCTGCTGCCCTACAGACCCTCCGGCAAGCCAAGTGGAACACTCCGGACCTGCTCCCTCTGACTGAGGACGTTAGAGCCATGCATGCACATATTGAGGTATGTCGACCTGAATATGTGCAAACCCTAATAAGTGAGCCAACGTCTAAGCATTGGTGAAGAGTGACGGAATTCGAAGGAAAGAGCCTCGACCAGATACAAATTGAGCCTGAAGGTAATTCTTGATATTATTAAAATATGTATGATTTTTTTCCCCTAAAGGCCACTTGTATTTTTATTTTCTGTGCGACAGGGAGAGCAGTAGAGATCCTCTCACAAACGGACGGGCTAAAAGAAACTTCAAGCGGAGAACCTTCAACCATTCATCCAGATGCACCCCATGGTAGTGGCAGTGCCCCTTCTGGTAAGTGTACCAGGTGGGGGATTACAGCCAGGCTGCTTGGTCCTAACCCTGGGAGTGTATATTGCTAATATATTTTTATTTCTCTCCCTAGAACGTGTAAGAAAGCCATGGTCTGCATCTGAGGTGAAGGCTGTGGAGAAGACCATGACACCTTTCATACAGAC